AGAGCCAATTGACGGCATTTATATCTTGAGATCGCGCTTATAAGCGCCAGATATGAACGCCTCAACAACTGTATTTTTCTAGGCCTTGATCGCCCATGGCTTACGGAATGGCCGAACTTGAATGACATTGCGATGTCATGAATGTCAGGATGACTGGAATATTTTCCTGGATATATGTTTCTTATTCTTGCGGATGTGTAGCTCGGCAGCTAGACGAGATTGCACCGAAAGGTCTTCAAGATGGCTATTTCAGTTCAAAACCCCATATAAATGCGGAACACCCTTTAAATGTGGGGGGGGGGTGGGGGCGGGTAAGGGGTTGGTGGCTGGGCTTGGCGTCCGATGCTTGCTCCTTATTCTATTTAAGCCATTACTGTAATAGGTCACTCAACATTGCGGTATACCCATTTTAGCAGTCATCATTGCTGGATCTGCTTTCGTCATAGCATGTTCACGTCTTGCGTCTCTCGCGCCTTAGCTGCAAAATAATGTACTGGTGCTGGTCGCATCGCTCGCATGGATGTCACAGCACACAATCATGCGATCATAACTGATATGCCTAGGTCTTGGTCTATGGTCTTGATCCGTTGTGATATAGTTGTGTTACAAACCGCATTGCTTTCATGGGCATGGGTATTGTGTTCATCACAAAACATGGTACAACTCAGCGTGCTGTCATGTTTTCGCTGAATGAAGCTGACTTTTTGGCATTGATCAAAAATTTGCGTAGAATATAGCTTATCAGGTGGTTCACAAGAGCGACAAGTTATAGAGGTAGGGGTATTATGTGCCCTTCCAGCAACGAGGAACCGAAACGAGTGGACGTGTATGCACTATGGCTGCATCAATCACCCCTCGGTGACTAAGAAAAGGACTACTGTCATCTAATTTGTGGAGCACGTGGCATTTGAAGATGGCGACATGTTTGAGTCAAAGGAACACTGCCTTGGCCCACTTATCAGACTGACGCAGAGTCTGCCAATATTGGATGTTTTAGGTCTGGCTTGTCCGACGCCTGCCATGTGCATTTTATTTTTTGGAGCGCACTGTCTAGCGTAATACTTTACGCCTATTCAAATGTAAAAATCAAAACAGCCCTGCATGATTTCAGTCACCCTGACCTGCGAAAGGTAAAAAAGTGACTGACCTTACATGAGCACCTGCGACCTTTTGATTAGAAAAGGCATCTGGGTCCTGGCCGCACTTTGGAAACCAATCTGGAGGTTGACCATGTTTGACCTTACTTGATCTGAAGGGCATGACCTAGGAACCTCAAATTCTGACACAAAGGAGTTCAAGTACAGACCATTTCACCATGCCAACAATGGTGTCTTTGGATCTCTTGGTTTCTAAGATATCAGGAGGGTCAAACTGATCCCCCGCCCATCCGAGTGAAGGGTATTCAACCGGCCAACCTGGCGCGGAGCAAGCCTTTCAGCCCCTGTCGCGCGCTGGAGCTGCATCCAGTAGTGGCTGGGCTGGGAGGCAGAATCACGAGAAGACCATCAAGTTTGACAACTTCCGGGATGGGTTCCCACGTATATCACCCAGTCCGTTCTCCGCCTCACATTGCGGAGAACGGACCGGGCGATATGCCTGCCCCCTTTGAAAATGGTGGGGGGCAGTTGTCCCCTTGCCCCTCTGGTGGCGTTAATCCTGAACACCTCCGTAAGGTCGGTACACGCAGCTTCTATGTAACCAGGAAAAAAATTGTATCGAAAACTTCATGGAGTTAAAACAAAACACGGCTCAGTTGGTTAGAGCGCCTATCGCTATAGACGCTCGCTATTTGCCCTGGACAGGCATGGTCTGCGGCCGGTGGCAGCGGTCGCGCTGAAGGTCAGGCGGGGTCGGATAGTGGGACCCCGCTGCAGTTGCTCTGTCTTGCGACACGTTAAGCTTTCGCCACCAAATTCTGCGTAGACCTGACATTGCATGATATGCGGTAGGAGTTCTTACAAAAGGAAGAGGTGCAGCGTCCCAGCTTTTGAATCTCACACACTCTGGATGTTACAAACCTTTGGATGTCGCGGTTTTGGATGCTGCAAGCTTGGATGTTGTGACTGCGCTGTCCAGGGACACTGAACGATGTTTTAATGTTATGAGCGCTAGATGCTGAGTTTCCTGACGTTTTGACCATTGGGCGTTGTGAATTCTGGATGTTTTAAAACGCGTTCGTTCAAACTCCAACCACCGCACTTCCCCGTGATAGGCCTTGCCCGCTGGGCCAATCAAAATTTTTGTTTTGCTCTCACCACTAGAAGGCGCCCAAGGAGGTTGTCATGACGACCGTAGTCGCGATTGCAGGGAAAAAGTAGGGCGGCGTTACAAGCGGTGGCAGTGCAATTTGGACTCGAAGATAGTTAAATTTGGTATCCCACTTATGGTTTGACGGTACTGCAGTGACAATACCCAGGACTGTTGTTAGAAGTAACTAGTCCTGGGGTTTCATTAGCGCATGTTTCTGAAATATGAGCCAGAAATGGGACGCCCCCTTTAAATAATTCAACATTTCAATATTTGCCTGTTTTACGGCCTTGGACTTGTACACCAGAATGCAACGTAAAGCGTTTTCAAGCTGGGCCAAAATAAATTGGCCAACCAGAATGGTCACTCTAGCTCCAAAATACACCGAGCACCAGCTGAATGAGCAAATCGAAACGACCAATTTATGAAGAAAAGGCTGATTTATAACCAATGGGATGATTCTAACTCACCAGTGACGGCATAGGGCTTCAAGTCGATATGCAATGTACCCGCTCGCAGGGGCACATAAAAAATCAAGCACGGGAGGGGTGGGTATCCTATTGATAACTCATCACATAGTGGCGGTGGTGTGGTGGGGGTGGGCCTCTGGATTCTCGATCTTGGCTGCTGGGTCTGTGCGCGTTCACATTTTGACTTCTGACTTGGGTGGGCTGCGGCTGATGGCAGCGGCTGTTCAATGTCAGAGAGGTCAAGGGACAGGGGGGCTGTACCAAGCATAACGATACACGCAACCTTTCCATAAAGCTCTGCCATTTTGCTGAAATTTCACAGTGGTAGGGTAGAGCATAGAGCATACGCAAAGCATACGAAACAATCCTGCTTTACATGAGCTCTGATCTCAAAATCACCGAATAGAAAAGGTTTTAACAACAATTACAACAACAATAAAACATGCCACCCAAGCACGTATGTGGACCGCAGCACGGGCCGCAGCTTTATGACAACCTCAGGTTGTCGGGTTCTCGGCTCAAACGCGGACCCCGGGACCATTTTGGGGCCCGGGCCCAGGGGCTTTGAAGGGCCCCTGCTTGGTTCTAGGGCCCGTGACTGGCCAGATCAGCTATTGGCTCATTATGGACCACTTCATTGTCATATCTCGTTTTTCCAGTTCGTGCCAGGCAAGAGGACCCCGACCAACGCAAGTGATTTGCTGACATTTAGGGTCCCATACTTCATTCAGGGTTCTGCTCTTCAGCAGAATATGACTGGTCGACTAGGAGTCCTTGCCGACACAGGTTTACCTGTGAAGCATCCTGTGCCTTAGAAGAGTGAGCCACCTTGTGTCAGAGACCCCGACCAGCCCAGCCTTCAGTAACAATCCTTGTCCCTGCTTCGAAAATGGACCCCAGAGTCCAAGCCGACTCAGAGCAAACCGGTTAGCATCGGTGGTCTCAGACCTACTTAGACACCTTGGTGGTCCCGGTGACCCACGATAGGCGCGACGAGTCCCTTTGGCAGGGATTTGAGGGCCAGGCCTTCGCCCGGAATTCGATGTCCGTGAAGTTAGCGATTTAGGCAACGATTCATTCAGCTACGAGTTCCGATTTCTCTCGAAAAGGTCTCAAGGTCAATTATGGCGCGAGAGCACGGAAAATAATCTTTATTTTCCAATGTCAAGTGATCTTCGAAGTCAAAACCTGGGGCAAAGGACGGGGAACCCGATATCATCCATAAATTGCCAACCGATTTGAAAACTGTAAGCATCAAAGTATTCACAAGGGCAAGAGCTCAACGACTCGCTCTCAGAACGCAACTCCAATGTGGATAATGGCGTCTGCGCCCCAAAACATTCGTAAGTTTATGACAGGTTGGTTTAAGGCCAGCAGAGGGCCACATGGGCCCATTAAGGCTGGTCTACTTCAGGTTTCGCACACGTCTTGGACACTAATCTTACCACATGATCTGCCTGAATTTAGCCATAAATGAGATCCTTAGGCGGGCAGAACTTGTCCCAACGATTTTTAAATGTTGCTAGAGAGGGAATTCCTGCAACTTCGTTCGGTAGTCCACTCCAATGATTCACTTCTCTTTGACTAAGTGACATCTGCCTCTTGGTAGTTCTACTCGTACCTTTTGCTAATTGAAGCTTGTCTTCCAAGTCTCAACCTAATTTCTGGTGCTCCTTGTAGATCTACCACATATTTTCCTTTCATAACCTTGAATATCTCTATCAGATACCTCAAAGTATACGACATCTCAGTGAATACCAATCCAAGGCTTCGAGCCTGTCCTTACATTCTAGGATTTTTCTTCGTGCATTTGGTGACTTAGCCGGCATTGCGGACAACGATTTCATTAAACCGGTAGTGAAAAGGATCATATTGGTGGCAATAACATGGACGATCTACGACAAATAATCGTAACCATAGACAGTCGTAGATGGACCAAGTGACACGGTGTCCATGGCAATAATCAAATCGGTGATAAAGGGGTCATTTTGGTTGTGCTTGATCCAGTTTGGTAAGAATTTAAGTTTGGTGACATAAGCCTCATTTTTGGGTAGCGTTTCCGGGTTTGTATTCCAACACTACGCGACAAAACGTGTAGTTATTCTGCATATTCAGCAATTGTAGCCTTTATGAAGTTGAAAAATCATTATTTTGGATTAATCTACCTGTCAATTTGTCTAAAACTAGCTTACCTATTCAATTGGGGCTTTTCAGAAGTTAGCGTCGTCATATTTTATTGTACTAGTCTCACCTCTATGATTACGTCACTTCCCGTTACGTTGTGCAATGGCGTCCGTGAAGACCGACAAGATGGGCTCGTCTCAACGAAGCTACGGAAGCGTTGTCTTGACGCTTGAAAATTGTCTTATCGGTGAAGAAAAACTGTCTCCAACACCTTCTGAGCTCGATGGACTTGAGCCTGCCTTGGAAAATGAGCTGAGGATCATGGGAGCCGAGCTCATTCAAACGGCTGGGAAACTCCTCAAGCTGCCGCAGGTAAGAACCTACTTATTGTGTGCCTTGTTTATCTGCGTTGATGCTGTTTTAAAGACGATGATAACAAAGTGTGTAGTCTGGTATTTTTGCGAACCATCTTATGTAGCCAGTTGATAGGACTTAATGTAACATGGGTCTGGCAGGCTGTTCCCATTTGTGACGCGCCGTTGTCCTATTTGTGCTGCGCTGTTTCTTTAGAAAGTCCAGGGTTGTAATCCATGTGAAGATCACATGAAAGGAAAGTACATTGCAGGAAGCAAAGGCAGCCAAACACTTTTTGTGATGCAGATGGTTATGACAAAGTAAGCACTGAAATAAGTTAGTGCGTCGCTTTCGTCTTTGTTCTAGTTACTTCCATCAAGATGGCGTACGACGGCGTTTGCCTGAACATTACGTGCTGGTTGAGACTCTGTAATTCACGAGGCTTGAAAGCATCATGCTGAACATGTGTGACATAGCACTACGGTCACAACTATTCCAGTGCATGGATACCAAAAATTAGGGACCTTTGGTTTAAGACTGTCACCAATTAAGTGAGAGAGCACATATTTCAAGAAGTTTTGATGGTGTAGGGATAATGCAAGATCAAAATCTTGATCAGCATTGTATCTGAAGAAAGCTAGGATAGTTAGTCTGTTGTGGGTCCTGATTGAAATAAAAATGCATTGTCAAACTTAGGAGTAATGTCTACATCATATTTTTATTGATCTGTACTCTGTCATGCTCATACTCAGTGCCTCATTTTCCCCAAACATATATCAATTCCAGGAAACTGATACTCTCGCACAACACATCCATTAGCCAGGTGCCGTCAGTTGTGCATTGTGCGATGACTTTTTGCTGAGCATCTCTGCTTTAGAGAAATTTCAGTAACAAATGACAAATTTCCACAGGAGGAAGTAATTCCCACTATTCAACTAAAAACTACCCGAATATAACCTGTTAGGTGCACCATGGGTGCTCCACGATTACCGCACTGATCTGAGATCGAGATTGCAGGCATGACATGTGGGAGGTGGATTTGTTGCAACAAGGTCCTTAAGTCAAGACAGGGTGCCTAATCCTGTGTATTGCAGCACTCAGTTACCAGTTGGGTAAGGTAGCAACTCCTCATATTGGAGTGCCCATGGTTATAGGTAATTAAACCTAGTTCTCAACCATATGCAGTAAACAGAAATAGTAAAAAAGGCCACCACATTTTACTTAAGCTTTGTTTTTTGTTTGTTATGGCTTTGATTCAACTTTATAGCCAGGTCAGGGTCTAGGTGGATAATACATGTGGCAAAGGCTCCATTACTTACATGCTTTCTCTTTTATTTCCAGACAGCAATGGCCACAGGGCAAGTGCTAATGCATAGGTTCTACTACTCAAAGTCTTATGTTAAGCATCCTATGGAAATCACAACCATGGCCTGCCTTTGCTTGGCGTCAAAGATTGAAGAGGCGCCAAGAAGGACAAGAGATGTGATAAATGTGTTCCATCACATCAAACAAATTCGTGCCAAAAAGTAAGTGACATCTTTTTCCAACACAAGGTCATGCACCTTGGTTTGTGTGTGTTGTCATGCCCAGCATTGCCAGCCACTGGTTTGCTAGTTCCACAGAAAGCCGAATCATGCCACAAATGTGTATTTGTGGGGAGATGATGCTCACAAATATTTTGTAATCTGGAACTTCTATTTGGATCTTAACATTTTCTATTCTGAACTATGTGGTTCTCAGTAGCAGTTGTACTATTTTGACTTAAATGAGTGCAAGTTTCAGGAATGATCTGTACAGGCTGCCTTTATTATCATGCTTTACATGGCACTGTAACCTCCACAGGACCATATCACCAGTTGTCCTGGACCCAAACTACATTCATCTGAAAAACCAAGTGATCAAGGCAGAGAGACGCATCCTCAAGGAACTGGGATTCTGTGTGCATGTCCAGCATCCTCACAAGGTATGTGTTATTTTTTAAGTATAAGCTATGGTTGCAAGATTTTTCCCTACAAGCCCCTCTTAAAACTTTATTTGCAAAAGTTGGTTTGAGGCAAGGGTCAGGAGACTCACTAAGGCTTCCCACTTTTCAGGGTTTTAGAGTATGTCATTCCAGAACAAGCTTATTATAATCACTTCTGTACTTTGTTGGTCTCCTATATTTTACAGGAAGAAAGCATTGCCGGGCTCATTGCTTGACTTTGCAATGACCTCGGCTGTCAGCAAGTTCTTCAGCTCCATCTCATTACCAAAGCCTGTCATTTCAGGACCATGCATGTGCTTTCTAAACCCACTTTGTGGAAGCGGCCAATTTTTTTGCTCAGTGTCATGGCCTCTGGCCATTCTCATCAATGCTGAACCATGCAGCCATCTTGCCAGCCAGCCATTTGGCCTTTCAGGTTATTCACAATTGTAAATTCAATGGAATTCTTGGAAACTAAAGATCTGAACATCAATGTCAGCTGTCTGAATGTTGGGAGATGTGTGCAGTGTGCAGAGAAGGCTGGAATAATGGATGATGAGACATTGGCCTCTTAAAAGTGTATGATGTGCCATATTGCTCCAGTAACAGTCACTGACCAACATGGCCAATTTCCCAGATGATTGTAATGTACCTGAGGTTCCTGCGGCGGGAGAACAGCACTGAGCTGCTTCAGTACGCATGGTAAGTTCAAACGGGATCCATCAACAGAGTGTGCTTCTCAGTCATCCTGCACTGCAGGGCTGGATCACATATAGCCCAGTTTTGCAGGCATTGAGCAGCATAGTCTTGTTCACAAGTGTGAATGTAGCATCCTGGTTGCTGTTATTTGTGAGTATACTTGCACCATTTTTATTGTTTTGTGACTGGCCGGGCTATTCAGTGTCATCGTCATTGCTGTTTGGTGTGGCTACCAGCCACGTACTTGTAGTGTCATTCCCTGCACCAGTGTGCTGCCCAGGTCAAGCTCTAATTTTGGCTTTGTTCTTTGCCTAACACAGATTAGGTGAGGAATGGCTTGGTAAGTAGGTGGCGGCTCGCGGCCCAGCCGGTCCGGTCTGCCGGTCGTCGTCTGGTCTCCCCTCCTGCCGGCGCCGCCGCCCTCGGACCACCAGCGGGCAGCGGCCGGCGCGCCGTCCGCCAGCGCAGCCAACACCCACTGACACGGCTCCGCGCCGCCCGGCCGGCCGACTCTAAACTGTCCAGTGGGACGCATCCCTCTTGTTGCAGGCGGTCGGCTGCCGCCGCGCCCCTGGCTGCTGCTGTGTGCCCATGTCCTGGACAGACCAAGGTGAGCTGGCAGTGGTCTCAGCCTGCTCTGTCTGCTCACTGTGCAGTATGGTCACGGCGCGCGCGCGCGGCGGTCAGTGCGTTTTGATTGTGCTCGTTGTTGCACAGCTTAATGCTCTCAGGCATATCTGGCCCAGTTCTCAGAGGGCATGGATTGCAGGTGGTGCCAGGATTGCTGGAGGTGGAGCAGTGAAATAGAGATCTCCTAGCTCTCATTGCCTTGACCCAATATTGCTAACCAGTCATAAAGGGAAAAGTTTCCCAAAGATGAGTGATGTGCAAAGCATTCACAGTTTTTGGTGGGAGTGCAATTTTTCACGTGCTGGACAGCTGTCAGCAGTCTAATGTAATTTTGTTTGCTTGGTTTAAGTATGTTGCAGTTAATATTCATCCCAGTCATCATGGTAAGATATGGGATAATGAAATATATATATATATATATATATATATATATATATATATATATATATATATATAAAGCTATTATGATCCATGCACAATGCAGTGCTAGATAGGCAACAGCATGTCCGCCTCCAGCCTTTCTGGCGCAAGCCGCGTGGTCTCTGAGCTGGCGCTGAATATGTGGTGTTGATATTGCAGTGGGTTGCGAGGAGCGCACTGGCTGTGGTCATCCGACCTCCGGTCTCGGATCGGCCGCTTCCACCTCCCACACGACACTGCCGGCCGAAAGGTGGTACTGGGCGCCAGGCCCTTGTAGGCTGCTCTGACCGCTCGCTCTCGCTCGCCCGCCCGTTCGCCCGCGCCTGGCCCGATGTTACGCCGCCGAACGCACCGACCCCGCCCCAGGCCGCCAGCCCGCAAATTGGCGCAAGGATATTTCTCTGGAAGCTGACAGCTATATTGTGGTCGTGTATACAAGTTCGGTTAGGTCACTGCTTGAAGCTACAGTTGCTGAGATGAGCCTGGATGTTTTCTTCTGGTGGGGAAACGTCGCTCGGTCTGTTTGACTATGCGTCACAATTTTGATAATGGCACGCATTGGGAGCGGCGGAGTCCGAGTCACAAGTCATATGGACTGTCTGGCTTACCGCAGATGGAATTGGCCGCAAGCTGCACTCTCCACCGCTCCCAATGCAGTGTCTCGGGGGCCCGCTGAGTTCCGTCGCTGCCGTGTCGGCCGTTCTGAGCGTTCATGCAGGCGATGGCCCTGACCGGAGGTCCATGTGGCGACTGCGACGGACGTCGCGCGGGGGACACCAGGCGCCGCAGCTGGAGGTGCGTCTGGCGGCGCGCCCAGCCACGCCAACAGGTGCTCTGGACTCCGCCCTGCGTCACACCGCCAGGGCGCTCTCGCCGTAGACGTCATGGTGTTTGGGGAGTGGATGGGCAACCTGGCTTGGTCATTTCCATTTTCAACATTTGATCACGGTTCTACAAAACGTGGGCAGTTTATGCTTGAAAACGTGGGCGGTTTATTCACAAGAAGTAAGCATACCAAATTCTAGTAACATTTGACTAATTGTACCAGAGGAAAAACCATGCCTGATGTGTTTTAAGTGCTTGCACACTTCATCCAATGGCTAACTGAATATTCTTCCAAATTAATTTTGCTGGCACTGTTTATATAACCCTTGCTGATTCAAAGATTGGTCTTTCCAGGACTGATTGGTCATGTTGGGAAAGTATGGATAGCAAATGTACAGGTATTTGCCAAGTTGATGTTTTGGGTAGAGTTCAGAGAGCATTGGCATAATTTGCAATGCTGTCTTTCACTGTGATCCTACAAAATTCTGGCACCAGGCTGATTGGTTTTGAAAGTTTCATATGTCTTGTCTACTTTTGACATCTACCAAAGCCACATCTATCTTGGATAGCAAACATTTTGTTTTGCATGGGTGCTGTGGTCAGAACCATTTGTTTTTAGTTGGTGTCTTGTTTGGGTACAAATGATGAATTGGTAAAACAACTGCCATCTTGTACATGATCAGTTCATGCATTTCATGCATAGTGGACATCCTGTTCTCTGCAGTTTTGCTTCCTTTTTGCATTCTCCTTATTGTTTTGTTTCAGTTTATCAGACATTCCAGTGGTTTTCACTGTTATTTGTCTGCAGTACCTGTGATTGCTCAGCTGCTTTTTGTTTCTTGTTGCCTTGTCTGCTCCATTCCCATCTTCTCTTGGACGAGTGCTGCTGTATGTTGACAAAGATGCCACATAGTCAAGTTTGTGAAACATGATACTGACGTGCACCATGAATATTAATGGTTACATATATTCAGATCATCCATCCTCAGTTGTACTGAACTACACTTGACAGGGCATATACCTGGATCTACATAGGAGCCTCAGTCTGTGGGAAACTGGGGACATCCCAATATTATTTGACTAGATGGACATGTGTCCTTTCCTGGCATTGGACCAGTATGCAGTGCAAGCATGACATTGGTAGCTTCTTTGCAACAATGATTGCTAAGCAATAATGGTGACAGGGGTTTGTTGCAAATTATATATCCATGGTGGCTATTGTCAGTCATGAGAAATGAAGTGTTCATTCTGTGAGGAATCTGTATCTTAATACCTTCTGAAGAAGGCCAGGGAAGGTATTGTAAGAACAGTAAAAGCACCAGGAAGAGCAGGCAAGCAACTTCTAGTAATAGGATGAGGTGTGCTGGTTTTGTCCATAGGCAGTCTTTATCAATATAAAAGTCACTTAATTTAAAAAAGTTAAAAAATCCTGAAAATAAATCCTTAGCTCACACAGTATTTCATACATGTGTTGCCTATCCTTGCTTCAGCATGCTGTGTCATTCAGCTGATGTGGTCAGTAGTTTTTTCCAGAGCCCACCAGCAGTGCTGGGCAAATGATAAAAAGTAGAATGATGAGGATCAATTGTACTGTAAAGATACAGTTCAAACATGCAAATTACCATTGTGGCAACTAACATTGACGTTTTGTTTGTTGTCAGCTTTGCTATTGGGGCAGCATCTGCAGTCAATTAAATGTTAACATGTTAACATCACATCAAATTGCAAAATTTGTTGGTGTTATCTGTTTGCAGGGTTGTGTGTTGGTCCCTAGCTTGGAGGTCTGTGACAGCGCTTCCATGGCTGTGACGTTTTTGTTCAATGGGTCTGAGCTGCCGGTGAGATATTTGCTGCATGTCACCGTGAAAGTTAGGTAGTGTGGTTCTTTTCTGTCAGTTGGCAATGTTCAGTGCAACCCAATATGTCTTGCTTTTGTGAAGCAGTCATTTGGGGTAGGGTTGAAAATCAGGTTTGTTGCTTAGCTGTTTGGCCGATGTTCGTTCCAGGGCTCCTCCGGAGTTACATAGGAGACAACATCCCATCTGCTTAGGCTGGCGGACGCGTCTATGGCAATGTTAGGCGTGCTGTGGGTCGATAGGTGCTGTCGGCCGGACCCATGCAACTGCGCCCACAGTACTGCCATCCTAAGGTAAAACCCTTTGTGTGTATTGTTGGCGATTTTGCGTTTTTGCCATTTAATTTTTGTCTTCTCAAGTGGAATTCAATTACTGAAGCCATTCTCGAAATTTTCACAATTTCTTAGATAAAAAAGGGCTCAAAATTTATGTTGATTTCAACTGATGGGTTAAATGGCCAAATTCAGCCTGAGAGGACAGGTCAGATGACTTAACAAATGCAAAATAGCCAAACATGAACATGTGGGGTTTTACCTTTGGATGACAGTGCTGTGGTGTGTGTGTGCTTGGTGCGCGAGCTACAGATGGCTTACCACGCTTGTGGCGCGTCAGATCTGGCGTCCTCGATAGTATTCGGTCGTTGCTGTTCGTCGACACAGGCCGTGCTTGAATCTGCAGCGGTGGCGGCTCGTTGCTATAGATGGTGATTTTGCCCCTGCCTTTTGGGTGTCTTTCAACATCAGCCATAGTTCCATTAAGAGTGGTGGTGGGATATTTCTTTTGGTTGGCACTGTTTCGTCCCTGTCCTCTGGCAAGTTCTCTATTGACTGGGGCACCTTATGTTCATAACACTATTTTTTGGTAGTTTAATTCGATCACACGGTTGTGATGCCAAGTGTACACAAAACATGGATTGCGATGGGCATTAAAATGCATATAATGACTTCTTTCTCTTTCTGGAAAGCATGGGAGGCTCTAAGTTCCAGCCTGAATTCATCAAGTGCACTCTTATGTTTAAGTCTTGAAACTTGGGGGTGGATGGATTCGGGCATGATGCACACATTAAAACCAGGGTTTTGTCAATCCTCCGTGGAGCACAGCCACCTTCATGGTAAAATTGGTTATACCAATTGCGCCATTTGCAGTGGAGATTTTGAAATGTTCGGTTGGCTTCATACTCGACAGGCTTCGGGTGAAGTTAGAGATCTCGGTTCACAACCACCATTCGCGTGGCTGAATATTTGGTCACATTAACAATGGCTGAGTTTGCGTGGCGGTTTTTGGCACGATTGTGTCCCTGTTCATTCTGGACTGTAGTTGTTTGGCTGGGCGGACTCGCTCCGCCGAGTGACCGGCTAGAGTTTTCGTTAACTGTGGTCCAGGTACCTGTACCTGGCGGGAATCTACGGACTTGCAATCGGGCTGGTTCTTCACCTGTCCATTCTCCTGGCCGGCCCGGCGCGGTGTTGGTGCGTTCGTGGCGCGCGTTTGTGGGCGCTCGCGACAGCGCTGCAGGACAGAGCGTGTGACGCGCGTGCGCCAGTGACCATACTGCCAGGACGTGGGCACACAGCCGCCGCCGCCGGGACGTCGCCGGCCGACCGCGTCCCTCCCGCCGCTCCAGCGCCGCAGACCAGACGGCCGCCGGCCCGGACCGGACCGGACCGCAGACCCTGGACCGCGGACCCCGCCCGCCCCGCGGCGAGCGTCGCTAACGGTCAGTGCGCCGCCCGCCGTCCGCAGGAACGCCATGAACGACGCGCTGCGCACCAACGTGTTCATCCGGTACAGTCCGGAGACAGTGGCGGCCGCCTGCATCTACCTGGCGGCGCGCGTCAAGCGCGTGCCGCTGCCCAGCCGGCCGCACTGGTTCCACGTGTTCGGCATGGACGAGGCCGACCTGCGCGACATCGCCACCGCCATCATGCGCCTGTACGGGCGCTCCAAGGTAACGGCACCGGGGCAGCAGGCGCGCCACCGACGGGTCGGGTGCGGCACCCCCGAACCGGCTCCGTCGCCGGGTTTTGCGTGACGATCGCCACTAATGGGATCGTCTTCCGCGGGAAGCTGCGACTCAGCACTATGTGAGCTCCCTTTTGTGACGTTGAGCTTTACAACGTGTAGTATTCCTATATCTGCAGAGGGTCGTCGTTGACAGGTTCGTCTTGCCACTCTTGATATCCCTTGGATAGATGATGTTGAGTTATTGTAGGAGTAGGATGGTTCCAAGTAGTGCCCCATCATTGAGGTGATATTAGCTGTTGGCGTTTATCACGTGCAACTGCTCATGCTCCTGATGTCAGTACTCGCGGTTTATCATGTGCAGCTGTTCATGCCCCCGATTTCGGCACTCGCGCTGTCTTCGAGTCTAGTGCGCCACACCTGTGTACCCTGCACAGCGCGTCTAGCGGTGTGTGCAGCGCAACTGACGCGGCGCCCGCCGCCGGCAGCCGAACGCCGACCAGCTGGAGCGGGCCGTGGAGGAGCTGCGCGCGCGCCAGCAGGAGCAGCGGCTCAAGAACAAGCTGTTGTCGGGCACCAACACGCCGCTGGGGACGGGCAACAACTTCAGCCCGCTGGCGTCGCACAACGCCTCGCCGGCTGAGCAGCGGCCGGGCGCCGCCGGCTCCGGCGGCCGCGACACGCCCAACGGCGACGCCAAGCTCAACAAGGAAAACATCGCCGCCGCCGCCGCCGCCGCGGTCGCCAAACGCACCGACAGGTGAGGCACTGTGCCGCGGAGGGGCGATGGACGTGTGGCACATGCAGGCTCGCGGATAGCGAGGCCTGTCCGCGGCGTCACTGATAGTGTGATGCGCATGTGCTGGACCCTTTCGGGCCATGTACTGACAGCAATGAAGGTATGTCTCTCCCATGATGTGGTAACATGCAATGTTAGGCCGGCTAGAAATTGGCACCAGTCAGTGGTGTTAAAACGATAGCAGTCTATATAAGGGACCTGCGCTGGACGACCAGCACGTTAGATTTGGCTCAGTTGTAGTCTAGAAAAGTGCCTCCCGCATCATCTCATCCTGGCTTTACTGATCACTGTCCAATGTTTCACAGTTCAAGATCGCGTTCGTCGAATGAAGATGATGACCGCCGCAAACTGAAGTCAAAGAACCGCAGGTGAGCATCTGCCTGGGTGGCGGGTGACCGGCACTCTGCCCACGTGACGCGTCGGCGGCAGATCAGGGACCGCCATATGCTGCTAGTGGCTCACGTTCACAAATAACGTCGATTCCGACGCGCTATATTTTGAGCTTTTCCCGTGCGATGATGGAGGGAAACGGGGTTTTAGCCAGAACCTGTTTTACGGGATCGTGGATCCAAACGTCATTTCCGTGGCTTCCGCTAACATTATTATAACGTTGCATCTCATTTCCGAAGGTCCCTCTGTCTGAGCATTCCTGGTTTGCCATTGGCGTGTGGTGGCTCTGCTGGTGTGTCTCCAGCTGTAGTGTGTGCGTGTGTGTCGTGCTGCGGTGGCCCTCCTGATGAGAGGTGAGCGCCGATCCTTCGCGGGGGCTGACCGGGCGCGTGTGCCCACGGCAGGGAGCGCTCCCACCACCGGTCGCGCTCGCGTTCGCCGGTCGAGAAGCGCCGCCGCCACTCGTCCACGCCTGACCGCCACAGGAACAAGCACAAGAAGGACAAGGAGCGCAGGTGAGGCCCGCCACCGCGCTGGGGGGTGGACCTGTGGACGGGCAGTAGCCGCCAGCGTCCGCCGCGGCAGCTGCTCCTGTGTGTAATGTTTGGGTGGTGTAGGGCATCGAAATCGGCCCGGCCTTAGCCGCCTGGGGCTCGCCGGGCTGTTGTGTTGTGGGCAGTCTGGTGGCATGTATTTTGCAGCCTATCTTTCATAAGTGAGTGGTGTGGCATCTCAAAGTTTTTTCCCTACACTGGTATGCAGGCAGTTCTGTTCGTAGTGTGTTTGGTGGACGAGGTGTCCTGTGATGTGCTTATTAGGAGCTTCCTGTTTGTGTCCAAAGCTGGTACTAGTGGGTAGCTAGCTGACACAAACTGAGGTTACTGGGTGGCACCAGAGAATGCGTGGCCCGGAACTTGACCGTCGCCTCCTGCCGGCAGCCGCGACAAGCACCGGCGCCGCTCGGCCGAGCGCGAACGCGCGCGCACGCGCTCCCGCTCGCCGGCCCGCTCCAAGTCGAAGCACGAGCGGTCGGAGCGCATGGCGCCGCTGAGCGGCGGCAAGCGCGAGCGGCGCGCCGGCTCGCAGGAGCGCCACAAACAGGCCAAGAAGCGCGGCTACGAAAACAACCACAAGCGCCGCTGACGGCCGACGGCGGTCGGGGAGCGCGGGCGCCGGGCGGCCCAGGGCGGGGCCGCGGCGTAAACAGTAGTGCACTGGCTTGAGGAGCGGCGTGCATGCGGGTCTGTGTGTGTGTATATACGCGTACTGTACTGTACTGCCGGCTGCAGTGTTGCCATTGTGATCCATTCTGAAGTGTGCCGAGTGTTCATCGCCGGGCGTAATTAGGCACCAGTATTCACGCCCATCAGTAGCGTGCCTAGATCATGTCACAATCATCCGATCATCCCAGTGTAAGTGTACTTGTGAAGGCGATCCCGCCAGCGATAGGCATTTATCGTCGAACCATGTACTTGTCAAAATGTATCTCAATACATGACCATGTGTAAGTCGTGTGTTTCCGGAAGGGCATCGCGGATGGCTGTCTAGAATGCAGTATTTAACGAACGAGAACAAACATGGAGACTTGCGCGTGGAGAAAGGCAGCCGCACTTTCCCACTTTCAGTTGACGCGGCAGGTCGGTGATACGAAAAGTCCCAATCATCATGGGTGGTAAATGCAGCCATGTCTTCACTCACCAGAAGATGGTCAGCGCTGCACGTTCATGTACATGCCCAATGACGCGCTCACCGTTACACGAGCAGTTTCTCTGGCTGCCCGTGTAGTCGGGTCGTGACCATTCATTGCTCCAGCGTACAGTTACCGGGTCACAGCCAGCCGGGGCCTGCGGCAGGCTGCGTTCCGGGCACCGGCAGGTCGGTCGCTGCCCAGTGTACTGATCCCCGTGACCAGTGCAGAGACGCTAGTGGGGCCTGTCCTTCCATCAGTCGGGACAAAGTAAATTTTTTGATAGAACCTTCGTCTGTGGGGGCGGTTCAGCGCGTACTCTGGCTGCGGCAGTAGCGGCAACACAACTACGGCGGTATCCGCGGCGTGACCTGCGGGTCGCCAGCAAGGCCTGACATCACGGAACCACCTGCCAGCGCCGAGTCGCACGGCGTTCCGCAGCGTTCTGCGTACTCCTGGCCTGAACCTGAGCCCGGCTCTTCACTGTTGGTGCGGCGCCGACGCTGGTCCCGGCTGCTGTCGTGCGGCGGCAGGCGTAGGCTGCAGCTGGCCTCTTATACCAATTACAGACATAGCAAGAAAACATTCTTTCTGAAACGCGGGGAGAAATCGATAATTTTCTCAGCCAGCTGCAAAAACGATCTTGCACGACACTACCACCGTCGCCTCGAACCTAATCAACCAGCAGAAACGTGTGGTCACACGACCGCAGACTACAGACCATAAAATGCATATTTATTATTGAAAACATAAATTTTACAACAGTTTTAGGCACGGACTGGGGTTACTTATTTCCTCTGGTTCTAACCGGGTCAAGGCAACGCGTTAACAGAGCCATTGCGACACCGTCCAGCGAGAGAACAATCCACAGTGGACAATCCAGTGGAGACGACGGCGGCGTCGCGGAACACGGCGGCTGGAGCTGCGCTGGCACCGCAGGCGGCTGGTGGCGCCGCATCGGCGACCACACCACCTGCACCGCCAGCCCGACCAGCTGTCAGCGTCCTTCAGCTGACCGCATTCCGACGCTCCGCGCTGCTGGACGGCCGCGCCGGCCCGCGCCCAGCAGCACACGCCGCCCGGCGCCGGCCACCAGCGGCCGACTGCTTCATATCTGGCGCAGAGAGCGGCGCCGCGGCGCATGCGGCGCGGCGGCGGCGCGGCGGGGCGCGCTCGCGTGACTAGACTGTCCGGCCGCCGCCGCGCGCTCAGGTCGGCCTACTCGGACTCGCTCTCCGACTCGACGCTCTCCACGGTCAGCTTGGCCGTGGCCTCGCTGGTGCCCGCGCTGTTGGAGGCGCGGCACGTGATGACGCCCGAGTCCTCCTCGTACGTCTCGACGATCTCCAGCGTCGCCGTGTTGCCACTGATGGTCATCTGCCGGTGGTGAGCGCGGCGGTCAGTACAGGGCATGACACGCACTCGGCACGGGGTATGACACACGGTCAGCACTAGGCATGACACGTGGTCAGCACGGGGCGTGACACGCGGTCAGCACGGGGCGTGACACGCGGTCAGCACGGGGCATGGCACGCAGTCAGCACAGCGGCAACAGCACTGAGCTAACGTGATCAGCAAAGTTCTCTAGATGAGCACGTGCCGCGGAAAATCTCAAACCGTCTATCGTATCGACAGACCAGTAACAAGCTGTGACGTTACGGCAAATAAGTGTCTATCAACACGGCTATCTCGATGCATTTATCTAGTATTAACACGAGAGGCCTCAGGCTAAGTGACCTTCCACCATCAACGACAAACGAGAGAGAGAAATAACTTGATAGGAAGTGCTCCCATCCTGAAGTCATCACCACTGATTTCGAGTTTCTCACGCCGCCTCGCAGCAATAGCCTTAACACTCCACTGCAATGCGGTATCGCCTTTGAAGACCCGCCATGCCCGGCGGCACCGACCTTGAAGTCCCTGCTCTGCGGAATGAGCGTGTCCTCGCGCAGCCAGCTGACAGTGGGGGTCGGCTTGCCGGTGATCTTGGCCGAGAAGCGGGCCGCCTCACCCTCGTCACAGGTGACGTCCTTCAAGCCGACCACGGTCGGCGCCTCGTCCTGCTTCGGAGCTGGGGGCGCAGCGGCGGCCGGTCAGCGGCACAGGGTTGCCGAGCGAATGGCACAGGGTCGCCGGAATGGCGGAAAAGAATCGCTGAGTGAGCGGCGCTGGGTCGTCTTGTGAACGAAGGAAGCCACCGTTAGTCTTGTAGTGGCGTTCCAGAGGAGTGAGCTACGCAATGAAATCAATTGAGCAACGCAATGAAATCAATTGAGCAACGCAATGAAATCAATTGAGCTTACCCATGAGTTAAGCTTCAGCAAAGTCAGCAGTGAAGTATCCTGGAAACCAGCATTGCTACGAATTTGATTTCTCATACGCACCGGTGATCGAAGCTTACCTTGGACCTTGAGCGGCGCCTTCATGGTGGACTTGCCGGCCGAGTTGGTGGCCACGCAGTAGTACGTGCCCTCATCCTCGGGGAAGCACTCTGATATCCTCAGCACGAACGCGTCGCCTTCCTGCTCCATCTTGAAGTACTTGGACGGCTTGATGGGCTTCTCGTCCTTCTGCCACTGGGCGGTCGGTGCTGAAATAAAGTCCATTGTAAGGGCGGGTAAAAGAAAACATGGTCAGAATTACTGACTCCTATTTCATGATCTCATATACACTCTAAGCCGCCAACGGCCAAGTTGGTGGCCACGCAGTAGTACGTGCCCTCATCCTCGGGGAAGCACTGGCATCAAAGTTTGACCGTGTTCCCCATTTTCAGCGTTTTCTGCGTCGGTTAGAGCACTACGCACGCACTCGATGGGGCCGGGCCTTACCGGGATGTCCGCTGAACCGACACCGGAACATGGCCGGCTGTCCCTCCGTCACGATAAGGCCCTTCATCGGCTCCGAGATCTTGGGCGCCACGTCCTTCTGCTCCGGCTGCGGCTTCGGCTTGGGCTTCGGCGCCGGCGGCGGGCTCTCCACCACGAGCTGCCGGTCAAGGAACAGCGTTAGTACGCCACACATCAAATTTTGCATCGTTCGAAAGCGTTCGGTGGGGCTGCCACAGGCACCATCAAAACGTCAGTGATGTCGAATAAAACGTCCCATCCATCATGAGCGTCAATGAACGGCGAGTTCCGGACATGTTAATACCAACGACACTGCTGGTAGAAGGCTACACTGACTGAGCGGTTCGCGGGCCGTCTGTCTGAGCATCTGTACTGCGCCATATGGGGTGTGGTTCGCAGACCTGTGCTGGGGCCGTCCTGCTCACAGTCCGTCTCGGCCCTGCCGGGCTCGCGAGGACACCCGCCCCGCGGAGGGAGCCGGCCCCCAGCTGCGTACCTGTCCCTGACAGCGGGCCCTGCCGGGCTCGCGAGGACACCCGCCCCGCGGAGGGAGCCGGCCCCCAGCTGCGTACCTGGCCCTGACAGCGGGCCCTGCCGGGCTCGCGAGGACACCCGTCCTGCGGAGGGAGCCGGCCCCCAGCTGCGTACCTGGCCCTGACAGCGGGCCCTGCCGGGCTCGCGAGGACACCCGTCCTGCGGAGGGAGCCGGCCCCCAGCTGCGTACCTGGCCCTGACAGCGGGCCCTGCCGGGCTCGCGAGGACACCCGCCCTGCGGAGGGAGCCGGCCCCCAGCTGCGTACCTGGCCCTGACAGCGGGCCCTGCCGGGCTCGCGAGGACACCCGCCCCGCGGAGGGAGCCGGCCCCCAGCTGCGTACCTGTCCCTGACAGCGGGCCCCGCCGGGCTCGCGAGGACACCGGTCCTGCGGAGGGGGCCGGCCCCCAGCTGCGTACCTGGCCCTGACAGCGGGCCCCGCCGGGCTCGCGAGGACACCGGTCCTGCGGAGGGAGCCGGCCCCCAGCTGCGTACCTGGCCCTGACAGCGGGCCCCGCCGGGCTCGCGAGGGCACCTGTCCTGCGGAGGGAGCCGGCCCCCAGCTGCGTACCTGTCCCTGACAGCGGGCCCCGCCGGGCTCGCGAGGGCACCTGTCCTGCGGAGGGAGCCGGCCCCCAGCTGCGTACCTGTCCCTGACAGCGGGCCCCGCCGGGCTCGCGAGGACACCCGCCCCGCGGAGGGAGCCGGCCCCCAGCTGCGTACCTGGCCCTGACAGCGGGCCCCGCCGGGCTCGCGAGGACACCGGTCCTGCGGAGGGAGCCGGCCCCCAGCTGCGTACCTGTCCCTGACAGCGGGCCCCGCCGGGCTCGCGAGGGCACCTGTCCTGCGGAGGGAGCCGGCCCCCAGCTGCGTACCTGGCCCTGACAGCGGGCCCCGCCGGGCTCGCGAGGACACCGGTCCTGCGGAGGGAGCCGGCCCCCAGCTGCGTACCTGGCCCTGACAGCGGGCCCCGCCGGGCTCGCGAGGGCACCTGTCCTGCGGAGGGAGCCGGCCCCCAGCTGCGTACCTGGCCCTGACAGCGAGCCTCGCCCGAGCTGTTGATCGAGACGCATTCGTAGGAGCCCGAGTCCTCGACGGTCGGCTCCAGGATGAGCAGCGTGAACACCTCCTGCTCCTCCAGGATCTTGTGCTTCATGTCGGCGGCCACCTTGTGGCCGTTCTGCGGACCGACCGGTGACGTCAGATGGGGGCGGCCGATGACGTCCGACGGGACTCGGTGGTCGCCGACAAAGTCAGAGCCTACCCCGCTCGCTGGCAGGCGCACAGAGCGCTCACTACCTTGTGGTTCATCAAGTTGGTGCCCATTTAATTCACGTACACCACGAACACCGGGTTCGAAACATCTAAGCAGATGGACGTGTCCTCGAAAAGACCATCTTATTTACCCATCCCCGACGCATAGCCAAGTCGCCCTTTAAATGATCTGAATAAATGAGACTTGCAGCATTGTGACTTCTTTCCTCCGCCCCCCACCCCCACCCTCACCAGCGTTTTCGACACGTCATACCACCGGCCGATGGCCACCGGCAGCGTCACGAACAATTCCGGCGCCAGGTCCTCACCTTGAGCCAGTACACATCCATGGGCTTGGTGCCGGCCAGCTTGGCGTCGAAGCGGGCCAGTTTGCCGGCCTTCACCGTCGTGTCCTGGATGGTCTGCACGAAGTTGGGCGGCGCCGCCGCGCCGCGCGCCTGCTTGCGCTCCTCCACCACCAGGTTGGCCGAGCACTTGGCCTTGCCACCGCGGTTGGAGGCGATGCAGGAGAACTGGCCCGAGTCCTCGCTGAAGACCTCGCGGATTTGCAGGATAGAGCGCTTCTGTGTGGTGGTGATCTATCGCCGGGAGACGCGGGCACGCTGTCATCCCGCTCCCGAGCCGAGCCCGCCATCGATTCGACGACAGTGCTTTACGATGGTGGTGATTATCGGAGTAGCGAAGACAAATGCACCCCGATGCTGAGCAAGCAATACGCACTCACACAACCGAGGTGAAAGATCGCCACAAATGATTAAACACGCGGTTACAAAACCTTGTTGTGACACGAAAATTACTCTAACATATGGGGTGCAATAACCCGTCAATGTAATAACCCCGAGCGCCAACTGGGGCGCATCAGGAGGCGTGTTTTCGATGGCGCATGTTGCCCCGCCTGCCGGCCGCCGCACCTTGAAGTCGGAGCTGCTCTGGATCAGGAAGTCCTCGCGGAACCATTCGATCTCCGGCGCAGGGTCGCCGCTGAACTCCACCTCGAACTTGGCGCCCTCCTTATCGAACACGCGGCACGGCTGCATCTTGCGCGTGAAGAACGGCGGCTTGGACGGCTCCTGTCGACACGCGGCAGCGGCTGAGATCTAGGGCTCGCGTGAGACGTGTTTCACCGGCCGCCGCTTGGCGGCAGCACCGTACACCCAGCCGCGCAGGTCACTGGCAACCACGCCTCTTCTGTCACTTCGCAGTTACAACCAACGGAACTATCACAGAGAAACGGCAAAATGTCGAAGTTGTATGGAATCACCTGATACATGAACACACTAAAATCATGCTGCTCGCCTTCAAACAACCCTCAGGTCTATCTCATGACAACATCATCAGTGTATTTTTGCGAATAACGAAGTGAAACAAGAAGCAAGCTGAGGCCGTTCAGGTACGATCCTCAGTTGCTGTCCGTCTGACGACAGTTGAAAATTATCATCCGCGGAATTGAATACTAAAATACCAAACGTTTGGCGACACTGAGGGGTCAATCTTCAAACTGTAAGATGGTGGTTGGTTAGTGATCGGAACCCACCACTTTTCCCTTGACGACTCGGTCCTGCATCTGAGCCTTGTGCTCCACTTCCGACGTCTCCTTGGCGGTGATCTTGCGCTGGATCTCCAGATCGCCGCGCACCTCCTTCTGCTGCTGCTTCTGAATGTTCGTGTGGATCTGCCAAACCACCATTGCTGAATTCGCGCCCTCAGGCGTTACGTCAACGTCAAATCATCGCATTAATGCCAACCCTGAAACATGCTACTAATCTCACAACAAAACGTTGCCGCGCACAGTTTCACCCTATGCTGGGTGATGCAACAGTGAGAGTGAAGTAACAATGCCACGCGGCACAACCAGCGCGACTCAAACCCATGCTCCAGCGTCGCAGTCGCTGCCTTCCCTGACGTGGGCACTAGCCCTGCCAACCTGGCACCAGGCCTCACCTCCTTGCCCTGCACAGTGGACTCGGCCGGGCCGGGCATGAACTGCCGGCGCGGCGGCGGCTGAGCCTGCGGCTTCTGGTCGGCATCCGTGCTGAAACCAGCCGCCGCAAAACAGCGTCAGCAGCGCAACGGGGGCGGCGGCACGGTCAGGCGAACAGCGTCAGCGGCGCAGCGCGGCGGCAGCACAGTCAGGCGAACAGCGTCAGCGGCGCAGCGGGGCGGCAGCACAGTCAGGCGAACAGCGCGGCGGGGGGACTTTGTGCGAACACAGCCACATGCATCACTCACGGCGCATGTGGTTGTGTTCGCACCGACACACGGCATCGACGGGAAACGGGAATGCGCATCGCAAACGCAACGGGTTCCGTGTCGACGCACAACAGCAGGTTCATTCGGCAGCAGACGACGACTTAACGGACAGCACTAAAAATATGTCGCTGAAACATGGACCATGTGCAAGATTTGTGACCTTGGCATTTCCACTGACGCCGGAACTACGAAACCCATTTGCGCTTGCTGCGTCATGTTGTGTGGAAATAACTGCAAAAGTTGCGTGGTTCTCAAATTACAGCAGATGCACGCACGTTGCGTTTCGCGAAATCCAGTGTCCATCCGATCCAATCCATCCATCACCAATCCAGTGTCTGAGTTGCGCGACGTGGATCCCTGCAGCCTGGATCCTCGAAGGCTCGAAGACCTGCTACGTGACGTCCTTTATTTCAGACATTTAAAGCTATTGGTGTTATAATGACGCTTGTGTCGGTATATCAGGGCCTCATCGGTTGTGCATGTTTGCAACCTCAAATACAAATCACGATTCATCTCAACCTTCCAACTCAGCAATCAAAAAGATAAGATGGAGACTGTGGTGCTCAGAGAATGGTAGCAAAAATGAGCCCCTTCCTAAAGGCCTATTAACTTGCCGTAACGTTATACTCTCGGTCTCACCTAGCAACATTTGTTCCCCGCAGTATCCAGCTTACAACAGATTTGAATATTTTATGAAATTTATATCAAGTTATCCTAACCGGTCAAAGCTACTTGAAGCATGGTTTATGTTATCCTCAAACAATTATCAAAACATCTCATGTAAACAGCACATGGCGTAACGCCGTGGCAAACACGTTAGTGGCGCTTTCATCAGTGCATGAGGCTTCGGACTGAGACATTTGGACCCCGATGACGTATGTGGAATGATGCTCCCTGGCTGAGTGATGCCACTCTGCTGACTCAATAATTGCATTTAATCTTGCGATTGCACTTCCAGAGACCTAATGCACCTTGCGAAGTACTGTATTTAACGTCAAGCATCCCTCCATGTTGTCTGCAACACTTAAGAGGCCACTGCCATGATTCATAAGGTCCGAATTGACGGCATTGCTTGGAAAATTTAAATATTCAGCATGTGTTATCGAAAATTGGCATAATTGAGCATTGCCGAGGCTATTGTCATATGCTTGCATGATGCACATTAGACAAAAATTTCGACAAAATACCCCTGTGAAACAATCCATGACGATCGCGTGCTGTCCGACGTTTTGCAAAGAATGTCAAGTGTCGAAAAAGCATGCAATTCATGCCAACGATTCTCGTAAGGTGCTGTTATTCGACGGATGCAAGTCTCTGCCAGGCGTGGTTACGCAAAATGAATTTCAGACGTCTAATATCAAAGACAATCATTGTATGACGGTCAAACATGCACTGACGTCATCTTCGGCATGCTGGCGATGCGTGACAAAAGCCCACTCACTCGCTTCAAAGAGTTAACGTAAGCAGCACACCGGCCTTTTTTTAAAGCGTTTACTAGCCTCTGATTTATCACCGACGACACGATAGCTAAACTAACACAAAAGGCAGCAGTATCAAAATACAGCAAGAAACGTCCTGCCGACATAACCACTTTTCTATGAAGCAATGAACGAACTACGATAACACTCAACGCTCCACAGTACCTAATCTGCATTCCCAGAACAGATTTGGCCCCTCTGGTCATTTTAGTAGTCTGCTTCGATGTATCGGACGTCTCATCCCTAGGCAGAGGAGCACATCGTTCATGATTATCACCTCCATCATTACCAGCACCATCACAGCCCACACAGTCATCGCCACCATCCCTACTCGACGAGCCTGAAAGCGGACCTGGTGACCATTCCAGCAACGTTTCCATCTGGCATGTCTTATCTCAGACACTCAGACAATCGGGAGTCGGCCGCAGCTACGATACCACCAATGACGCACACGGCAGATGACGACCACGGGTGCGTAGTGAGGACACGAGGCAGCTGCCGACCTCGCCTATACCATCATGGTAAAGGCGACGCCTACACCATCATGTACATCATGTACATCCTGTAGATGGTGATGTACCGGCGACAAAGCGGCGCCAGCCACCAAACGGCTTCAAGCTGTCGTCGTTGCTAGCTGCCTGTTTGGACCATTACCGAGCTGGGAGACAACTAACACGTATGGTCAGGACATGAGTGTGTGCCACGGCCGATCGGAAGACCAGCAGGAGTCATTACCGAGCTGGGAGACGACTAACGGTCAGGACATGAGTGTGTGCCGCGGCCGATCGGAAGACCAGCAGGAGCCAGTGCTGGTTCATGGTGGGCATGCTTAGATGTCCAAGGTGACACTGTTCACAAGCTGTTACAATTGTCCCTGGTTCGACTCAAATAGGCAGCTAAAGGTGCGACTCAGCCGGTGTACACAATTAAAACAGAGCGACAATTCTTTGAGAGCCGATGCGCAGAGCGTCTTTCAAGCGCCAAAAGTAATGCAATGATTTGATTGTTCTCGAAACATCGCGTCGTCAAACACCACCTCACGTTTGTCTATATATACTTCATAAACATGAGGCGATGCTCAAATAATCTCTGGGCTCCTACCGACTAATACGGACTCCTACCGCCCAATGCTACGGACTCCTACCTGATACAGATACGGGTCGCCGGACTCCTACCGCTCAATGATGCGGAATTCTACCTGATCAATGGAGCTAGAAATGCGCGAGGTGCCACTATTTTTAAGGCCTAGCACCTCTAAGCTGACTCTTCGCACATTCCTAGTAATGGACCAAACGTGTCTCTAGCAGTGAACAGGAGAGATTCTTCACCACGTGCTAGCTGTGGTCTCTGTCAGCTAACAAGCGTACAACAGGTTTAACTTGCTAGACATGCACCAGGGTCTTCGGCTAGACTATCGTACGCCTACAAAGATACCTGAGGAAATACTGCGCCGTACTGGAACATTCTTCAACTGTCTCACTTTCGTGTACCCTACGACGAAAGCATGGTCACAGCGATCCGGAACTGCTGAGTCATGAATCCTAACAGATGTCGGTGCTAAAGTATATGAGCGCACATGTAGGTATACAGTCAAGCTGCATCATAGCACCAGGAAAGAAGAATAAATGAGAACATGGTACTTTGTGCGACAGCGATCTGACGTGGACTGCAAACGTGTCTGTTGCCTATAGCATGGGTTACACGGTTAAGAGATCGGTAGGCCGTTTTGTAAGGACGTCAAATTATACCCGACATGGAAAACAAACATATGCCAGATTCGAAGACGCAAATGCGCGGTCTGGTTTGAGAGCAAAGTAGGGCAAACCGCCTGAGAGGCTGGGCCTGCACTCACAGCTTCTGCATGTAGCTGGCAGCCATGCCCTTGGCGACGGAGCTGTGTTTGATCTTCTCTCCCGGGACGGCGAACTGGTGACCCGACTCGCGGATCTTGGACTCCTTCATCAGCTGGTCCTCCTCCAGCTGTGGACATCCGATGCGCACCCCCGCTGTACGGCACGCCCGACTGCCCCCTTCAGTTGCCAACATCTCACATACGCGCTGCATCTTCACACTTCCCTCGTCACCGTCCTTGAGCTGCCAACGTCCCACACGTCCGCCGTCCACAACCGCCGCGGTTCATCGCCATCCTGTTCGTGAAGACCGGTCCAAAAAAGTGGTCCGTACAGGTGACTTTTGTGTCACACAACCACAAAACAATATTTGACATACGCGCATGGTATCATTCAGCAATGCATTCAAGGCTATGCTTGATCGTATGTGAGAACAGCGGACTTAACTTCACGTCTTTTCCGGGCATAAGGTCTCGATCAAGCCCCGGCTGCGTGCATGCAGCACCAGGTGGCCTCACCTGTTTGTAGCTGCTGTAGTAGTCGGCGCCCTTCTTGGCCTTGGCCATGCGCTGCCACTCGGTCTCGGGCTGCTCCACCACCTTCTGGTGCTCACCCTGGTGCAGCACCGTGATGCCGGGCCGCACCTTCTCCTCGAATATCCGCTCCAGCTCGCCGTCCTGACGCTCCTTCTGGTACTGCTTCAGGTCGTAGTCGTACCAGGCTGCGGGCGCGGGCGTATGCACGGCCGTCATACGCGGGTACAGTGTAGTACGAGAGTGGTATCAAGCCACCGGGTCGGCGGTGCTTGCGTGGTTCCGTGGTACCATGTACCATCGGCAGCGGAGTACCACTTGTCCGGCTCCAGCCGGGCGCCCTCAGCGGCATGGCCGGTATGCAGCGTTGCAACGCACCAACTTTTTAAGGCTTTACGACAATAAAAGCACGTCGCTGGATTTGCGTTTCAATTGTTAATCACCGCCTATAAGATACTTAAACATCGTATGGATTAGCAATTTTTACAACTGGTGAGGAAGTGATATGTCTTAAAACCTTGACAGATGACTCAGAAAATCGTGTAAAACATTCATCATTTGGGTCATCGGTACGCAAAACTCCTTGCCATAATAAACTACCTCAAATCATAAAATAATCTAGCCCAAGATAATCCTTCAACCCGATGACAGACACAAATGTTCTTACACAGTCAAGACATTTAAAATGTTTAAAACATATCGCACAATACGTCATAAAACACACGATACTTTACTCATGAATGTCACGATCCTTTTGCAAGCGTTACCTTAAACATCTTGTACAGACCTTAAACTTTGATTTCATCTCGCAATGTTTCTGCTGCCTAACCTTTATGACTTTCACTTCCAGCACAAACGTCCATCACGCACTGATTGCGGACGGCACTGAAGTCATTACTACATCAAATCCATTGCAATGGACTAGCTTATACTTTACCCAACAATATCTATTTGGATCTAACGACGAGAATTCAAACATACATTTGTGTCAGAAGGAGGCGGATGGAGGGGGGGGGGGGGGGGGAGCACCCCGCGTAGCCGTCCCCTTGTCGTAACCCGGCTCACGTTTGGGCGAGTTCTTGAGCATGGCGCGGTAGTCGTCCTGCTTGGCCGTCACGTTCAGCTCGCAGGCGCAGTAGGCCTCGCCGGCGGCGTTGCGCGCGATCACCTCGATCTTGCCGTTGTCGTACTGGCGCGTCTTGGGGATGTCCAGTCGCCACATGCCGTCGTAGGTCAGCTTGTAGCGCGTGCCCTGCGGAGACCGGGCAGCGTCGCCGTCAGCAGATCAGCGGCTGAGGTCTCCTCGCCGTCGCCGCGTACACGGCGTGCTCGTTGACGAAGCATGTGCCGCGCGATCGACGGGTATTCGCGTTGACAATGGTGTGTCCATTGACGAAGCACGTGCCGCGCGGTCTGCGGGTACTCACACTGACAATGGCGTGTAAATCGACAGAGCACGCGCCGCGAGATCTGCGGGTTCTCACGTTTACGATGGCGTGTCTGTTGACGAAGCACGTGCCGCGAGATCTGCGGGTACTCACGTTGACGATGGTGTGCCCGTTGATGAGCCACATGACGCGCGGACGCGGGTGGCCGGTGAGACGGCAGCAGAAGCGCGACCAGTCGCCCTCCTTCACCGACACAGACTCGGGCTTGGTGACGAACACGGGCGCCTCATTCGGCTTCTCCTCGTCCACGGCCCTGTCCGGGGCCCGGTTCCACTGCGACTCCATCTCCTGGATCCGCTTCATCGACTGCATGCCGGCCGGCAGCTGCGACTCGTACACGATGCCCGGCTTGCCCTGCGGCAGGACGGTGCAGAGGCGGTGATGCACGTTACCCAGCTTGGATGCCCACAACTTGTACGCAACATCTGTCGTCGCCACACACCACTCCCCATGTGGCATAACCCACGCTGCGCACTTCGATAGCAGCTCCCAAACGCAAAGGAAACTAGCCCAACCGCAATGCAACACGTAGCACGGAGACGACTGACAAGGCGGTACAGGTTTACTTTCTTAGCCGCTGCCGTTGAACGTGCAACTGACCTTGGTCTTGATGACGGCGCGCGTCTCGTCCATGCCGTACAGGTTGGTGGCGCGGCACACGTACTCGCCAGAGTCCTCCGGGTACACCCAGCCGAAGTTCATCGCCACGTAGCCGAAGTCGTAGATGGGCGTGAAACGGTTCTCTGCGAGGAGACAGACAATTAATTCAAGCCGTGTGAACGTCGTTGTTGGATGGTCAGCAATACTGGGGGGGGGGATCATATATATATATATATATATATATATATATATATATATATATATATATATATATATATATAGGCAGCCCAAGATTGATTTTGAAGTCAAAACTAGCATCAGTGCATTGCAGTCGAGCTGCTCAAAACATCTATTTTCAAAATACAATAAAATAATTGATGTTTTTTGTTATTGACGATGCCGTTGTACACCATTCGCCGCTATCATAGGGTCTGGCTGAGATATGTTGAGGTTGCTAATGCTGAATGCACTGAGGCCAACGGGGACTGAGAGCGCCAGTGAAATCGGTGTGCCAAATTACGGCTACTGTCCCAGAGCCACTGATTCACACCACTGACTGGCGGATTCGTGATGTGTGGAGAGGTCGCAATCCACACCGGCAGATCTATCCGCGCAGCGTGCGCGCCTCCGACCACTCACTGTGGGGCAGCGGCCGGCCGTTGAAGAACCACTCGACCTTCATGTTCGGGTCTCCCACCGGCGCCAGCTGGCACTCGAACTTGGTCTCCTCCATCTCCGTCAGCTCCAGCTGGTCCTGAATCTGCGTCACGAACCTGCGGGCCGGACGATCGCCCACTGAGCCCGCCGCCACGGACGCAGCAACAGACTGCCGACCGGCGGCCAGCGCCGGCCGGTCCCGGTAACAGCCGCCGTGTTCGCTCGACCGGCGCTCAGGGCGGCGCGGACGAGGTGGCGCGCCGTGTCAGAAGCGGCTGCTGAGCCGGTGCACGGGGAAGGGAGTCCTGGATGGACGTGCGCCGTTGACGCAAGAAGGCGATGTTGAGGAAAGGTAAACTGGTATCCCGGTACTAAGCCTGCTTGAGGAAACAGGCAACGCGTCGCTAGCCCAAATCACGCGTCCAAACGACGTGGTCAGGCAAACGTATCAACTTCTTTCGAGCGAGCATGGACCGGCTCGTTTCTGAGAGTTGCAACAATGTGCATCCACACGACTGCTCGTAAAACGGGGAGCCATTGGCCGCTGCCTTCATGGCGTGGATATCGTCTTGAGGACACTTCGCACCGAGCCGCGTCGGTGACCTGCGGCCGGTCGGGTCGGGCCAGTGACCTGTGACCGGTGGGGCCGGGTCAGTGACCGCACCTGGGTGGCTGCTTCCGGTCGGCGTCGTAGATATCATCCTCAGTCAGCTGGATGTCGGAGGTGTACTGCTTCAGCGCCGCCTCCATCTGCATCAGGTAGTCCGACTTCTTCATGCCCTTCGGCACCTGGGTCAGCATGATCACCGACGAGATGGCTGGGGGATGCAATAGGGTCAGTTAAATCGTGATGCTTAGCACTCTGCCCTCCATCTACAAACCAGCAGACCAAGCCTGTTGATCTGGACGGCCACATCAGCCCGGCGGAATGACCCAAGACAGCAAAGCACGTCTGTTGAGCTCAGTGCCAGTTCACATTCTCGCAGCCGCCACAGCCATTAAAGATCGGCGAATTCGCAGCGTTCCATACAAGCCACTTCGAAGCTTACACAACTGACAGGCGTCACCTGAGCGATGACGCTGGAACGGTCAATGACACCATCAGTGAGTGCCACACTTTCGCATTTAAATAGGCATCGCTCATGTGCCGGTGAGTAATGTGTCTCTACCGGCGGTCAGCACTGTGCCTGCATGAGTCAGCACCTCGCCTAAGCAGGTGATTATCATACTTCTACAGGTGAGTGTCGCAGCTGTGTACCTCCGCGCGTGTACTGTACCTCGGCAGGTGAGCGCGCTCTTGCAGGTGGCCTGGCCGGCCCGGTTGACAGCGCGACACGTGTACTCGCCGCCGTCCTCCGGGTACACGCCCAGGATCTGCAGCGACGCGTACCCGAAGTCGAACGTCGTCCGGAACCTGCCGGCCAGAGGGAGCTGCTGAGAGGCGCCCGCTCTCACGGTAAGAGCCGGGAACACGACGGCCGGGGATAGCTCTGGACGTCCGAGAACAGCTCCGGACGGCCGGGGATAGCCCTGGACGTCCGAGAACAGCTCCGGACGGCCGGGGATAGCCCTGGACGTCCGAGAACAGCTCCGGACGGCCGGGGATAGCCCTGGACGTCCGAGAACAGCTCCGGACGGCCGGGGATAGCTCTGGACGCAAGGGAACAGCTCTGGACGTCTGGGGATCGCTCTGGACGTCCAAGAACAGCTCTGGACGGCCGGGGATAGCCCTGGACGTCCGAGAACAGTTCTGGACGGCCGGGGATAGCTCTGGACGGCCGGGGATAGCTCTGGACGCAAGGGAACAGCTCTGGACGGCCGAGAACGGCTCTGGGCGGCCGGGAACAGTTCTGGACGGCTGGGAATAGACGAGGACAGTTGGGTACAGAGGTACAGCAAGAAAATGCCGAAAACAACATGGTGTACTGCACCAACTGTTTTGCCCACTATTCTGGCATTTGTTTAGTCTCGCTTAAGTAGTGCCTGCATTGCAGGCGTTTGTTGACGCCGTGACATAACCGGACTTATCATGACCATATAAACCATCCATTTCCATAGCAATGTGGAAGTGACCATGTCTGATGCCTTTATTAGGACACTGGACATGAAGAGAAACTCTTAAACGGACGTGTGTACTGTTCACATACAGACAGTGCAGTATGACCACACCACTGAATGCTGAACCCCGGCCAGCGGTCGAGCCGCGCCCAGCCCGCCGACCCCCACGTACCTGTGGCCGGTCTGGACCAGCACGCCGTTGCGGTACCACTCGACGCGCAGGTTCGGGTCCGTCTTGGGCTCAATCTTGGCGTCGAAGAAGGCTGTCTCGCCCTCGCCGATGTCGACGTTTTCGATCTGTGACGTCACAGGAATGTGGTGACGCCGGTCTGTTCGAACCCTGTGCGTCTCGCCCAATGGCCGACGTCCTTTGAAGAGGACGATGAGCAGGGCGCAGCACGCGTTTCACAATGTTTGTTGGGGGCGAATGGATAATGCATCTTCGCGATTACTGGTAAACATTTGCACCACATGTGTGCGAGGTAATTTCAAGGGATGCCAAGGCCAAAACAATGGCAGATATCTGACATCGACGTTTCAGAGCTAATCTAAAAAAAATGTGGACATGTCGAGAACATGACGTCATAACATCACAGCAACGGCTATCCGTTATGCGGAGCGGTACACGCCCGGCGGCATCGCGGCCAGCAGACGTGACACTGCGTCTGAGCGGTGCCGAACGTCATCTCACTACGCCACTCTGCCGAACTGACCTCCTTGATGAACCTGGGCGGCTCAGCCTCCGGCTGCGGCGCCTGCGGCTCTCCCAGCTGGGGGCCCTCCTCCAGCGCGCGCAGCTTGTCACCCGACATGCCCTGGGGCAGCTGCGATTCCAGCAGCACGTCCCGCTTGGCTAGGGCGAGGTCGGCACAGGGTCAGAGGCAGCACGGGGAGGGGGAGGGGCGCTCCGATCACGGAGATCGCGGCAAGCGCAGTCTTCTGACACAACCGAGTAGCGATCCCCGAGTCAGCCCCGCTGGTCATACTGATACTTCATGGGCGAAGAACGGGATACTTATGCTTGACATCTGAACAGGGGGTATGGGAATGGTGCACATTCACGATGTGTTACCTCCACGAGTTCGCATTTGGACCAACACAAAAAGCTAGCCGGCGGCCTGTTGATGGGCTGGAGACCGATCGGCACGTCAGTGTACAAGACCGGATACGGACCCGAGGCCGGTCTGTAACGCACAGACGTCCAGCTGTTAGTGACACACACACACATACACGCACGACACGCGGTGATCAGGCGGGTACACTCGGGTGAGTTAGTGAGGCGGAGCACAGCCAATGTTAACACGCCACCTGGCCAGGGTTGTTCTTTGACCAGTGTTTGGTGCCGGGGGAGGCGCTATTATAAAAGGGGTTCGTCTAAAACGTAAGGGGGCAAAATGTAACACTCAACAGCTAAGCGATCTGCACAGCAAAGGCGCTCTGCAGCCCAATGCGTGTGGTGCGCAGCAGCAATGCACATAAAGTGGACAGACAGTTGGAATAGTGGTCCACGGACACAGACACGCTCCAGAGCTTGACAACGCTCTGTCGGGCAGGATGCAGGCTCGATACCTTTGCAGATGAGGGTGGCCTTGGTAGACGCGGTGCCCCACTTATTGGTGGCGCGGCACACGTACTCCCCAGAGTCCCTCGGGAACGTCCAGTCCAAGTCGAGCACGATGAACCCGAAGTCATCCAACATGTGCACCCTGCAATACGACCATTGAAGGAGCGAGCCCCCCCACGTTTACAGGCGTCCCTAGCAGGCACCACAGGATAACCCTCACATGCCGGCGTCTTCGTGCAGCTCCTTGGACAACGCCGGTTACAAGGTGAATAATACGACGTCTTTTCACGTGAAATCTTCAAAATTGCCCAAAAAGGTAGCATTCACGATGCCTGCCCAAATTGTATGCTGTGATCGGACTTAACATATCGGTAAGACAGCAAGTGAGACATCCAACCACCATCGGTGAGACAGACAAGCATTCAAAGGCCTCGCATGCCATCAGAAAAAACAACCCATCACGTCCAGCAGCAGATAATCCCCAAAACACGCTAATCGGACGCTCCGTTCCACGCTGCAGCAACCACCCTAGCAGACCGCCAAGCAGCCCCGTACCTGGATCCAGTGTCGATGGGGCGGCCGTTGAAGAACCACTCGATGCGCATGCTGGGGTCGCCGACGGGCTCGACACGGCAGTCGAAGTGCGCCGGCTGGCCCTCGTACAGCTGGTCCTGGTTCTGCAGCTCGGTGACGAAGCGCGGCGGGTTGGGCTTCTCCTCCTGCTCGGGCGCCGGCTCGGCCTTGTGCAGCGACTCCTCCAGCTGACGGATGCCGGACATGTCGTGCGGCATCTGCGGCTCCAGCACCACACCCTGCCGGCCCTGTGGGAGGAGGGAGGAGGGGAGGGAGGTCACTCGTCGCTCCCGCGGGACCGAACGGCACGGCTCCAGCACCACACCCTGCCGACCCCGTGGGGAGCGGTAGCCCTCCCTAGCTCAGGGGACATGACGGCACGCGGAGCGAGAGAGCAGGCATGGTTGCAGGGAAGGATCCGGGCGCCATGATCAGAAGCACGTGGCCTATCAAATTAATCTGGAACGGCATTCGCTAGCTGCGGCACACGCAGGCATAACAGCCATCACATTATGGACTTGGAGCTCCAGCTTTGGCGGCGGATGGGAACGCGCATCGCTTACCTTGACGGTAAGGGTGCATGAGACGGTGGCCTCTCCGTGCTTGTTGACGGCCTTGCAGGTGTAGAGGCCGGCATCGCGCTGGTAGATGCCGCCGATCTCCAGGATGACGTACCTGAAACGCGCCAGACACGCTTGTCACGTCCCGCTGGCATGGGCCGAACGCTGAAAATACAGACATCCGGCTCGTTCACACCCCTTCGTTTCAGGTGCATCTCTGAGCGCAGCACGCTCATCAGTTGTTTTCCACCATCGGCTGACTCAAGCAACGCCACAGGTCCTCACAGCCGAACGACGCCAGGCTGACATGACTCCACCGACTGAGAGAGGCCACCGTAGGCCAGCAGAGTCGCAGGCAGAGCGGCGGCTCGGTTGGCCTCACCCGAAGTCGTTGATGCTGCGGATGCGGGAGCCGGAGGAGAGCGGCTTGCCGTTGTGGTACCACTCGACGCGCATGGTCGGGTCGGCCGTGGGCGTCAGGCGGCACTCGAAGTGCGCCGACTGGTTCTCCACCAGGCTGAGGTCGCCCGGCTGCGTCAGGAACTTGGGCGCCGCGCCCTGCGGAGGCGGCGGTGGTGTCGCGTGAGCGGGTCACATGCACGAGTGCAGTGCAGATGTCCAAAACACCACAGCCAACTGTCACCCCAAAACTCTTCCCCCGTTTTTGGAGTAAAATGGCTCGCAAATGTGTCGCCAGAAGCAGGTCGCTTGGTGTTTTTAGTGAGAAGGCGCAGTTCCTCGCCACATTGCCAATGAATGACAATCCGGTCAGAGAGCTTGGCCAGATATCCATCTTTGCAGTATAAAACCACACAAAGGGAGACAATTTCTACGAAAAAACCGAGACCAAAGAGACATATTCGGAAAGCTGATGATTTGATGCCAAGATTATAGCTGGCTACACTGAATTATATATATATAATATAAATACACAATTATACATATATATATATATATATATATATATATATGCATAAATAATAATTAAATATATAATAAAATACAAGATTACACTGGCTAAGCTTATACAACAGATCGGACATAATTATTTCATGGTCACTTCAGGACACTGTCCCGTCGGTAGCGCAGCACGAACACGCCTCTTCTGTCAGGGGTGGGTAAGCCAGTACCTCCTCTGGCTCGGTGGGCTGCACGGGCTTGACACCGAGGCCCTCCAGTTCTGCGATCTTCTCCATGGTCTTCTCCATGCCCTTGGGCAGCTGAGACTCCAGCACGATGTTCCGTTTGCCTGCAAGCATCAGTGGCCTAGAGTTATAGGTACAAACGCACGGAGCATCGAATACGATAAAAAGCAATTTAACTTAACTATCAAAAGTTTAGACAGGCGTGCTATGGCAGCATTGCAAGCCCTCTTGCAGCGACCTGTGATAGATGGTGAATGGAATCAGAAACTGATCCCGAACACCAACAATGTACAGCTAGCGAGTCCGGAAATGCGTATTTGATAAAGACCGTATGGTGCGATTCACACGATCTGGCGTAGCCTCCGCAACACTGGAAAAGGCTGCCAGGCTATCAGACTGCTGTCTTGCGCGATCTGCCAGGGAACACCAGGAGTGTGACTTCTAGAAGAGGGGGAGGGGAGGGCTGCATAAAACATGCCCCCGGCAATTTTGCCAGAACCATTTTCTGTCCCCCAACTTTCGTCGCCGCACGTTTTTTCTCAATTTCCTTTGTGTGAATTGCAAAAACACAGTTTTTGGGTGGGCATCCTTCCGGTTCTGATCTATCCCTCAATCTCTGAATTTTGGTTACGTTCACGGAATGCGCGCCTACCCAATGCGTTGGGTAAGGAAGCGACCCCGGCCTGTCGGACTCACTAGTGCACTTCAGGTTGGCGGAGCTGGTAGCCTCGCCGGCGGCATTATAGGCGCGGCAGGTGTAGTCGCCGCTGTCCTCCGGGTACACCGGAGAAATCTCCAGGATGACGAAGCCGAAGTCGCAGAGCGTGCGGAAGCGGCTGGAGGCCTTCAGGGGCTTGCCGTTGTGGTACCACTCAGTCTGCAACCCAGGATGTTGTGAGATGATCACAGGGTCATGCTCATGCGGGACATATAGAAAGCTGCCAATGCTTCCTTACTCGATTACTTGCCGACGGTAAGGCTCAAACCTGCGTGACATAGCAGGCCTATCACAAACATCCACGCGAAATTATTGACGGCAGACTGGCCTTTGCGTTTTGTTGTCAATATTCCTCAAGAGATACTTAAAAACACGATCTTACTAAACTTGCCTTCCCCTGACATTACGAAACATCATTGGATAAGAGCAGATGTCTAACAGAGCACGGAAATCACAGAGGGCAGCGCCCTCAGCTGACCTTGAGGGTGGTGTCGTCTGTCGGCGTCAGCCTGGCCTCGAAGTGGGCGTTCTCTCCCTCGCGCAGGTCATCCACGTTGTTGAAGGGCACGACGAAGCGAGGCGCCACCTTCGGCTTGTCCTGGTCCAAGGGCTGCTTGAGCCGGCGGGAGGCGTCCTCCAGGTCCTGGATCTTGTCCAGAGCACCGCTCATCTCCTGTACGTGGAGAGGAGGACGGTGGTGACAATGTCACTAAGTCCACCACGCAGCGTGTGGACAAGCCGGACCCAGGCCGGGTCATTTGGTGCTAGTCACTGTGGTAAGCCCGCGAGCAACGCGAGCTAAACCTTTGAGCTGAGGCATGACGATGCAGCACATTCATATACGTTAAAATGGCTTGTCTTATGCATTACACGTTGACATAGAAATTAAGAATATTATACTATCACATCATCGCGTAAAAATAATTATTATCTCCAGCATACGCATGAAGCTATCAATGATGATACATAAATGCCTAGGCACGCCGCGACACTGCACTTGATTGACCTCATGTGGGGCTTCCGCAGCCCGCTCAGCAAGGCTTTGACAGACTGACCTGCCATAGCCGCGAGGCAAACTGGGCGGTCACGTCGCAGCGCAGCCAAGACCCGTACCTTGGGCATCTGCGGCGTGAGAATGAGGTTGGCCTTGGAGCCGCAGCGCAGGGTGGCCTTGGTCACGTCCGAGCCGACCTTGTTCACGGCCCGGCACTCGTACACGCCAGAGTCCTCCTCGTAGCAGTACAGGATGTCCAGGATGACGATGCCGAAGTCGTGGAAGGTCCGGAAGCGGTGACCGGTCGGCAGCTTGACGCCGTTCCTGAACCACTCGACCTGCACGAGGAAAGACCGGGTCAAGCAGAGGCGGACGGCTCCGCCACGGCGTCATCGAGCCAGGTCACACCGACTGCCTGACATTCTGCTAGCGCGAGTTGTCCGGGCCGAGAGCAAAATCAGTCCAGCTGCTTCGCGGTTTTGAACACTCTAAAACATGTCCTGCCGGTCGCTGCCGGCCACTTTCGAATGGCGTCTGCTCCAAATGATTCACTAGAAAATCGGTGAAAATATGTGGGGAGTACGACGTTTTAAACACAATTCAACACAAAATGCAAACGCAAAAACGCAAAAAAATTCCATCGAGTGTAATTTAAAGACAGTCATGGTCAGTTCTGTTGCATCGGCATATCATGCTAAATTTTAGCGTGACCTCCCGGAGCGTTCTCTCCGTGTGACGTCACCCACCGTCAGATCGGGGTCGTGCACGGGCGTGAGCCGGCCCTCGAAGTGGGCCGAGTGGCCCTCCACCATGCCGCTGATATCGGTGATGTGCTGCGTGAACTTGGGCGCCTCGAGGACGGGGCCGGCCGGCGCGCCAGGCTTCTCGGGGCCCATCTCCAGCTCGCTGATGCGCTGCAGCGACTGCGGCTGCAGCGAGTCGAGCAGCACGCCGCCGCGGCCCACGCAGCTCAGCGTGGCCGTCGTGCTGTCGGAGCCGTACTTGTTGGTGGCGCGGCACGTGTACTCGCCGGAGTCCTCGCTCTGCAGGTAGGCCAGGTCCATGACGACGTAGCCGAAGTCGGAGACGCACTTGATGCGGGAGGAGTGGCGCAGCGGCTGCTTGTTGTGGAACCACTCGACCTTCATGGCCGGGTCGCCGACCGGCACCAGCGTGCACTCGAAGTGCGCCGAGTCGCCGCCCTTCAGGCCGGTCACGTCCTGCCGACACGCGCGGAGCAGACGCGCGTCACATGGGAGGCGATTCAGGGGGTGGGGGTGGAGGGGGGGGGGTGGTTCTCTTAGGGCACAAGGAGACCACCACGGCCTGGCCGCGTCAGGGGTGCGGGCCGGCACCGGTCACGCTGGAAAATTTGCGCTTCGGAACCATTACGTCATATCGAAGCAGCAGCAGTGATGCATCTAATGAAGAGTAAAACAGTCTCGGAGCACGTATTTCGGGAAATGGAAGTCAACTAGAACCAGTCGAAATAGCCAATCCACCCCGATATCAGAGCCAAGCTCGAAGACACAACGTAAACGCACTGGAGACCAGTATCAGCACCACGGTGGTCAGCTCAGCACCAACCAAGCCCAGTCCGGTGCTGCGCGACTTCGTGCCGGTGATGAGGTGATGATGCGATGGCGAGCGTGCGCACCTTGATGGGCGTGATGAAGCGCGGCTTCTGGCCGCTGTCCTTGTCCACACACTCCAGCGTCACGCTGATCTCGGCCTTGCCCCACTTGTTGGTGGCGCGGCACGTGTACACGCCCGAGTCGGGAATCTTGGTGCCCAGGATCTCCAGCACGACCATGGCGAACGCGTGCACCGTGCGAATGCGGTGGCCTGCGGGCGGCGTGAATGGCCAAAGTCAGCTGGAGGAATGGGACGACACGCAGCGAACGGGCAGCATGCACATATCGTAGTGCATTCTCAGCGTAAAACGCGTTTCGGCGGATGGCTTCACTTAAATATGACGTTATCAGTGCCATAAAAGCTCAATGCTGTTTAATATACAGCAAAAACTGATTGCTAAATCAAGCCAACCAAATTAAATGACAACCGGCGATATGAGGTGGACAACAGTTTCTTCAGCGACATGGTGGTCGATTGCTTACGTAAACTAGCAAGACCTATTAAAGCAAGGCAAAGGTTTGCGGGACTCACTGGCTTCCAGTGGCTTGCCGTTGTAGAACCACTCGACCTTCATGGTCTGGTCGCCCACCGGCGTCAGGGTGGCCTCGAAGTGGGCGTTATCGCCCTCGCTGAGATTGGACAGGTTCTGGAACTGATGACGACAGACGAGGATGAGCGGCTCGCCATGCCAGACCAGCGCGTTTTTTAGAGACTGCTGTTGACCTCAAGAGGATTTAACAAACATCGAGGTTGAATAAGGCAGGGCTGACCTTATAAGTCGTCATATATATATATATATATATATATATATATATATATATATATATATATATACACACCTTCAAGCTAACTCCCACGGCCCGGGGGCCATTATTGAGGACAACATCCAAATAACGAAGGTGAACAGTTGTGGGCCTGGGATGGACCAGTCAGCGCTACGGCTCCATACGAGCCTAGTGGGCGAATGTGCCCAGGCTCACCTGAGAAGTGAAGACGGGCGGGTGGCCCTCCTCATCGGTCAGCGGCGGTCCCTCGCCGCGCTTGCGGGCCTCCTCCATCTCCTGGATGGCCTCCAGACCCATCTCACCCTTAGGGGTGCTGAGTCCAGTCGATCAGACCGGTCTTGCCTGAAGTTAAACAGATCAGGCGTGAGGACGGTTGCGCACCGCAGTCGGGGCGCGACGGTGGCAGCCAGCAATGCAGCGCGCGTGCGACGCACAAACTGAGCATTACGGCCGGTCACAAGCGCGGCAAAACTGTTTGTGAATGCTGGTCGCTTCGGCTCCGATATGAATCCAAGCGTGCTGGCGACGAACCCACCCTTGCAGGTGACGGTGGTGGTGGTGAAGGCCTCGCCGGCCCGGTTGAAGGCGCGGCAGGTGTAGATGCCCTGGTCGCGCGGGTACACGTCCGTCAGGTCCAGCTGCACAAACCCGAAGTCGTTGGACATCTTGAATCGGGTGGCTGCAGGGAAGAGAACGTGGTTATCTTCACGTACAAGGCCGCCAGTTTCAGTTGTTAAGTATCTTTTTTATAACTTTGGTTCCAACATTTTTATGGCATATATTTCTCGGATCAGAGCTCACATTGAGCAGTGTTTGTTATGCGAGACCTGATCCCATCAGCGGATCGAAAAATTCCAGTTCTACAGGATCATTTCATGATGAAGTTGAACGTGTCACAATGCTCGGCACGGCCCGCCCCGCCACCTGCCTCGTGTAAGATGAAAGGACCGCTACCACTGGCCGCAGGCCATCCCGGCTAAGGGTAGATAGCGAATGCCGTAGCAACTCGAACGTACCCACCACAGGTAGGTTACGAGTTGTGCAATCTGCCCATTCGCCAAGGTTCAGTTAGCAGTGCTCAAGACCTCAAGTAAGTGCAGCAGAACAACAACATCGCATCCCATAATGTGCACGAAGAGCAGCTGACTGCTATCGATGCGTGCTCATCTGCCTCAAGTCAGATGGGATTCGCGCCCTGTAAACATCGCCTTATTGCCGAGACCCACCGTGTGACAGCGGCTTGCCGTTGAAGAACCACTCGACGTTGAGCTTGGGGTCCTCCTTGGGCTCGACGTTGCACTGCAGGTGCAGCGGCTCCGCCTCTCCCAGCTCAAACTCGGGCTTGAGCGGCACGATGAACCACGGCTTGGGGAAGGGCTTCTCTGGTGCGCCCTCCACCGGCGCCATCTTGCTGGCCTGGGCGGCGTCCACCTCCTCGACCTTCTCGAGACCGCGCGGGCCCATCGGGTGCACCGTGTCCAGGTAGATGTCGGCCTTGCCTGCCGGGCGGCAGACAGGCCATCACCGCAGGGAAGTGACGAGGGGCACGCATGGGAAACAGCTATACGCAGGACGTCCTGCTGCTGTCTGGGAAAACCGCGCCGTCGGATTTCTGCTGTGTCGTGGCACGCTATGACCCGATCGTGCGCGACGGGCGGTTCATATCCCTTTCAAGGCAACCCCCCTCGCACTGCTTCAGTTGGGGTCCCGGTAGTATTTGCCACTTGTCATTTCACGGATCTAACGTCTTAAACAGCTATTATAACTATACCATGAGACACTCTCGAATGCACATTTTGCAAAGAGGAGGAGACCAATGCATAGACAAGTCGATTTCGAGCTGGAGTTTCGCACGTGACGCAATCATCGCTGTCGATTGCCCCTCAGAATCGCTTTCTCCCCTCCCCTGCTGCCAGATAGATGTCAGAGCGGCGGCCCACTCACTCTTGACTTTGAGCGTGCCGGACGTCTGGGCTGAGCCCTTCTTGTTGGTGGCCTTGCAGACAAGCAGACCCGAGTCGTCGCCCTGCGTGCCGGCGATGTCGAGCGTGACGAAGCCGAAGTCGTAGTTGGTGGTGTACCGGGAGCCGGTCTTCATCGGTTGACCGTTCCAGAACCAATCTGCCGGCGGACATCCGAGTGAAGACCGAGTGGCGAACACAGCGCTGACAATATGCGAGACCTATGTGTACGCGTTCCCAGGGGAGTGCTTAAAGAAATTCACCGCTCTATCAAAGGGTGCTGATGCTGTGCCATACGGCATCAGCCCTACTTCGGACTAAGCTGGGCTCATAGCTCTGGGTTTGCTGTGGGCGTCAGTACATTGGACTTTTGACTTTATTTGGTTTAAGGTGTTTTGGCCCGCCCAGACCATTTTGCGCCTTGGAGAAAAAACTAAAAAAGTTATCTACGAGTATTCATATCGTTTGAGGCATGTTTGTGCGCTTTAGAAAAGTAAACAAGAGATCAAGCAGATGGTAGATGATTATCACCCAACAGAGCATCTAAAGGCAACTCCAAGTTATGGTGACGGGAATAGCCCCGCAGAATATTTCGTTCTTATTCGTATTCTCTGCATACAAGAAGAATATGTTTAATTGTAAGAGGACGACCACATGGATGACGAAGGGGACGAGGCTGTTGCAAATATAAATAACTGTAAGTGAGCTTTGTATGGCCAAGTCGGAGGCGGGTCAATACATTCTCTTTCAAAAGGTCTGTGCGGTTTACTGACGTCCATGATGCAATGTCTGGTTTGATGTCATAAAATTGGGTCCTGTTGTTCTCTGTCCATGTCGTTGCCAAGATCGTTTTGTCAGGTTATGAATGGATGCTTTCAAAGTGGCATGGTCAGCAGGGATGGCCGTAATGTGAGGGACCGTCATTGATCAGTACATGACTGGGCAGCGTGTTTACGCGACACACCACACAGCAGCCATCCTAGCCAGCAAGCCGTACCGATCTTCATCGTCGGATCCTTGGCCGGCTCGACCTTGCACTCGAAGTGGGCCTTGTCGTTCTCGTTGCACTCCACGTTGTTGAGGTGCGAGATGATGACGGGCATCTCAAAGGCGGGCTCCGGCGCCTCCCGGTCGGTGGGAGCCTTGCCCAGCTCCAGCTCAGCGATGGCTGGCAGCGCCTCCGGTCGCTGCGACTGGCCCAGCAACCAGTGCTTGTCTGCAAACCGGTGGCAGTCGGTGGTGGCGCTGTTGTTGCATGATCGTGCGCCATACGCATTGGCGATATTGCCATATGGCTGCAAAACGCAGCTGTAGCGAGCCGAGGGCCGGGCGTCCCAGGAGGCATATCAGCCCAAACCTCACTGTAGTCTACGTGAACGCCGTCACACGCCGTCCACGCACCCTAACATATAAACAGACAGGCTATTTCATGTCAATCGATGGACATACTACGCATACCATTCACTCTAATCTCTCGCGAGCTAAGTAGTTCGAACCAAATTATTCCGCTGACCTTCGACCTTGAGCGTGCAAGTGGAGACGGCCTCGCCCATCAGGTTGACGGCGCGGCAGGTGTAGATGCCGGAGTCCTCGCCGCGCAGGCTCATGATGTCCAGTGTCACCAGGCCGAAGTCGAACGCAGTGCGCAGGCGCGTGCCTGTCCACCACAGCGTGTCGCGGTCGGAGGCGGAAGATGAGGGGGCAGCGGTGGTGGAAGCGAGTTCGCTACCTCATGAAGGCATCAACAAGCGATACGATATCTTCAGCTCGTCTCATAACCGCGAATGACTATCAGATGACAATTCTACGAAAAACGACCGTCGATCGTGGCAAAGTCACGCATGTTTGCATGCATCACGACCAACGCGACCGGAGCAGCCAGCAGCTGATCGCTCCGTGGCGCCTCGGTCCAGTCAGTGGGAGCGGAGCAGCCCGTGCCGAACGCCGGAGGCACCGCCGCCCGACTCCAGCGGCACCCCTCACCAGTCATGAGCGGCACGCCGTTCTTGCTCCACTCGACGCGCAGGTTGGGGTCGGTCTTGGGCTCGACGGTGGCCTCCAGGTGGACGCTCTGCTGCTCGGTGAGCCGGTCGTAGCTCTGCAGGTGGGTGGTGAAGACGGGCGCCTGCTGCGGCCGCTCCTCGGCGTACATCTCCGGCACCCGGTTCATCTCGGCCTCCTTCAGCTGGATCTTGTCCCAGGCGGACGCGTGGATGGCGTCGCCCAGGATGCTGCTCCGGTCTGCAGGGGAGGGAGTCAGTAGGAGTCAGCCGACAGAAGATAAACCCACAGTTGACCCCACAGAACGGTCAACTGTCGGTCGGGGGCGGTCGACAGACCGGTCGACTCATAATTCGGGATTCGCTTACAGGGAGCACAGGGAGCGCAGAATAAAAGCTGTGACGGTCTCCGTGTTCCGGGCCGGTTTAGAAGAGCACATTTGTTCAGCTTTGTTGGATGCTTGTGTTCTAATTTTGACCTTACATAATACAGCTGTTCCAAGGTATTTTAAAGAGAAGCTCACATAACGATGCTTTTATCCCGTTCATGTTAACTGCGGTACGGGACCGAACACCTAACGCAGCTCAGATCGACTTTGCCAGGGGCGGCCAGTGCTGTCCAGAGGACCATAATTGGGCCACCACCGCGCCGTCGTCATTGAATGTTTCCGACGCACTCAGCTGCTGAAGCTCTGTGGCGTGGTCTGCCTCTCACCCTGGCAGGAAGGGCGGGCATCGCAGCGGATCGAACCCCGTACCTCTGGCTTCCCAGACGCGCACCCTAACCGCCACGCTACCGTCACGCGCAGTGCACCGGCGCCGACCCCTCACCGTGCACGTGGATGGAGGTGGAGGTGACCGCCTCGCCGGCCTTGTTGACGGCACGGCACATGTACACGCCGGCGTCCTCCGGCACCACCGACATGATGTCCAGCGTGATGAAGCCGAAGTCGTGCGTCTCCTTGATGCGGGACCCTGCCGGACGGAGTACGCAGAACTGTATGTAAGGTCGAGTACGCGTCTGCCGGGTAAGCGGGCCCCTGGGGCACGAGTCACTTTATTTCATTCTGGGGCGGAGCGGTCGGATGTCAGATATTTGGGAGGGATGGAACTGTAAAATTCACCAACGCGTTTGGAAAATCATCCTCGTCGGCGTAACTCCCAGCATTCGGAACACATTATCTCGAGATGCGGCGTTTTTGCCGTTTTCAGAACTACAGACGACAGGAGTGACCGAGCCACACCACCTTGTCGGATTTGGAGCAGCTTTGAATGACGACCGTACCTAGCTTGAGCTCCTTGCCGTTGCAGAACCACTCGAACTTGAGGTTGGGGTCTCCGACGGGCAGGCAGCGGGCCTCGAAGTGGGCGTTCTGGGCCTCGATGATGTCGGCAGGCCCCGTCAGCGGCATGGTGAACACAGGCTTCTCGAAGTGCTGCACGGTCTCGGGACGCTCTTCGGGCGCCTTCTGCTCCAGGGCCTGGAGCGCCGGCATCGAGGCCGGGTGCTGCGTGTCCAGGATGATGCTGGCCTCGGCTGTGGACACGGGACCCCAGTCAGAAGGCGGGATTATGCAACTGACATCTCATTGACCATCAGAAGCTCTGGTATGCCGACGAAGGCATGTCTGCCACCATCAGACACGGTTGCACCAGACAACACCAGGCAGCGAACGTAGCGTTCTCGTATCATTCATTATCTCATCCATCATTAATCCTCCTGTATGTGCGGGAGAACGGCTAATGTGCTTCTTGGGTCTGAAAAGGTCCAATTCATTGACTTGCTTGTCACACGAGCTGTCCGCGTAAGTTAAAGCTAAAGATTCCCAGAATTTTGGGACGGTAGTCATACGGCAGGTTAATTCGGATTCGGATTCCAAATTCAAATATATTCGAATATTTTTATCGAAATCTCTATATAGTACAACATGATCAAAAGAAGGATGGGCTCAGTGTGACGCCGAACCGACATACATGTTTACATACATACATGGTGCATCGGGTGCATACGACATACATGGTGCATCAGGTGTCTGTCCATGCAATGTAAACCTGAGTACTAAGGTAAATAATTAATTTAAAATAGTTAGTTGCATAAGTAATTGATAGATTCGCAGCTTGTTTTTTGGTTCAAATTCCTTCTTTATTGCGTTGAAGGATGTAAAAGACTTTAATCCATTTAAGTGCTGTGAATCGGACTCTAAACCCTATCGTAGGTGCACTTTGCCAATAATGAAGTCGTCCCACGGGGCGCCTTCAGCAGTCCGCAGTCCCACGGGGCTCGTGCGGGGGACTGACATTTGATGCGGACGGAGGCGGTGGTGACGGCCTCGCCCAGGTCGTTGGTGGCGCGGCACGAGTAGACGCCTTCGTCCTCGGGCCGCAGGCCGGCAATGTCCAGCGCCACGTAACCGAAGTCGTGCGTCGGCTTGAAGCGAGAGCCTGCGAACGGTAGCCGGGCTCAGCGCGATCCACAGCCCAAATAATCAAAATCTAATGAACTAGCTGTAACGAGGTGTCACAGATTCGCGGGAACCCGGCTTTGGAGGGTTTGACGTGCACAACTTTTCAGTTTACATTCACACATAATCAGAAAATAAAATAAATATATAATAAATCAGCAAATAAAATCAGAATAATAATAATATCTTCTGAGAAGCCTCGAAGCATCTCGAAAGGTCATTAACCCCTTGGACGTTTCCTGCAAAGGAAGAGCCTGCCCTCACTCACCGTACTGGAGCGGCAGCTCGTTCCTGAACCAGTCCACCTTGAGCTTGGGGTCTCCGACGGGGATGAGGCGCGCCTCCAGGTGGACAGCCTGACCCTCGTTCTTGTCGACGCTCTGCAGCGGCTGCGTGAACATGGGCTTCTGGTAGGTGACGGCCTCCTCGGGCCGCGTGACGGGCGCCTTCTGCTCCAGCTGGCGGATCTTCTCCAGACCCTCCGGACGCTGAGACGCCAGGATGATGTTGTCCTTGCCTGCAGAGGGCAGCGACAGGTGGTATTACGTCCGTGTTCTCAAACAAGTGACAAGGCGCTTAGCCTCATGTTCTTGTATGCAGTGCCCATAGCCTCGGCTAAACTTAACGGGGCACCTCGGGAAAACTCAGTTCTTGTCGTCAGAGCTTGATGATGGCAATGCACGTGATGATGATAACGGCTGGTGGCCATTCTGCAAGGAGCTTCGAATGCAACGTCGTAAAACGCCCAGTCCGTTCATTATTTGTATCGTGCGTGTTTGTAACACCATTTGTGACAAGCCTGCAATTACGCTTCAATGACTAGGTTTATCGCGTAACCGAGCGTTTCTAACCATCAACCCTTTGTGGATGATGAAGATCCATCAAGGTCTGTATGCTTTCCACCGCATTAAACAAAACCAGGCGCACAGCAGGGCAGCTGTGCCGCAAGCTCTTACCGAGAACCTGAATGTCCAGACTGGAGGTGGCCTCTCCCATCTTGTTGATGGCCTTGCAGGTGTAGTGTCCCGTGTCCTCCGGCACCAGGTCCTTGATGTCCAGCGACACGTAGCCGAAGTCGAAGGTAGTGTGGAAGCGGGAGGCCGACTGCAGCGGCTTGCCATTGTGGTAGAACTCGACGCGCAGGTTGGCGTCGTGGATGGGCTCGATGCGGCCCTCGATGTGAGCCGCGCCCCTCTCGGCCAGCTGGGTCGGCCCCTGAGGCATGCACAGAAATCTTGGAAGCTACCATAACACCCGCAGAGGTCGTTGATATCAACGCGAATCTAACATACTCAGTCCATCCTACATATTTGCTACAAAAATATCCTACACAGGTATCTAGACGAGCAGCTAGAGCGCTATATAGACATATATATATATCGAAAGTGAGCTCTGATGACCCGCCAGAGTCGCGCCCGTGCCTGTCGCCGCCCTGACGAACGTACCCGCAGCTCCTGCACGAAGCGTGGCTTCTCCTGCGGCGCCTCCACCTCGACAGGCCGCTCCGGCTGCCGGCTCTCCAGGTCACGGATCTTCTGCAGGCCCTCCGGGTGCTGCGTGTCCAGGTAGATGGAGCGGCGCTCTGGGGAACACGGGGGCACGTTCAGTCACGGACTGGCTGTTCGGAGGCAAGAGCCACCCGCAATGCAAACAGGCAGAGCGTGGTAGAGCGTACAATTTCACCGGTGAGTCACCCATGACAGATCGTACGGTTTCACGTGTCTTGCCTGCTAGAGCTTCATGTTAAGGTGTCAGAAATATCTACCTGTGCTTGCAAACCTATCAAACTGCAATTGAAAAAGTCCGTAAAATACGATCGCATGATAATACTGTAGCATTGATGAGACAGCATATTCATTCATCTCCGCTCAAAATGCTCCACAAACACTACACGCAAGCGGCAATGCACCGGTGCCTTTCAAACTGGGCCCGCCACACAACAGGCAGAGCAACAGAGGACAGTGTATGCCTCACAATGCCAGCGGTACGCAGCACCATCCAACACCGGTTTAGGACGTCGGAGCTTACCTCCGACCTTGATGGTGCACGTGTTGACCGCCTCGCCCAGCTCGTTGGTGGCCTTGCACATGTAGGTGCCGGTGTCCTCGGGGTAGCCGTACAGAATGTCCAGCGCCACGTAGCCGAAGTCGTGCGTGGTCCGGAATCTGGGACGAGGGAGGAGCATGGGTCATCTGTTAGTGTTATTCCAGCACCGCTGCCGACAACGCCGGATGCTTATGTCATCGGCGCTATCATTGTTTACGATTAGCAGTTGCATAGTGATGCTTGGAGTTTATGTCTTTTTTCGCCTTCCACGAAAAGTTTGTCATATTTTTACGTATCGTCCAGAACGGCGTGATCCTATGACGACGGTGGGCCGCTTTTTAAGATTATTCCTTTTGTACATTAGTATTTGTCTGCATTACGTTTTGCCCATTGTCTCCAAACAGCATAATTTGCACTACACGCCCTTTTCCTGTAACACCGTCAACTAGGAGAACGAGACCAACTGCCATTGGCCTGGACGCTTGGAAGCGCTGTTCAAAAACGTCACTTCTGGCACGGCATTTTCGCTACTGGAGGTTATGTATAGCTGCTGCCACTTAAGCATTCTAGGCTCTCAATTTATCGAATAATGCAAGATGGCTGACCGATCCATTGTAATGGTTTCGTATCACGGACAAACCATGGAATGTTCAGAACGTTATTTTGTTTCCACGTACCATATTCTAGTGCTTCCGGGATGGACAGCGCATTTCTCAGTTTCTCACGTACTTTCAGTGATGCAAGAAGAGGAGCATGTCGAACGCTTTTCAGTGAAGCAAAACACAAACCCCGAGAACTGATCACGCATACGTGATCACGGAAAACGAACCTAGTGCACATTTGCCTTTAAAACTCAATCTTGTCCTGGCAGCAATATTTGACCTGATCCCCATCGCCCTTCAGACATGACCTGACAGCGCCGCCCCTGCCCCCCCCCCCCCCCCCCCCGGCCGCCGGCGACGCCCACCTGTGTCCGGTCTTGATCTCGCGGCCGTTGTGGAACCACTCGACCTTGAGCTTGGCGTCGTTGACCGGCTCGAGGCGGCATTCCAGGTGGGCGTGCTCACCCTCCCGCAGGTTCTCCAGGCTGCGGGGAAACGGACGCCGGTGAACGCCACGGCGAGGAACGCTCGCATGCACAGCCTACCGATGCCACATGGTCGTTCGTATGCACAGCCTACCGGTGCCACATGATCGCTCGCACGCACAGCCTACCGATGCCACATGGTCGCCCGCGTACACAGCCCACCGATGCCACATGGTCGTTCGTATGCACAGCCTACCGATGCCACATGGTCGCTCGCACGCACAGCCTACCGATACCACATGGTCGCCCGCGTACACAGCCTACCGATGCCACATGGTCGCCCGCATACACAGTACACATATACAGCATATATTTATATATATATATAAATATATATATATATATATATATATAAATATATATATATATATATATATATATATATATATATATAACCTAACCAAGTGTCGTAGCATGCAAGTTTCGAGGCCGGCAGTGTTTATCATCGGTGCCCCTTCTCGCACCCCCCTCCCCAAAGGTCATGCCACAACCACTCACTTGTTGAGCGGGGTGACGAAGACGGGCTTCTGGCCGACAGGCTGGGGCTCCTCCTTGCGCGCCGGCGCGCTGGTCTCCAGCGTGCGGATCTTCTCCAGACGCGCAGCATCCAGCGTGTCCAGGTAGAGACCTTGCTGACCTGCCGGCACAGAGCGCCACCGATCAGTGAGGTGAGGTGGGAAACGGCCTGGTTGTCGTGGCCGGCGCCGGCTTGAAGACGCCGTCTCCTGGCAGGGCTAAGGTTAGAAGAGTTGGCGTACTGGAGAAATTGGCTGAGTCGACATCGCCACCTTACACAAGGTCTCAGCGGTACCTAGGGGGACGGACACATACCTGGTCATTGTGTGGGCGCCACTTGTAACGCGGACCGTTACACACAGTGACAAGTGGTCTGTCGAAAAGACAGGCAGGTGGGACGCCGGGCCGACTAACGACGCCGGTAATGAGGCGCTACCTACGACGATGACCCCAATGCATCACCCAGCCAACGACCACCACCATTACGCGCCGCGCCCAACATGTTCTCGAGACGTCCCAGGGCGAGGCTGAGTCCCGCCCGGACGCCGACTTCATAGCCTGGACCCCAGCCAGCGTCAACCCGCCCCGCATCATGCCACTGCATGAGAGGGAGGTAAACAGGGTCCCGATTCGGCTCGGCCGGCGCCGCCGCGTCCCGGCCCGGTGCGGAGCAGGCTTTCGCATCCGCATGGGGCACGCCGGCCGGCCGGGAATGCCGGCTGGCAGGCGGGTGGGGGTCTGGTACCGGCTGACGTGGCGCCGGAACCTGCGGAATGCCACGCAAGACCGCCGCCGGCGGCTTCGACGAGTGGGGAGATGTCAGGATAGCTGGAGCGGCGACAGACGGTCTGGCTCGTGGCCGAGTGGTCGGCTGGCCGGCTTACTGGCCGAATAACTCAGTGGGTGAGTGAGTTAGCGACTGACTAACTGATTGAGTATGTGAGTTCCTGGCTGAGTAACTGATCGATGCAATGAACCGGCTGGCTTACAAGTGAGTAGGCGTCTGCCACGTACGTGGGGCCGCAGGTTGTGCTGCCAATGCCTGCCCACGGGCGGGTCAGGATAAACAGCCTGGCGCCCCATCGAACGCCTCTCCTGTCCGGGCGGCCCAAATAGCCCAGACACGACGAGAACACAGGCGCTCTCAGTCCGCGGGTTTACTTACACAACGGACGCGAGCGCGGCCTGTCACGTCATTAGTGGCAGCGGCCGGGCAGCAGGCCAGGGCACTGTGCACGATGCGCGGCGAACCTCCTGCAGCAGCGCGCCGGCATAATACAGCCTGACGTGCATAAAGACCCGGCGCACCTTTGATAGACCATCCGCACACATAGTTCGACACGTGTGGGACAGATTTGAGCCGCTATAGCGAGTGCAGCGGAGCGGACCATCCAGAAAGATGCTTGGCCGCGGTTCAGACGGCTCGCTGGAAGACGGCCGGCTGAGCTCACCTTTGTTTTGTTTGGGAATAGCTGGTCATGAGGCGGCAGCGGCGGCGGGGGCGGCGGCGCCGGCCGGGCCGAGGGCAACGGGAGCAGGGCGGTGCCCGGCGCCGGCTCCATCAACAGGGCCCATTCCCGCCCAGGGCCGGAGCTGCACGACCGCCGCATCAACAAACTACAGCCCTGGCTCTGGCGGAGCCGGCGCCGCGGGATCCGGCGCTAGCTGCACGAGCGAGACCTAGCCCCAGCGATGGCAGGAGGCGGCTTTACGAGACCCTGCACCAGCCGCATGAGCGAAACCCAGGCCCGGCTGGAGAGGGGAAGACTTTACGAGTTTCGACACCCGCCGTTTTACGAGTCTCGACACCCGCCGCTTTACGAGTTTCGACATCCCCGCATCAACAGAGCCACGAAGAAGTTTTTTATGGAGGGAGAAGGCTTTACGAGGCCTGGCAGAGCCGAACCAACGCCAGGAGCCGGTAATGACGAGGGGAACTGTGTTAACCGACCCCGGCATCACACCGAGCTGACTGCGAAAGCGAACGGCTGGAGCCCTAGGCCAGCCGAACAGACCGCAGCCCGGAAGCCTGAGCCCAGAGCGACACGAGCCTAGCGCGTCCGAGCACCGGCATGGGGCGGACCGGCCAGGCAGCTCCCAGATCACCAGGGCCAGGCCTCGAGCAGCTCCCAGATCACCAGAGCCAGGGCTCGAGCAGCTCCCAGGTCACCAGAGCCAGGCCTCGAGCAGCTCCCAGATCACCAGAGCCAGGCCTCGAACAGCTCCCAGATCACCAGAGCCAGGGCTCGAGCAGCTCCCAGATCACCAGAGCCAGGCCTCGAGCAGCTCCCAGATCACCAGAGCCAGGCCTCGAGCAGCTCCCAGATCACCAGAGCCAGGCCTCGAGCAGCTCCCAGATCACCAGAGCCAGGGCTCGAGCAGCTCCCAGATCACCAGAGCCAGGCCTCGAGCAGCTCCCAGATCACCAGAGCCAGAGCGTCGAGCAACTCCCAGATCACCAGAGCCAGAGCCTCGAGCAGTTCCAGATCACCGGAGCCAGGCCTCGAGCAGCTCCCAGATCACCAGAGCCAGAGGCTCGAGCAGTTCCAGATCACCAGAGCCAGGCCTCAAGCGATCAGCTCATCAAATCGGAGCCGAACACCGATCAGTCCGACCGAAGCTGACACGCGCAGGTGGACAGGCGTGCGACGGTATGCGTGCGCCGACCACGCGCGCGCCGCCTAGCCGGCGACGGCGGACGACGTCAGTGCCGGCCCGGCCGCGGCCGCGCCAGGCTGGGGGGACGCGAGCGGGGCACGACCGGGTCCGACCGGGCAGGGGCGGCCGCGCTGCAGCTCAGACGCGCCAGAGGCAGCACTCCACTGACGGGCAGTACGTCTCCGTGTGATAAGCAACAAGTTGTTCTGGTTTGTCTGATGTGCAGTGTAAGTTGGCGCTCTCCTTGATAGCTCAGTTCGATCGTGTTTTCGATCTGCCTGAGGCTATTTCCATCCCCTTCCGGCATGCCTGGCCCATTTCGTATAATTTTCAGTCGCTCTTCAGCCATTATCCGTTTCAAAGGCTTTCCATATAGCATATATGTTTATTTATCACTGCTAAGGGAGATGGTTTGGGGAGATAAAGGAAACAATCCGCACAGACAATACGCATCGAACACGCTGCGCTCATTATGGCTAACAGCCCTAGTAGCACACATGCGAGTGAACCACTCGCGAGCAATAGCAGCTTGGCTCGAAATGCTCTCCCAGGGGAACGAGGCAGCTAAACGCTGGAAACAGACCACGACAATAAATTACAACATGGCATTGAACACTTTGAAGTACGTATCGTTGAACGTCACGAGTGCTGGCAAAAATAGACGAAGCGATATCGTGAAAAGGTCATGACCGTTAAAAGAGTAAAAACCACTGAAAGCCAAAACTTTTTAGATGCACAGCCAGCAATAATAACCACTCAATCTTATTAGAAGCGGGATCTGTTGTCAGTGCCAGGCAGCTATGCATACAAGCAAGACGCATGCCAACGTGCTGTTAATAAACGGTACCTTACTGAATAAGCGGCCGACATGGGTCATCAGGTGGGTTAACTACCCGGCAGGCCATTTCTGACAGCCCCATGATTTTTGTTTTCAATCAACGCTCACGTGGGCCCCACAGTGCGTCAGAGAAGCCAGCTGTACTCGAACAGCTGTCACCACGCATGACGAATGAAAACAACATTCCTGCGATAACCAATTCGCTCTTTTGTTTACGCTCACCGGAGAAGTTCCTCCTCTTCACCGCATCACGCTCACATATGCGCACTTTTCATGCCTTATAGCACACGCACATAGCGTAGGTATGCACCACGACAGCACCGGCTGGTACCATTCCATCACTTTGCAGGCTGTTTCCAGCGCAATATCACTGGTTCGCATCCCATCAGTGAATCGGTGGGACAGTCCCCTGGACGACCTCTGAGCTCTCGCTCCGCTTCATCTCCTGCTCGGTCGTCGTCTCCACCGTCCGCTGGACCAGATATTTGCCGTCCGGCCGGACTTCCTCCCGTTCCGACCTCTCCACCTTCTTCTCTGCCTGCGCGGCTTCCTCCGCCTGCTTCGACGCACGGCGCAACCCGGTCGGCACCTCCACCTGCTCGTACTCGCTGCCGCTGCTGTAGCTGCTGGACCGCTGGTGCTGCGCGTCGCCGTCGGAGCCGGCTGCCTGGAGGAGGCCGGCTCCGCCCTGGCGGGACGTCGCCTGCTGGTCCGAGCCGGCCGGCCTCTGCGGCCAGAGCTCGCCCGCGGCACAGAGCGGCGGCAGGGTCGGAGCAGCGGTCAGACAAGGGCTCAGAAAGTGAGACCCCGTCGAAGCCTGGCCGCTGTGGGCGCCGGTCAGCGGCTGCAGGCACGCGTTTGCCGCCTGGTCGTGAGCCATCGTCATGGAGGAGGAACGCTCGAGCTTGTTCGACCATGACTGATTCGTGCTGACGACCCTCTGTTCGGTGAGCAGTGGGCGCTCGGAGAAGGGCGACACCTGAACGGGGATCACGTGCTCCCGGCCTGACTCCGTGACCTGTCGCTCGACTTGACTCTGCTGAGAGAGCTGAACGTGTCTGCTTGACTGCGTCTCACCCCGCTGGAGACAGCTGGACAGGAATCACGTGCTCACGGGCTGGATGCGACAGCTGATCCTCTCGACGAGTGAAGTGAGATTTCTCGGCGGTGGCGTTCTCCTGCCGGCTCACGAACGAACTAGGCTGACCTGGAGCTGACGCCATCGGCCACGCGTTGGCCTGTTCCGCGCGACTGGTTATCTGCTGAGACTGCTGCAGTTGATTCTCTGTTCTTGAGTGGTGGTTTGAAAGAGGCTGGCTACCGACCGGCAGGCTAGGCCAGCTGGGCAGATCAGGCATAGGCATCCATGTCGTTGGTGAAGTCTCGGACATCGTGCTTGAAATGGAATGCGTGGCCTGCTTTTCCTGAGTCTCTTTCTTCAATGTTTCGGATGTCACACGAACCGGAATGATTTTCTCTTGCGGTAATCCAACGCTTGAAGATGCTTTCTGGTCAACCATCTTCCTGCTCAGACTCATCTGGCTGTGATCGGAAAACAGACTTGGCATTGACGGTAAGGAAGCCCCTGTAATAATTTGGTCTTCGAGACCGACGTCTGGAGAAACGGGCGCCATTGCTTGTCGGTCTACAACGCTGTGCAGACCTTTTATCTCCTCAGTCCGCGGATGGGTTTTTTGGACAGACTGCGGTGCAGCGAAAATCGGCCCTTCCGCTGCCACCTCCGGTTGCTGGATCCGTGGGGGCTCCCGGATCACCTCCGGGCCAGACTGTTCGATGGTGTGACTTATCGTCTGGAAAGACTTCTCCTCGACGGCTTTGGTAGAGGTCGCCGTTGGTGTTTGTGAGACCGACTGCTCAAACGACTGGCTGTTCTTCTCAGTCGTCTCAGTTTCGCGATGCCCCTTTTCGGTTGTCTCCGAAGTTTTGGATTGGCTGAAGGTTTCCTGCTTATCTACACATGGTTGAAGTTGTGCGGCCTCGATTCGTGGCCAGTCCTTCAGTGCTACTGGCTGCTGCGACGTTGTGTGCCGTGACGCTTCCTTCGAATGATTCAGTATGCTGTTGCTGTTGAGCCCTCGGCACTTCCCTACCTACCGAGGAGAAGGATTGTGGAGATGCACCCCGTTCTTGGCTGTGAGGTGACGTTCTTGATGTTTCAGACATTGCCTGGAACGATTTCTGCTCGGCTGACGTCATGTTAGATTGCATTAAAGGTGTATCTCCTGCTGGTTGCCTTAGTTGTGCTTCTGTTGGCACGAACGGATGCATCACAGATGGCGTCTCTTGAGATGGCTTGGTTTGCGAGGTCTCAAATGACTTTGACGACGTTTCGAGAGACAGCTCCTCTACTGTCTTCGACTCCATCATGTCTGCTGTTTTTGAAACAGACTGCTCGACCGCCTGGGTCTTCTTCTCCGTTACTTCAGCCTCACGGTGTCCGCCTTCAGTTCGCTCCGATGTTTTCGAGTGGCTAAACGTCTCCTGCTTGTCTACGTATGGCTGCCCCTGAGCACGATGCTCTGGCGATTGAGCGCTGGTTTCCACTGGATAAATGGGACCTGACGAAAGTACCGGAGTGTGACGTAGAGGGCTTTCATCTTGGGATACTTTAGATGTCGAAAGCGTTTCCAGGAGCCTCTCTTCCGTCGAATGCGTTCGTCTATCCGGCATGTCTCGTGGAGCCTCAACATACAGCACAGGCGCTGCCAATGGCTGAGGTGGTTGTTGTGACTGGGATTGTGTCTGGAGGTAATGCTGTTCCATGGTTTCTTTTTTAGATTCCAGCAATGGTGACCACTGGGCCTGCGGCACCCTCTGGAAACTCGCATCGTCCGTGGTAAACGGGGAGACGACAGAAGTTGTTACCGGAGGTACTGGTTCCTGAGTCATTTCTTGGGTACGCGTCGACGTTTCATAGGACTCTTCCTTGACAATTTTTGTCGAAGTCGTAGTCGGTGTTGCAGACTGCTCAACCGCCTGGCTCCTTTTCTCTGACGTTTCAGATTCTCTGTGCCCATGCTCTGTTTTCTCCGATGTTTTTGATTTGCTGAAAGTCTCTTGTTTGTCCACATACGGTTGTGGGTGAGGCTGTATCGAACTATGGGTCGGAAAGGCTGGCATGCTGCGACTACGTGGGGGTGATGGGGCTGCACGGGCTTGGGGTGCATCTCTTTCAAAGATATCCCGCCTGGAAGTATGCACAGACTTATTTGCGGTCGATGCCACTTGTTGCTGAAGCTGAGGTTTTCGCAACGTCTCTCGCTCCGGAAAGAATGCTGCTTGAGCTAGGTTTCCCGGCGCCAGCGTTGATGCATCACTTGATTCAGCCATGGACGTGAACGATTTATGTTCCGAAGTTTTGATTTTCGCTGGCGGCACGGGGGCCGGTTTTGGTGCTTGCATTGCGGGGATCCCAGTCTGAACAACTTGGTATGTAGTAGGAGGAGGAATCTTTGATGGCCCTTCTTGCGAAGTTTGAAGTGACTTTGACAACGATTGAAACGTTTGCTCTTCCACAGTCTTGGACTCTGTAATTTCTGGTGTCTCTGAAACAAACTGTTCAAGTGCCTGCACCTTTTTCTCGGTGATTTCAGAATCACGGCGCCCCTTATCGATTGCCTCTGACGTCTTGCAGTGACTGAACGTCTCCTGTTTATCGACGTAGGGCTGTCCTGGATGATGCAAATTAGCCAAAGGTTTCGGTGACCCCACCAAACAGAATGGCCCTAAAGAAAATGGTTCCGGGGCAGCACGCAGAGACGAAGAATGTTGGGAGGTCTTGCATTCTGAGTTTGAGTTCAGATAGCTCTTTTCCAGAGAGTGAGTCTGATCTCGCACGTGGCCCGGCTGTCGAGGACTTTCAGCAGGTGTCAAGTGAACTGATGGAACGAACTTTGCATTGGGAACTTCAGGTGTAGAATGTAGGGATGTTTCGTGGGACTTGGATATTGTCTCCTGTGACGTATCTGAGGTGGTTTTGGTTTTTGTTTGCGGCAAGGTCCCACGTCGGCACATGTCTTGCGGCTGCACCTGGGGTTGAGAAAATACATTGGAAAATGGAGCCGGTGCTCGAGGAACCTTTTCCTCAGACGTCTCATGGGACATTGCTTGCGAGGACACCTCCTCGACAGTCTTGGTGGTAGTCATGGTTGGCGTCACTGACCGCTCAAACGTCTGACTCTTCTTTTCCGCCGTCTCAGATTCTTTGCTTCCGTGCTCGGTTTTCTCCGAAGTTCTTGATTGGCTGACAGTTTCCTGTTTGTCCATATAGGGCTGTGCCTCTGGCTGGGACTTTACAAAAGGCCGCGGCGACGGGACGTCCGCGAACCGAGTGGGGTAATCGAGAGAAGAAACCGGGACCTGAGAAACCTTCCTGTTAACGTTGTCAAGCATCGACGTTGTTTGCATATAGCTTTCCTCTTTTGATCCATATTTTTGCCCCGCTGTTTCCGATGGCAGCAGTGGTGTCAGTTTCTGTGGCTCCTTTGTTGGTCCTGCTTTTTGAGGAAACTGGCTCGTAAGGTGCATAATTTCTGGGACTGTTTCTTGAGACGTCTCAGATGATTTTGAAATCGATTGAAACGTCTGCTCCTCGACAGTCCTGGATTCAGTTTTTCCTGGTGTTGTTGACACAAAGTGTTCGACAGCCTGACCTTTTTCTCAGCGATCTCAGACTGACGACATCCTTTATCGGTTGTCTCCGAGGTTTTAGAGTGACTAAACGTTTCCTGTTTGTCCACGTATGGCTGGGCGGAGGGATGCAGATCTGCCACAAGTTTCGGTATCCCCACTGGATGGGCAGGACCTGAAGAAAGCGGTTTGGCAGCAACACGGGGAGGCATTGCCTCCGGAACTTGTGGTGACGCTTGCCGGCTCAGAACGCTTGATTCGGACGTTGAAGACGTGGACATCTGCTCCGTGTTGATGGTCTTCGCTTGTGGCAATGGCGAAAACTCTATTGTCTCGTATGGCTGCGTCTCAGGCTGAGAAAATGGATAGGGCACAGAAAATGGCGGCTGAGGAAGCCTGTCCTTTGAAAACCCATGAGACTTGGACAACATTTCCTCGACAGTCTTGGAGGAAGCCATGGTCGATACAGCGGGCTGGCCAGACGTTTGATCTGCCTCACCCGTCACCTCCAATAGTTTGCGGTCATACACAGTTTGCTGCGTAGTTTCGCACTGTCTCGAATCTTTCTGTTTCTCAACGCATGGTTGTGCTGGTGGTTCATGTTTCGGCAGAGTCCGCGGTGCCTCAACATGTGCGAACCGAGCAGGAGAAACTGATGGACGGGAAAAGAATTCAGGCTGTCTCTTTTCAACAAGCAGGTGCTTTGACACCTCACTCACAGACTTTTGCTCTTTCGACTCGGCTCGCTCGTGCTGCTGATAATCACGTCCTGCGATGGTAGCTGGATGGACGGCTTCAGGCACTGGAACCTGTGCCGGTCCTAGGTTTGTTCTCTCCAAAGACTGAGTCCTAGACTGAGACATCTGCTGCTGTCTAGTTTCCGTGGTCGATTGCGGCACAGGGGCGGGCTGCACGAAGTCATAAGCTGGCGTCATATCCGGAGTGACTGGATACTCTTCTGGATATTTTTGTTGAGAGGTCTCTGAGGTCTTTGATGATGACTGGTATGTTTGCTCCTTCACAGTTTTTGGTTCTGTCATTTTTGATGGTCTGGGGACAGTCGGCTTGAAAGGCCGAGCATGGCTTTCGGTAATGTTGTGTTTATCAATAACTATAGAAGCCTTCTCTGCCATCTTATGCTGGCTTTCCTTATCGACACACGGCTGGAATGAAGGCTGCACCCTTTTAAAAGGGGCCGGTGTTCCCACAGGATAAGCAAGATTTGAAGAAAAGGGTTTGGGGCCGACACGCGGAGGCAAAGTTCTGAAAGTCTTCAGCTCTGAGTCCGTTTCCAGAACACTCCGCTCCAAAGAATGAGGTCGATCAGGAACCTCGCTCCTTTGTTGGGGAACTTCACTAGTCGCCAGAGGGACCGGTGGGACGAGTGTTTCATTCAGATTCGGCGGCGCTGCATATTTAGATGCTTCATGTCGCTCAGAAGTTGTTTCCAGCGACATCTGCTGGGTAGTTTCGGTGTTTACTTGCGGCATCGTCGCTCGGCTGGATATACTATGTGGCTTGGCCTCAGGCTGAGCAGAAAGCTGCGGTACAGGAGTTGCAACGTGGGGAAGTTTTTCTCCTGACGTCTCAATGGAAGTTTTTTGGATGCATTGTTCCTCAACGGTCTTGGAAGAGGTCATGGTCGGCGTAGCAGACTGCTGGAATGTCTGACTTTTCTTCTCTGTCGTCTCAGACTCCTTGAGTCCTTGCTCAGTTTTCTCTGAAGTCTTCGACTTGCTGAAAGTCTCTTGCCTGTCCACATACGGCTGTTCTTGGGGCTGATAATTTGAGAAAGTTTGGGGTACATCGGCATGCGAAAATGGTGCTTGAGGAGCTACCAAAGTCGGCGGGCCTTCAAGCAGGCTTTTCGTAAAAGCGTCAAGTTTCGAAGTAGTTTGAATGTGCTTTTCTTCCTTTGATTGCTGATTGGTGTTGTTTGTTTCCATCTTCAGCAATGGCGTAAGTTGGTCAAGCTGGTCTCCTGGAGTTTGAATGCGGGAAGATGGACGGATCATGGGCTTCCTTTCTAGCACGCTATCCTGTGATGTCTCAGATGATTTCGAAATTAGCTGACTTGACTGCTCCTCCACGGTCTTTACTTCGGTCATTCCGGGTGTTTCTGAAATAGACTTCTCAAACGTTTGACCCTTCTTCTCAGTGACCTCGGACTCGCGAAGTCCTTTATCGGTTGCTTCCGAGGTTTTAGAGTAGCTGAACGTCTCTTGTTTGTCCACTTGTGGCTGTGATGGAGGCTGCAGATTCGTCAAGGGCGCTGGTGCTCCCACTGAAAACGTATTTGACTTTGAACCCAATGATGACCGTTCTGTGGCCTCAGTTCTAGCTTGAGTAAACGATGGACGTTGGAAGGTCACCTGAGGATGTACCTCAGGCCGAGAAAATGGCAGGGAACCTGATAGTTCAGGGGCCCTTTCGTTTGATGTCTCGTGGGAGGTGGTTTGGAAGGAAGTTTCTTCGACGGTCTTTGATGACGTCATAGTTGGTGTAGCAGACTGCTCAAAGATCTGACTTTTCTTTTCTGCCGTTTCTGACTCCCTGTGTCCCATGCTCAGTTTTTTGCGATGTTTTGGATTGGCTGAAAGTCTCCTGTCTGTCGGCATACGGCTGTCCCTGTCGCATGGATTTCGGAAAAGCTTCAAACGCCTCGGCGAGCGGAGGCAGAGTGGGGAGAATGGCTGAGAAGTCATGAGATTTAGGCAGCGGTTGATCGGAGACGCGATGATCCGACTTCTCATGTATGTATTCTTGTTCTTTTAACTGGCTTTGCATCCCTTGCCTACAGCTGCTTTCCCCATTGACTTCGGGAGTGAACACTGCAAGTGCCGGAGCTTGGGCCGATCTTGGGCCTGATGTCTCCGAAGATTCAGACATGGTTTGAAACATTTTTTGTTCACTGAGCTCAGTCCTCAATTGCTGCATAGGAGCAGGTTGCCTTACCTCCATGAGTGCCACGCTAGGCTGTGGAAATGCGCACTCCACTGACAATGCCACTGGTGGAAGCCCTTTGGCTGACGTCTCGGATGACTTCGATATCGACTGCTGCGTTTGCTCCTCCACCGTCCTGACCTTTGTCACTTCCGGTGATCTTGAAACGGTCTGCTCAGTCGACTGGCTCTTCTTCTCCGTCATCTCAGCGTCCCGGTGCCCATTTGCAGTCCTCTCCGATGTCTTCGAGTGGTCGAACGTCTCCTGCTTGTCCACGTACGGCTGTGTCTCCGTCTGCAGCCCGAGCGCGTGTCCATTGACCTGTCCCTGCTGCTGACCGGCGGGTCGCGCCGGCTGCGCCTCCGTCGGGCCGTTCGGCATCGCGACCTCCCAAGGCCGGTAGCGCACACCTCCACGGAGCTGAGGCGAGCGCGGTCGGCGGCGGACGACTCCGGAGCCCCGGTGGCACCTCACCCCGCCGCTGGCACACGACTGGCCGAGTGATGTCCGCACAGACGTTCGGCCCGTCTATTTCGGGCGCGCCTGGTGATGTCAGACATCGGAACTCGATCGAGCCTCCCCGGTCACGGTCGCGTGCTGACCTGGCCGGCTCGGGACACCTCACCTCCGGTCTGGCCGACCGCCCGAGCGGCGCGGGCGCATCTCAGACGCCACCGGCGATCCCCGAGCGCAGGCGGCTCATCGTTAGCGCTTTCTGTGTATTGAGGGGCGGCAGCCGCTGCGCGGCGATATGGTTGATTTTTTGAAGGTCGTGGGTGGTCTCAACAGATTGAGCTGTTCGTTACTCAGATAAACGACCTCCGTGTGATGCGTGATGTGGCCCCGCGTGGGAGTATTGATACTGTTCTCACGTTGTGAGAAGGTTAAATGTTGCAAGACGTTCATTTGTTCATTAATAGAGGAGTCCATCTCATCTGGCTTAACTTCTTTAAAATGCACTGGGATCCTTTTACCGTGCAGATACTTTCTGTGTCTGATCTCTCCAGGTGTTTCCGCCTTCAAAAAATTATGATCTGTTGTCCATCCGAGCCGCCGGACCACTCGCTATAAAGCCGACCGAGCTTGGCTTCAGTTAAAAGGACGAGGCTCATCCGAAAACCTTCCTCTTTCGCGGTTTTTCTATATATATATATATATATATATATATATATATATATATATATATATATATATATATATATATGTATGTATGCATATATACAATTGGATATACATCATTACTTTGTTCATCAAATTTTGTATATCACATTTGGAATATATGATTTGGTATACCTTGTTCGCAAATCTTGAGGAGCGTATTCGAAACAAGCATTCACGCAAATGGAGCAGGATACCAACCACGGTAGTAGTATTTTCTGAAATACAGCTAAAGTGCTACGTTCCAAGGACAATGTTCTGACATCAATATGTTTCAATGAGTTCCAGGCTTGGCACTGTTGATGAACAATTGCTTTTGTGAGAGACTGGCCCACGAGTAAGAAGCTTAACTTCTCTGAGATTGTTCAACTACAAAGACCAGGAGAAAGATGCTTGGGACCAAGACAAGATGAATGCTCAATATCAGGACCACGTTGGCTGGTAATTGCCCAGTAGGACTGCGCAACCACATCTTTGGCTATTTAGCCGTACATCTTGCATGAATAGTTTTGGAATAATGCTCCTCGACAAGCTTAGCTTAGGATTGTTCTGGTATCAGTCCCATTGCTTAACTTGATGTGAAAACTCTGATTCCATACCCCAAAAGAATATTTCATTTCAACGAAATATGCTTGCGGTAAAACCCGTGATTTCCATGCTGTTCTACAACAAGGACGATCCTCTGCATCCCGGCTGTCTCGGTCGCTCGCAAGCAAATCGTCAGAGACGGACCGCATAAGCGTGTTTCGGACCATCATCCCACACATATGCCGCAAATTGGTCAGAATGCCCGGTGCTCTACCTCATCCAAGCTACAAGGGCGGGCTCACTGGCCGTCGAACTGCCCTCTCCATGTCAGTGAGCACTGCCGTCGTTTTTGTCCGGAAAATAGCAGGCGCTCGGGACGGAAACTGGAAGAGACGGACCGTGGTTCGTGCCAGAGCAGGCCGGGCAGATGGCGCTCGGAGAGCCTAGATCTGCACATCAGTCCCAATCCGCCCGACAGTCGGGTCAACCGGCTCGGACTGGCTACCGGCGACCAACGGGACCTCAGGCGGTGTTAGTGCTACAACCTCGGCCTCGGCCCACGTACTTCTAACGATCTAACTACCTCTCCGACGCACGTCAACACGCCTTTCAAGGGAGTGGCAGGAGCGCACCAGTCCAGTGCCTCGTCCCCGACGGCGTGCTCCACCCCAGAGCGGCTGCCATGAGCGCGGCCGACCTACCTTCGATCTCGACGTTGCAGGTGGTGACGGCCTCGCCGGCGACGTTGGTGGCCTTGCACATGTACGTGCCGGAGTCCTCCGGGTAGGAGTATAGCAGGTCCAGGGCCACGAACCCGAAGTCATAGGAAGTCTTGAAGCGGTGACCTGGCCGAAGAAGGGAACGATGCTAGGCGAGTCGAGCATGGTCACCAGTCACGGGCCATCAGGATGAGACAACTAGATAGTGTGAAGGAAATTACGCGCAGACGGAGCGGCCCAAGACCCATGAATACATAGCAGTATGCATGCATATATCGGTGTATCTATTCTGTTTATACAACGAACCGGCCGATATTCATTTTTCGATGCTCGGCGGTGATTTTCTGTTTTCATAATATGTGGGGTCTATCGTTCTAATGCAGTTAATGAAACAGGTCATCACAAAGCATCTATCTCGCTCAGATCTGGGACGATTCACTATCAGATGGTTGTACAGACCAATAAAAACCATGTATACTTTTAAGCGCAACCGGTTTTTTTAGCTATGCTCATTTGCCCAGACCATTGCCGCTGTCCCGTATTCGTGTGTCGAACCGCCGTCAGTCCGATGTCGCCTGGCACGTACCCTGCGGGATGGGGCGGCCGTTGTAGAACCACTCGACCTTCATGGTGGCGTCGTTGACGGGCGTGAGCGTGGCCTCGAGGTGGGTGTTCTGACCCTCCACCAGCCGGGCGTTCTTCAGTGGGCGGCCGAACACGGGCTTCTCGTGCGGCGCCGGCCGCTCCTCCTGCGGGCGCGGCTTGCCCGCCTCCAGGTGGGAGATCTTCTGCATGGCGGCCGGGTGCTGGCTCTCCTGGATCAGGGCGGCGCGCGCTGTCCGCCGCGCGACGCTCGCGTCAGGGCGGGGTGATGGTGGGGGGGGGGGGGGGGGGGGGAAGACGGCACGCACTCGGTCACGACGCGGCTCCACGGACGACCGCGCAGTGTCGTGGCGAGCAGCGTTCCGCCCGTGAGGCGCGACAGTGTTGACTCGTACGCCACAGAACGGGACATGTCCGACTTAAAGGAAGACAACATTCACGACATGACGTTACAGATGAGGACAGTCGAGTTTTGCGCGACACATGTTGTGACTCGGTGATGCGATACCACCATCAGACGACGCGTCCCGCTTGTACCCCTCTCGTCCCTGGTGAGGCCAGAGGGCGGCGGCGGCCGGTCGCCGGGACACGTACGCTGAACGGCGATGTTCAGCTGGGACGTGGCCTTGCCCAGCTGGTTGGTCGCCTGCACCGTGTACACGCCCGAGTCCTCCGGGTAGGCGGACAGTATGTCCAGCGACACGAAGCCGAAGTCGTTGATGGTGCGGTAACGGTGACCTGGCGGAGCGGTCGGTATGTGAACGGACATGAAGTGGGAGACGTGAGGCAGGCAGCCTGCGACCGGCTTGCGTGATCTATAGGGTTGTGACGCGATGTGAATAGTAAACGACGATCTGTTAGTGAACAACGCAACGGTGGACATCAAGAATAATGCCTACCAGCGTGGCCTTGGACACATGGTACGAACGCGTGGTAGTGGTGGACAATTCTTTTCTTTCTCACCGCTTGCCAAGGGCTTTCCGTTGTGGAACCAGTCGACCTTCATGTTGGTGTCCGGGTACGGCTCGATGCGCGCTTCCATGTGGGCCGACTGGCCCTCCACCAGGTTGGTGGGGCCTGTCAGCTCCGTGACGAACCTGAGCGGGATCAACAGCCGTATTAAGCCAAGTGATACATGGGTAGAGGCCAGGGTAACACGCCTGACATGTCCAAACATTGAAAGGCACACGCTTGACGTACAACTGTTAGACTTGCCTTACTGATTCATCCAGATATTGCATTAGGCAATGACCAATGTGTTATTGCTGTAGCAGTTTTATAGGCCATTGACGTACATCTATCTGCTGTTTTATTTGCCAAGGCTGATCACGCTAATCATGCCGGTCATCTCTATCGCTATGACCCGCACGAACTAACAGAGTCGCGTGATTGCCCCAGGTAACTACGACCTCATCCCCGCCGCCGCCGTGTTCGGTTACCGCGGCTTCTCCTTGACGACGGCCTCCTGGACCTCCGGCCTGGTGACCGTCTTGTCCTCGAGCTGTCGCAGCTTCTGCAATGCCCCCTCGTGCTGCGTGTCGAGCAGCAGCGACTCCTTGGCTGTGGGACGCGCGACCTGTCACCTAGCTCTCCTTGGGGGAGAGACGTGCATCCTCCCACGCCACCGCGCTAAAGGAATGGGCGCATCGCTAGCTGATCGTGACTGGGCCGGTATCGGTTCAGTTTGACACAATTACGAATGTGATCTCAACATCTGCGACGTGGCATCTCAGAATGGTAGACATCCTGGTCTTGAGCAGCAGTGTTACCCTGCGCTAGTCTTGCATTCAAACTTGCCGCATACCTAGCACAAAATTTACTAAAACTAAATGCGGTGGGCCCGGGACCAATGCCAGCCTTATTGCCGGCCTCCATGTTTACTACGAGATTTCACCAGATAAATTTTCTTAATAATCGTCCTAGGTAAACACACACGTCGATGTAGCTGGGATAGGACTGCCAAAACGCCGAGAGAGCTTGACTCCATCATGGCCATCGCTGAATTCCGCACGAATATCGGCTTCTGAGCGCGTAGCAGCCGCGGTATATCAGAGCCGACTGGTGGAGCGCTTACACTGGACGACGCAGGTGGCCGAGGTGGCCGCCTGTCCCAGCTCGTTTGTGGCGCGGCACGTGTAAGTGCCGCTGTCGTCCTCCTGAGAGTACTTCATGTCCAGCGCCACGAAACCGAAGTCGTTCATAGTGGTGATGCGATTGGCTGAAACACGACAATGTGTGCTTTGATTCATCATGCTGGGGCATTGGGAAGCGGGCTGACAGAGGGGTGTCAGCGCTACACAGCACTGAAGTGCAGGAGATGGCGGGTAATGTGCGATTCTTGTCTCAATAGCCACCTTTTCCAACGTCTACGAACGCCCGATGCACATAAAATGAGCATTTTCAGAAAAAGAAGAGAATCCAAGCTCTAGAAAACTGTCGCGATTGCCTTGCTAACAAAGCAATCGCGACAACAAGCACCACTGAAGTTAACGCTGTTTCCATGGCGACGTGCGACGCCGGAGCCGTACCTTGCTGCAGGGGCACGCCGTTCTTGAACCACTCGACCTTGAGCTTGGCGTCGCCGACCGGGATCAGGCGCGCCTCGAAGTGCAGCGGCTGTCCCTCGGCCACGCGCACGTCCTTGATGGGCTGGGTGAAGACGGGCGCCTGGGTGGTGGCCTCCTCCTGCGGTCGCGTCGTCTGTGGCTTCTGCTCCAGGTGGCGTAGCTTGGCCAGCGCCTCCTCGTGCAGCGTGCCCTGGTCAATGGCGCTCTTGGCTGCGGGGAAGCGGCAGGGGACGGGCGTCAGCAGTCACTGGGGTCTCGGGATTGGGCAGGAGTCAGTGGAGAGGGAACTGCTAGTAGTGAGTGGAGCTGTATAAAAAGAAGAGAAACCGCATGTGCACGCTGGGGAAAGGAGTAGCTCCAGATAGCGCTACGTTTCAACGTAGGTTTCATGAAAGAAAGCTGGTACATATCTGCTTTACGGGAGCACACACTGCGAAAATGGTAAACAGAAAAAAAACAGATCACAAGAGCTATTTTATAACCATGACAGTCAGCATATTCACATATACAAGCCAGCATATGCAAATCATGCCGATCAACATGCTAGCGATCGCTCAGTTCTGTATGCACTGAAGTCAGCATGGCTACTCACACACGCAGGTGAGGTTGGCCTGAGTGACGGCCTCGCCCAGGGCGTTGGTGGCCTTGCACGTGTACGTGCCCTGATCCTCCGGATACGCGTGCATAATGTCCAAGGCCACGAACCCAAAGCTGTTCGTCTCAACAAACCTACGCGAAACAGGTCACCAATCACGCCCCAGCAATAGAACCTCTTGCAATGACAGAACCGGAAAGACAGGCCAGGAGATGTAACTTGGTCCATGATCAAGGCATGTGTCAAATTTACAGATGTGGCAATTGCATACGGTAGGACGACATCAGTTGTTTCCTGTGAGCAGCATATTTCAATGAGTATGACATTCGACGAGTAAACTTTAAACCTCAGAAATGACGCAGGCCAAACATAAAGGCCAATACAGACAAAGTCACTAAGCATGGAAACTTCATCGCACAGTTGTAGAATCGTCACTATTGTGATCAACATTGATGACGGACCAACGCGCTGCCCGTTTTTGCAGCTACGTCCACCGCCTGGCTGTCACCCACCTGGAGCCGGCCTTGACTGGCTTCCCGTTGTGGAACCACTGGACCTTCATGGTGTGGTCGGAGACGGGGATGAGGCGGGACTCGAAGTGGGCACGCTGGCCCTCCTTCACGGTGACGTTCGTCGGTGAGGTGGTGAAGACGGGCGCCTGCGAGGTCACCTCTTCCACAATCTCGGCGCGGCTGTACTTGGATTTGTCCTCCAGGAACTGCAGCTGCTGCAGACCCGACTCGTGCTGGGTGGCCGTCACCACCTTCTGCGCGCCTGGCGGGTGGTCCGCGCGGGTGTCAGATGACGGTCAGAGAGGGCGGGGTCAGAAGCGGGTGGAGAGGTCAGAGAAGGGCAGAGAGGTCACAGAAGCCAGCGCCGAATAGGTCAAGGTCAGGGAGGCCAGAGCCGAGTTCGCTCGCAAACTGAGACATTCAAGCTGGGGCACTGAGAAGGCACCCTGAGAACCGGTAGACCTCGTACTGCCTAGTCGCTTTAAGGCTTACTATGAAGGCTACCACATCACCGCCCTGCTCTCTGATAGCCGGCGGGCTGCACCTCAGACGATGTCCACGGCACGGACGACAGCCCGCCGAGCGCCACAAGCTCTCGCACCCCGCAAGCTGCCATCGACAGAGCTCTCGCCCGGAGCCGAACCAGCTGACCCACACTGCGCTGCCCGACAGGCACCGACCCGTCGAAACTGCCCACTCACTGGCACACTTGAGTATGGCCGAGGTCTCGTCGTAGCCGAGTCCGTTGGTGGCGCGGCAGGTGTAGATGCCCTCGTCCTCGGGGATCGTGCCGACGATGTCGAGAGCCACGTACCCGAAGTCGTGCAGCGGACGGTGACGGTGGCCTGCCGGCACCCCAGCTCAGTCGGACCGCACGGCGGCGCCTCAGCATTTGTCGACGGTGAGGTCGTGACAATGAGACGGCGTGCCAGTCAGCGATGTTGCTTGGATCACAAGAGCTTCGCGGTGGATTTGAGTAGGGTATGGACACATGACGGTTGTAGCATAGGTGGTTGAAAGTCCGAAGCAGCTCGCACTTACCGAAGCGTATTAGTTTCCATCCACACTCTTTTCCTCCCGCCCCCTCTCGCCCTCCCTCCCCTCCTTTTCCCTTTGACTCTCTCTCTCTCTCCCTCTCTCTCTCTTTATCTTTCTATTTCAGTCCCTCTCTCTTTATCTCCCTCCTCTCACTCCCAAACTCTCTCTCTCTCTCTCTCTCTCTCTCTCTCTCTCTCTCTCTCTCTCTCTCTCTCTCTTTCTCTCTCTCTCTCTCTCTCTCTCTCTCTCTCTCTCTCTCTCTCTCTCTCTCTCTCTCTCTCTCTCTCCTCTCGTCCTCATCTCTGCCAACCACGGCTGGTCTGCCGACAGAGCGACTCGGCAGCACACTGACCGACTGTGATGGGTTTGCCGTCCTTGAGCCACTCAACGCGCAGGTTGACGTCCGTCACCGGCTCCACCTTGGCCTCGAAGTGGGCCGTCTGACCCTCCTTCAGGTGCTCCTGTCAATCGCGCCGTCAGCTAAGCGTCGGCTACTCTCCCGTGTTGCCGTTAGACAGGGTGAGAGGATAGTGCAGTTATGTCCGTCGCGCAATTTGCCTACGTCACTGAGCCGCCGTGGCATATTTACATTAAAATTGAATTCGAGCTCGACCAATGCGCCGTGCTTGTAAAATCAACAACTGTAATCGCCTGCAAATGTCACGCTGTTTTATTTCCGTCTTTGCTCAAACAGCTAGGTCATCGCGCGTCCACATGTCCTACGCAGGTACCTGGTGCTTCAGCTGGGAGACGAACTTGGGCTTGATCTGCACCATCTCATCGGCCCACTCCTTGCGCTGGTACCGGGACGTGTCCTCGATGAACTGGATCTGCTCCAGCGACGACGGGTGCTCCGTGTACAGGTCCTTCTTAGCTGCAAATGAAACCCAACGATAATGTAAGATTTCGATGGTGGCGCTTGTGGTGTGGAAAGGCTTCAATGAGATCTGATGCTGCTATATCTCTCTCATAAAAGGTCCCCAGTGTTAACTACCGCTGCTGATATTCCTCGCTGCCATGACAAGACGTTGCTCCGCCGAAACCGTGATCTAAAATTGCTCACCGCACGCCATTGGGCAAGTGCACAGCGTCAGTGCGGCACAGATGAGCCGACACGGTACAGTTACAATCTCTGTGATGATGCGCAAGTCATTTCAAAACAGCAAACAAGTTTGTGTGTAGCTCAGTGGGTACAAAATAGGCGATGGCTAGATGGCGCCACTACACTTCAGCACTGAATACGTCCCCATCGCTATGTGACCGACCGATGACGTCCCCTGACTGCGTGGCTGGCCGATGGCGTTCCTCTGACCCCCGTGACTGACCGATAACACCCCTTTGATCCCGTGACGGACCGAGGACACTACTCTGACCCCGTGACTGCCCGACGACACCCCTGTGACACCGTCATCGCCCGACGATACCCTTTTAACACCGCAACGGATGACATCCCTCTGACCCCGTGACTGACCGATGACGCGGATGGCGGCCGAGGTGACGGCCTGGCCCAGTCGGTTGGTGGCCCGGCACGTGTACAGGCCCGAGTCGGCCGGGTACACGCTGAGCAGGTCCAGCGCCACGTAGTCGAACTCGTACGCCGGCCGGAACCGGTGGCCTGCGGAGAGGGCGGCCGGGTCAGTCACTGCGGTCACGGTCACAATCAAGTCGGCGGTCGGTCATCGCGGTCACTATCACGGTCGCAATCCCGACGGTCGATTACCGGGGTCACTACCACGGTTCCAGACCCGGTGCCAACACTCGTCAGATATGGCAGACTGTATGGACACTGCACGGGAATGAGTTGGGATGGACGCGTCACGCGCTAACCGTCACTGCACAACAGTACTGCTCACCTATGAGAGAGAGTTTGACAGCGTTCATCCAGGATTAGCGGGTAGCTAAGTGCGAAATGGACTCCACAATGAATAGCTTTTAACATTCAAAGTATGTTGATATAGGCAACACTACCCTTCACCCCCCATAGCTGTTTGCGGGCGGAAGAGGTTGGTGTATCGCGATGTCATGGGAAATGGCAAATACGCCGGGGACCTTTCGAAAACGAGTACGACATAAGCTTACCTCCAGCGCCATTGCTAGCGCTCGGCACACCACCGACTCACCGGTCTTCAGCGGCTGATCGTTGACGAACCACTCGACCTTCATGCTGTTGTCACCGACCGGCTGCAGCCGACACTCGAGGTGCACGTTGGTGCCCTCGAGCGTCTCCACGTTCCTCAGCGGCTTGGTGAAGTTCGGCATCTGACGGTCGAAGGTCACGTGGTACTTCCATCTGAGTACGCACCACGCCCCGTGTGCAGCGGCCACTATCGGATCTCAGTGGTCTATTCCAAAGTTGCGCTCCAATACATTGGCATGAGATCCGCGATCAGTACACCGTGTTTTATGCACCGTGAAGGTTGTTGTGTTCGCCGTAAAAGTGACACCAGTCTGGACTTGTCACTCTTGTCGGCTCTGTTACACCTGTCAAATCATCCTAGTCATCATCAGCGCGCAACTCCGATATATATATATATATATATATATATATATATATATATATATATATATATATATGGATCTTCGTCACAGAGCAATACAGTGCGACACAGCGCACCCATGGAATACCTCACTCAAAACGAGCATTTGTCCGTGTCCGCAGGGCTGCCGAGCCGCAACCGACCTGAGCTCACTGAGCGAGCTGACCTGACCCGACCTGACCGGACCGCGACCTCGCTGTGCGCTCACCTGGTTGATGGTCGTGTCCTCCTCGACGCGGCGCGTCTGCTTGGCCGAGTCCTCCAGGTACTGGATCTGGTCGAGCGCGCCCTCGTGCTGCGTGTCGGTGTCGACGTCGGCGTGTGGCACCACGTGCACCAGCGCCGACGTGTGCGCCGAGCCGAGCTTGTTGGTGGCGCGGCACGTGTACTCGCCCTCGTCGGCCTTGGTCAGGTCCAGCACGTCCAGCGCCACGAAGCCGAAGTCGGCGTACGTGCGGAAGCGGGAGCCGATGGTGATGGGGCGGCCGTTCTGGAACCACTCCACCTTCATGGTGGGGTCGTTGACGGGCTCCAGGCGGCACTCCAGGTGCACGCCGCGCCCCTCCGGCTGCGGCGCCGGGTTCTGCGGGAGCAGACACGGCGGGTCAGCTTACAATACTTGGTAGTGCAACGGTCCATGCGTTGGTAGCAACCGTCTTACTGAAATCTAGTCGATGGTTTTTACAATACGTCGTTGGCTAACTGGGGCAATGAGAACGAATGAACGAAGAACGAACAACAAGCAACAAGAGCGAACCAGCAGCTGCAAACGCAGACATGTATTTTCCGAAAAGCGCTTTTTGCTGAAACACAAGAAAATGGAATAGGCACGGGTGATATGACCATCAACGAGTTGATTGCTGATGATCATCGCTATGTTTTCGTTTTCGCTACTCTACCAGCATGACTGCTTCAGTAATATATGCTCTCCACTTATTACCCTGGCTTCACGTGGTGACCAGCAAACCACGTCGTGTCCAGACGTACCTTGAGCGGCTCAACGAAGACGGGCTTGGATTTGCAGTAATCGGGCACGTCGTACTGCGGCTCCTGGAACTTGGCCTTCTCCATGCGGTCCGTCTTCTCTACCACTCCGCGGTGCATAGACGTGGTGTCGACGGCCTGGCGCACTGCCGACGCAGAGTGCCGCAGCTCAGCCCCACCGCACCCCCTCGGTACAGTGACGTCATGAACGGGCGGGGCTCCGTCGGGCACGGCACCGACTGCGAGTGCTCTTTTCAGGGCGCTGCCCCTTCCAAGAGCATTTCATGCGAATCATGTGAAAACGTCGCTCTGCCGTTAAGCGGCCACCATGTTCAAGGCTTGCTGCTGGAAATTTCGTATATCATGAAGTACATCCCAACCTGTCAGGCAATATAAAACGACGAGTACAAACACAGTGCACATTGTTCCTAATGCAGACTAGCTTGGGCAGCAGAGTATGAAATCTGACATAGAGAACACCCGGGAGCCAGTTGGTCCTCAACAGCAGTTCGAACATTAACTAGCGGCTAATGTCAGCTGGACTCCTTAACGCAGCGGCGCGAAGCCCGTTCCGCCCGAGCGCCAGCCCGGCCCCAGTCCCCTGCCAACGGCTGAGCCGCTATACACAGGAGCCGTGCGGTACAGTCTATACCAGATCACCGCTCGGTTGTTGGTCGTCCTTACCGGAGCCGCTGACGCGTGCAATTACCGAACCCGGGAAAGGTAGACAGGCATCTTACCTTCGACCTTCATCTGGGTCTGGGCGCGCACCTCCCCCAGGGGGTTCTTGGCCACCAGAGTGTAGGTGCCCGCGTCCTCTGGCTTGGCGCCGGCGATGTCGAGCGCCACGTAGCCAAAGTCGAGTACTGTCTGGATGCGGCTGGCCGGCGCCAGAGGCTTGCCGTTCAGGAGCCACTCAGTCTGCCAATCAACCGCCAGATGGCGTCAGCGGGCGCCCACGGCCGCGTGCTCACAGCCGACAGAGCGTCCAGAGGGTATCGGCAGGCGCCCGCGGCCGCGTGCTCACAGCCGTCACCTGAGACAACAGCAGACTATTAACCTTATACGTCAATAATATTGATCTTGCCGTCCATGTAAAAAGCAGAGGAAACAGCAGCCATGTCTCGCTCTTTGAATGCACGTTGTCGCCTGGACTTGAGTGAACTAGAGGTCACGATGAATTGATCGGTATCGAGATAATGCCGCTGGATCTCTACTGGTCGCTAGCTATGTTCACGGATGAGATCATCCCACGAACTCTGTACGCATCTAAAACATGGATGGTGGAAGGACTGAATTGGGCCAGCAAATTAAAAAAATACACCATAGGATTCAAACGCACTTTACAAAGACTTATCTAAGCAGATGACGGATCGATTCAAAGATCGTAACACTACAAAGGAATAACGGTGTGACCATGTTCCTATTTTATCCGTCAGTGCGACCATCTACCATATGATCATGGCAATCACGCCCCAACATCAATAAGATCCGGCAAGATATCGGTAACAGTCATGCAATCCATCACGGTGATTCTAAAATTAAATTGAGGCGCGACGAAAAAGAACGAAAAGCACGCAACACGTTAACCAATGTCCCCGCATAGATGGGGCTGTAGGTGGTCACTGAGGAGAGGTTGAGAAGCTGTGGCAGATCACGTGACAGTGAGTTTTCCTGACGCGCCACGTCACAACGAAGAGGGCCTGTGCCCACTTCCTCGCGTGACTACACGAACTCAGGTCACTGTGTCGTCCATGTGTTAATCCCGGGTCCCGGGTACAAATGACAGCTTTCTGTCCGGAGCCTTAGTCTCCCACTGGTGCCTACCTCACGGCGTCCAGCAAAGTGTGTGATATACGCCAAGGGCTTTGTGCTAAGCCAGCCCGGCTTCCCCAGAAGGTCCGATACATGCCACTTTTCTGGCCAAAACGAATTTTGCGGCGAAAGCAACGGTTTAGTGGATTTTCGAGACAGATTGTCCTGCGTGCAGTTGCGATATATCATAATGCATCATCGGATCTGAGAGAGGGCCGGAGCGTCAATTAGACAAGAGATGGCTAATGGTGGCAGGTAGCTCGTTGGTGCTACCTGCAACCCTCCAACTGCCACCATTCATCTGTCACCCTCCTCTAGCCACCCTCCATCTGCCACCCTTTACCAGCCAGTCCTCCATCCGCCACCCTTCACCTGCCACGTATGCCAAGCAGCTTTTACCTTCATGGTGGCATCGTTCTGCGGTTCCACACGACCCTCGAAGTGAGCCCGCTGTCCCTCCTTGATGACGTTTGTTCCCTTCAGTGGTCCGAGGAATTTGGGAGGCATCTTGGTGACCGTCACATCTTCCTCAACCAGCCGCTGGTGACGACTGCAAAAGAAAATAGCGCTTTGTGTGATCAAAAAAGCCATAACCAGCAGTAAATGCAAAATTATATCTTTAAATTAAAAAACCTTGATTGACACCACGTCTTCATGTGCTACAGATAAGGCAGCGCTGGGCGCCATGCACCATTTTAAGCCAAAAGCCTTGCTTGCGCAACTGGCTATATCTTAATCCGAGCGCATTCCCAGAAAGCTCTCGCCAGCACCTGCAACTCGAACCAAACATTTTCCAAATCGGCTGCCCCGCTCTCACCCTCGCCAATCTCCAGCAGCCACACTCGCTCACAGCGGTGCCGCACGCCTCACCTACAGTCCTCCAGGTACTGTAACACCCCGCTGCTCACCTGGCGTCCTCCAGGTACTGGAACTGCTGCAGGCTCTCCACCTGGCTGTCGGTGACGACGTCCTTCCTGCCGATGCACTGCAGCGTGGCCTGGCACTGCGCCTGGCCCGCCACGTTGCGCGCCACGCAGGTGTACACGCCCGTGTCGAACACCGTCACCTGCTTGATGGTCAGGCTGACGTAGCCGAAGTTGAAGAAGGTCGTCATCCGCGAGCCTGCCAGGCGGGGGCGGGGACATGTCAGAGGCTGGGTCAGGTCCGCTTCAAAACGCATGCTTCGGTAGATGGGAGGAAGAATAAACATCAGATTTACATCAAACTTACTGTGAGTTTCACCCACTGTTTCTGTAAACCAAGTAAACGAGTGCAAAATAATGCCCAGGTGCGTCCATGACTGGCTACGGCAGCATTCTATGCGGATTTTTCTGCCCGCACATTCGGCACGGTTGAAAGGCAAGTATGTGGGCGTGGAGGTAACAACCCCGCTATCTCGCAACAGATCACATCACGCCTACGCAGCTGTCTCCGGCATCCCTCAGCCGGCGTGAGCCCCCGAGCCTCCGGCGTCACTCAGCCGGCGTGAGCCCCCGAGCCTCCGGCGTCACTCAGCCGGCGTGAGCCCCCGAGCCTCCGGCGGCACTCAGCCGGCATGAGTCTCCGGGCCCGCGACGTCACTCACTGGCCTCGAGCGGCTTGCCGTCCTTCAGCCAATCAACGCGCAGCGTCGAGTCGCCGGTGGGCTCGAGGCGCCCCTCGAAGTGGGCCGTGCCGTTCTCGGGCACGGTCGGCGCGTCCCTGATCGGCTGTGTGAAGCGCGGCACTGTCTTGGTGTCGGCGAGGTCGGCCGTCACCTGCCGGGCACGCCGGGCCGGGTCAGGCACGGGGTCAGGAGTGGGTCCGACGCTGTCTCGGTATGAGGCAGGTTACGACTCTCGACGCTTGACGCTACATGTAGGTCACGTCAAGCTGGGTCGGGTGGAAGGGTCAGGGTTGGGTCTGGGATGAGGTCAAGGCAGAGCCGAGGACAGGGCAGGGTCGGAGTCAGGGGAGTCTAGTGACCTCTGCCGGCTATTTCTGAAGGTGGTGGCGCGGCCCATCGCTGAACACATCAGCCTTAGCCTGCATAACTGTAAATTTGATAACAAACAAGGGGACTTTAAACACTGTCATAGCCAAGGGATTTAAGTGTCCTGATGTTTTAAGTTATCTCTGTACCATGTATAGCTCCAAAATGTTGCCATTTTGTTGCTACATAAGTTTTCAACGATTTACATTCAAGTACAATGGCGCGGTATAAGCAGTTGTTTGCAGAATTGTTTGCTGTTCACTGCATCGAGGTCGGGTGGTGCTGATACACTAAGCCTTCGTCAGCGAAACAGAGCGATAAACGGACCCGGCGCCCAGCACCGTCTGTGCGTGACACGGACCTGCTTCTGGATGGCCTGTTTGTAGGACTCCAGCTGCTCGACCGACTGGATGTACTGCTGCTGCTCGGGGATGCCGAGGTCGCCGGTGACGGCCGCCTGCACGTTCACCACCAGCTGCGCCTGGCTGAACGCCTCGCCCACCTGCACATGGGGTATCGCCCGAGGTCGATCAGGGTCGAGCATGCGTACTTGTAGATCTGCTTCAGCTAGTCACAAAACATGCGTTTCGTTTTTGCAATAATGACTGTAGTCGCATTTGATTGTAGTCTTACAGCACCTCGCATGTGCGTAGTATGCAATCAAAATTAAGAGTGTCGAAAGTAGTGTTGACAATTTTGAATCTTGCATCCGAATGAATCCATTTTGCGGCATAATGTACGAGTCCACACCCACTTTTACCAAACGTGAGTCTGACAATACAGCACTAGCGCGAGCTTGTGGCTACGCTGCCGTCAACGATCACCAGTTAACGTGACGACTGCGAGGGCCTCCTGTCAGCCGACCTTGTTGGAGGCGCGGACCGTGTAGACGCCAGAGTCCTCGGGCCGCAGCTGGCTGATATGTAGCGCCACGTGACCAAAGTTGTTGATGTTGGAAATACGAGAGCCTGGCGAACGGGTGATATTGTCAAAAGTGTTTCTCCTTGGCTTTCATGATAAGCTGCGATTCCAACAGGTGGTGTAAATAGTTTGCTTGGGTCTCACTTGAACACGCTTTCAGCCTAAATTGTATCGTCAAAAAAGCATGACGGCTACATAAGAGTCGCCAGCCATGTCAAAGACAAGCCATATCAGAATAACCAAACGCAGCTGGCAACGTCCATAGAAACTTTAAAAAAATCGCCATACAGTCTTAATAAAAGTGTGAAGGCATTCTTGAACACTTCAGAGCTGGCGATATTTGACGGAGCCGAGCGTTCAGCATCCCCTGCAGCGGTGGGGACTTACTAGCCGTGATGGGCTTGCCGTCCTTGAACCACTCTATCCTCATGTGCGAGTCCGAGACAGGCTCCACTTGGGCCTCGAAATGGGCGAGACCGTTCTCGTTGGCGCCCAGCACGTCGCGGAGCTCGCGCACGAAGTGCGGCTTCACCATCTTCTCCTCGGTCGAGATGGTGCGCATGAAGCGGGAGGCGTCCTCCAGCATCTGGATCTGCTCAAGGCTCTCCGGATGTTGCGGCGCTGTCTCGATCGTGGCACGAGCTGGAAAACAGGGCCGGCAACACTTAAGTAACATCACGCTTTCTTGGAAGTGGTTTTGGTTTTGAGATGGTAATTTGCGTTCATCGCCTGAGGCCGCCATCTGATATATCGTCACTCAGGATGCATTTGAAACAAATGTTCGAGGGCAACGACCAGAGGAGCTTGACATGCACAAGCTCATGAAAAGGTCGTGGTCTTGGCGTATTGTGCAGCCGAGGGCATGCCTAGATCTCAGCAAGCTCCGTTGCCCACTGTTCAATTCACGGAATTTTGGACTGCTCCCGTCGAACAATCGCAAACACTGCTACCGTCATTCAACACAATTTTAAGTAATTCTAGGTAAGTTAACAGGCCTTTTCGACAACGTCATGCGGGGTCAAATACCAGACGTCAACTCCCGCTATAAGCACCACTCCGTAGTCCTGAGCTTCGCCCGCCCCCTCTCCGCCCCCGTCTGTCCAGAGCTCCAGTCGCCCGCCCGTCCCCGTCACCCTCTGTCCAGAGTTCCAGTCGCCCCACCCCCTCCCCGCCACCGTCTGTCCAGAGTTGTAGTCGCCCCGCCCCTTCCCACCCGTCTGTCCTGAGCTCCAGCCGCCCCGCCCCCTCCCCGCCACCGTCTGTCCAGAGTTTTAGTCGCCCCGCCCCTTCCCATCCGTCTGTCCTGAGCTCCAGCCGCCCCGCCTCCTCCCCACCGCTCTCTGTCCGGAGCTCCAATCGCCCCCACCCCACAGTCGCCGCCGCCCCGTCCCGCCCGCACTCACGGCCGATGGTGACGGTGCAGGAGCAGTCGGCGGCGCCCGCCTGGTTGACGGCGCGGCACGTGTACACGCCGGTGTCCTGCTGGATCACCGTCAGCAGGCTCAGCGAGACGTAGCCAAACTTGTGCGTCAGCGTGGCGCGGGAGCCTGCCCGAGCGGAGATGACGTTCGGTGACGCGGCAGGTGACACGTCAGGTGACGCGGCGGGTGACGCGTCAGGTGATGCATAGGGTGATACCTCACGAGAGGCCAGGTGACACGTCACGTGATGCCGCAGGTGATGCGTCACGGATGCCTCAGGTGATGTATCACGGGACGCAAGGCGACGCGTCGCGGGATTTCAAGTGACGCGTCACGAGGCACGGCAGGTGACAAACCAAGCGACACGTCAAGGGCTGCGTCAGGCCACGCATCTGAAGACATGCCTGTCAACGCGTCAGGTGGCGCGTCCAACCAAGCTACAGCAGGATACCTGACGAGGATGAGGCCTACTCGGATTCACAAACATCGATAGGCTAGGTGGATTTACGATGCAATATCTCATAGCGTCGGATCCAAAGAAACTGATGATGTGATCTCAAGGAGCCAAAACGGTTCAGTAAGGAGATCAGGAGGAAAAAAGTCACCGTGCAAGCCAGCATGAAATGGTCAAGCGCACCACGCCTGTTGTGTTTGGTATTTGCCAGCTGCACGCTTGCCCCTTGATGCTGCGTGCCAAAATACAACAGCATGGCTTGACATCTTTGTGTGTGTTGCGGCTGCCACACAATGATTTCCAGCCTTCGCATCACTTTTACATGCCGGATTATCTTCGGAAGCGCTAACATGACGAGCGACGCAGGGACACTGTCATCCAGCCTGATCCCCCCCCCACCCGCCGCTCATCCGGGCGCCACGCGCGGCGTCCGCCACTCACTGGCCGAGAGCGGCTGGCCGTCGATGTACCACTCGATCCGCATGGTGGGGTCGCCGAGCGGCACCACCTTGGCCTCCAGCAGGATGCGGTCGCCCTCGTTGACGCGCGTGTCCCGCAGCGGGTGGGTGAACTGGGGCGGCTGCACCGGCTGCTCCTCGTCCGGCCGCTGCGGCTTCGGCCGCGACCGCTCCACGTGCTTCAGGTGGATGATCTCCGGCTCGTTGGGCGCCTCCGGGGGGATCACCTGAGGAGGACGGCGGTCAGGGCCAGGGAAGGGCTCAGCTCGACGCACGGCAGAGCAGAGCAGGCCGTGGTCCGCCCGGCAATGGGTAAGGACGAATTTGACAGCACCAAGCCCGTGGTATGAGATCAGTGGGGGAAAATAAAGCAAATGTTTTCTTGAAAATGGCCTGACTTGAATGGGCGCCAGCGAAATGAGCATTTAGCCCCTTGGTTGCGCTGCAGGTTTGATTTGTCCAATAGCTGCAGAAGTCTGTTATCATCCCGACCTAAACTGGACAGTTCAGATCATCATGTCATGAGCCAGGGCTGCCGGCGCCGCCAGACCTTGGTCGGCTTAGGCAGATGGAGTCTCCAGGGTTCGCTGGGCGGAGGCGGCGGTCCCACGTCGACGTAGAGCTTGGCGCGCGTGGCCGTGCTGCCAGCGGCGTTCTGCGCCGTGCACTGGTACCAGGCGCTGTCCTCGGGCCGCACGCTGCGGGACAGGTGCGTCATACATCACATCAGCCGTTCTCACTTGGGGATGGACGTGGGTGGTGTCTAACGTTCGTCGCGCGTGGTGGCCGCAGTTGTACAGCTCATGTCAACCGCTGCAGCTTCAGTGAAACGCCGGCGCAGGCTTACGGCTTCAGTGGTGTGCGGATAAGGGATAGTGCTCCAGCTTGGCTCACTTTCCGAATAGGGTGGAAGAAGCACCGTCCCAAAAGTAAATTCCTGCGCTCCACGCCTCTAGCCCATCTTTCACGCCTATAACATCGCGGGAATACCTTACACCGCGCTGCTGTTGCAGTGGAGCCATGCATCCAACTCACCAGGGGATGTCGATCATGGAGGCGCCGCCGTCGGTGATGATATGCACGTTGGGGGACGGCTGCAGCGGCTGGCCGTCCTTCTGCCAGGTGATGCGCGGAGTAGGCGCGCCCACCGCGCGACAGCTGAGCGACACCGCTTCGCCGGGCCGCACGTGCACCGTCTGGAAGCGCTCCACGAACTTGGGCGCGATCACCTGCTCCTTCTCCAGCACGTTCAGGTTGATCTGGGGGGAGAGGCGCCCACGTCACCGCCCGCTCAGCGTCCTGTCGGTCGTGCTCGACTGCAGCGTATGGCGCCGACAACAAACTCAGCGCAAACACATTGCTCACTCTACCAATATAGACAATAGACTTCAGAAGACGCTGCACACTTCACCGGACTGGCATCAGGAGCCATGCAGACCCGCGGCACGCACGGAACACTCCGTGTGCGGCGAGCCCGCCGCGCCGGCCGTCGCACCTGGTGGCTGGTCTCGCCGGACTTGTTCTTGGCCACGCAGGTGAGGACGCCCGAGTCGCGCTGGCTGGCGCTGGTGATCATCAGCGCGTGGTTGCCCGCCTCGTTCACCAGCATCTTGTGCGTGGCGTCGTTGGCCAGCGGCATACCGTTGATGTACCACAGCACCTGGACCGCACAGCGACAACCGTTACGCCACCGGTGAACGACACCTGGACCGACCAAGGGCGCGCACCTCACCACGCGGAGGAACAGACGCCGAAACGGAAAGGCCAGATATTCTATTTTCATGGTGTAAGCCACCATCACAAGATTTTGCCATTTTGAGTCTTTTCATCTGCGTTATCATGCAGTAGAACATCATAAACATTGAACATTGCTCTGAATCACATGTCATGCTGTCCACCTCTTTTGCAGCATCTGTCTTCCTCATCTGTATTTTAGCTGTGTAGTGTAAAACGGCATGCCAGGTAGGTACCTATATCACGTCATCCCAAGTCAGTGGCTTATGGTGTGCATACTATTTATATTTTATTGCAACCTTAGATCTTCCGCCCAAAGTGACCCGACACAGTGGTTGCATAACTAAGCATTTTTCTTACGAAAGATAACCGCTACAATCTAGATGTTGCAGAATTGTTCAATTTTCCTTATTGATTACGTACCGCGCGTCTTTTGGTCGCACACGCAGTCTCCCCCGAAGTCGCCACTAGCGAAGTGCGATAAAGTCGGCCGCGCTTAGTTAACATGCCGCGAGATCAACGCCACATGAACTCGACGCTCTGTCCAAAGTCAGTCAAACCAAACGATGGGTCCACACCATCCGCACTTACATCCGGCGCTGGCTTTCCACCAGTGCGACACTCCAGGCGGACCATCTTGCCCTCCTGGACCTCTGTGTCTGAGGGGACCTTGAGGAAGCTGGGTGCCAGCGCTTTGCCCTCACCAACCTCCTCCACTTGTGTGACCGTACTGTGGGGTGGAAACATAGCATGTCACCTAGCGGAAGAGGCTGCTCACTGAAGACTGCCTAGGTGTTAATTCTGAAAACGTGATAACAGTCCCCTTAATACCACTAAATACCGCCAAATGCCATTACTGCAAGAACCGAGCCTATGCAAGGACCGAGCCTACCAGCTACAGAATCGAACATCGGTGACCTTAAACTCTGAATTGCCTCCTATGCGATCAAAACTGACCGCTTCTGGATCTGGCTCGATGTCCTGACCCCTGCCTAAGCTACAGTTTGTTCCTGGACCCTGCCTAACCTGCGGTGGGGCCTGGGACCCTGCCTAACCTGCAGTCGGTCCCTAGACTCTGCCTAACTTACGATGGGTCTCTGAACCCCGTCTAACCTACGCCAGGCTCCCCAGCCGCGGGCGCGGGGCCTGCGGCATCCCCCACACCCTGACTGACCGGTCCGCACGCTGCAGCATCTGCTGCTGCTGGGTAGTGGCAGAGGGCGTGGCGGGCTCCACGGCCAGGTAGGCGGAGCTGACGACGCAGCCGGCCGTGTTCTCAGCCAGCATGGTGTAATGACCCGTATCCTGCGGCTTCACGTCCTTCAGCGCCAGCGTCACCACCGAGTCCTGCTGCGAGATGGCGGCGCGCGGGCTCGGCCGCACGCGCGCGCCGTTCTTGAACCAGGTGATCTTGGGCGCCGGGTTGCCGACCAGGCGCGCCACGAAGGTCGCGTCGCCGCCCTCTGTGACCTTGCTGGCGCGCGGCTTGGCCTGCAGCTGCGGCGGGCTGACGGGGCCGGGCCGGCGGACCTCGGTCTGCGTCACCACGTCCGTCTCGCCGCGGTCGCGCCGGGTCAGCGCCTCGCGGAACTCCGACTCGCGGATCAGACGGTACTCGAACGTGTCCACGCGGAACTCCTGCGGAGGCGAGCACGTCCGCGTCAGCTGATATCGGGGCGAACGCAATGAACGCAGGGCATGGCACGGGCTGGGAAACTATTTGCCTATTGCATCGCTTAGTTCCGTCTGGATGGCCGATGCAGCCGTATCGGAAACTTAACTGCGAAGAACTGCGCAAGGTTGGTATCGGAGCATTCGCATCGGAAACTAACTTGCGTAAAGTCGGATTCTTGGATTTCACTCCACTACGAACTACGAACGATACAGGGAATTAACTAACATTCTATGATAACCCAGACCAGCAAGGCTGCTATCCCGCAGCTAAATGTGGTCAACAGTATGCGGAATTGTGCTTTCATGCCAAGGAAAAGATGTGAACTTCGTGGATCTGAAGTGTGTTGTGAGCCCTTGGTGAAATGGCACACCGATTGCCGTAAATTGAAAATATATCGGTAACTGACCTTGATCAAGCTTTCAAAACATTTCGGTCGCTGAAAGCAAGCAACTTAATCACGCTCAAATCTTTTTCGGTATCAAAAATAATTTACCTTTGAATGCTGAACTGATAGAGGTCACCCACTCAAAAATATTCAACCTTAAGTAATTCTTCCAACACCATGTGAGAGGGAGCATAAGGTTATACAATAAATTCCATATTTCAACATCAGCTGTAGTCAGCGATCACAATGTTGCCCGTAATATTGTCCTGGCAAGAAACACTTCTATGCTATTTCCTGTAACTTTAATTTGCAGTTTGTCTACGAGGCTAAATTATTTACAACTGAAGAGCAAGTTGCTGCAAGGGGCATCATTTCAAGTTATGATGACACAATGATGCGCATTAGACCATGTAGCGTGTATCAAATTCAACCTGAAGAGGCACGTCCTCTGTCCATGTAGTAATGTGCTCATCCCATCTGGGCTACCCTTCGTTAAGAGCTAGCCTCTTTTTAAACTTTGTATAAATTTCTATCTATGCCACCTCACTCGGCAAATGGGTGCAAGGAGCGTGCCGAATGCAAACCTTATCACAATCATGGAGTGCCGTGTTTTCAGAAATGAGCGGCAGCAAGGCCTTGTACGAGAATGTGAATACGCAGTTATGATTCCAAGACTTGGCAGATTCCAAGACCAAGACACCTGCATGCTGTGGAGACATATCCAGAGAACACCAGCAAATGTTCGTAGGCCTCACATACTCTAGAATCACATTTGTATCCTTCTCGCACCACCATCCAATCAGCACCAACCACATGTGTTCCACCCCGAGACTGCAGCGATCCCGTCCTCACCCTCGCCCCCCCCCCCCCTCCGCCTGTCTCGGTCCCCGGGCCTGAGGCCGTCTGCAGTCGCCCCGGTCTGCTCACCTCCACAGCTCCGAACGGCGTGGTTTTGTACTGGCGGTCCGTCTTGGTGGTGGTGGTGGTGTGCCCCGAGGCGTCCGTCATCGAGGTGGTTTCCTGGCGCATCTGCATGCTGTGCTGCTGGCCCATCATGCGGTGCTGGCCACCCGGCAGCTGCCGCTGCAGCTGTCCCTGCTGCTGCAGCTGCACCTGTCCCTGCTGCTGCTGCACCTGTCCCTGCTGCTGCTGCTGCTGCAGGAATGCCGCTGGTGGGGGGCGGACCGGGCGGTTAGGGAGCAGAGTTAGAGTCTCCGACTGAAAGCCGCATAACGATAGCATGCAACGTCCATTCACAGAAGGCACACAACAACGATACGTATCTGAAACTTAACCAGGATTCGCAGTCAACTTTACAATGTTCCAGAGTATAATTACCAGTGAGATCTGCCCCTGTGAGAGCGTATGACGCTTGTTCCAACTTGTCGTTCTTCCCCACGTGCCATTACCTCCCTTCCCCTCTTTGCATCGGTCCCTCAGCCCCTGCCATCCCCTGTCTGGCCGGCTCCTGGCGGCGCCCTCACCCTCCGGCTGGATGTAGACGGTGCAGACGGCCTCGCCGTACTGGTTGGTGGCCATGCAGGTGTACTCGCCCTCGTCGCCCGGCCCGATGCGGTTGATCAGCAGGCTGACGTCACCCGTCAGCTGGTTGTGTTTCAGCTGGTACTTGAAGGACGCTGCCGGACAGAGGTCTCAGATAAGGCCCGAAAGGGTGCTTTTAATGCTGGCATCTTCTCCACGTTCTTCGAAGCAGACACTCCGGTAGTGGACAATAACAGTGTCCTCCATTTGGTGGAGGAGAGGAGATGCTGTTTCAGAGCTGTTTTGGTGAGCGCGTCGTTGGTTTGGGCTCTGAGACCTGGCACTTTGACAGCGAACCAACAAATAGTGATTGTTTTTGATGGTTCTAAAACCGAGGCAGGCGACTGTGCAGTGACTATGGGCTTCTCGACTCGTATCCGTCCAAAAAAGTACACTGCATGCATGTTTGACCATTGCAAATTTGACGTATGGTCTGTTATCGTGTTATTATCCAGTGTTTACAGGCATTATTTTTGAAAACAGTGGCAAAAGCCGAAGCGTGAGTACGACAATTGCTACTGCCTTTTGACAAATCGCCAACGCATGCCAGATAAACCTGCACCCCGCCACACAAAACCTCATTCGCGTGACGGTATAGGAAAATAAATACAATATCCATTTACGAAACTGCGAGAAGTGCGCAACATCAAGGCCGATCGGGGGCCGCTGCCTTGGCGACGTGACCCGTGTGACCTCCCCATGGGTGGTATCGCCTTCCCCGCCGGCCGGGCGGCCCAGGTGGCGGCCTTGTTTGGAGCGGGACCGGCGGCGGATCAGCCGCTCCCGCCGGCCCAACCCAAACGGCCGAGCAGATGCGGCTGTCGTGTTTACGGCCCGGTCAGAGGCCGCCCGCCAGCCGGTGGTTGGCAGCCGGAGCGGCCCACCTGGACCAGGCGCCGCTTCACACGCCCGGCCGCCGGCCGGCGGCCGACCCGCGCTGCGGGACCCGACCACCGCGGAACAATGGGCCGCACCGGGCCCCGCCCACTGCAGAGCAGTGCGCTGCACAGGGACCCGCCCACCACAGAACAATGCGCCGCACCGGGACCCATCTCACCGCAGAACAATACACCGCACCGGGACCCATCTCACCGCAGAACAATACACCGCACCGGGACCCATCTCACCGCAGGACAATACACCGCACCGGGACCCATCTCACCGCAGAACAATGCGCCGCACCGGGCCCCGCTCACCGCAGAACAGTGCGCCGCACAGGGACTCCGCCCACCGCAGAACAATACACCGCACCGGGATCTCGCCCACCGCAGAACAATGCGCCACGATTCTGTGGCATGCCGGCGGCGGTGCGAGCTGACGCATTGTTCTTAGCATGACTTCAGCCACTCGTGGTCGTACTAGTGAGAGTTTAGTGAACACGGCTCCTGTGTTGGTAATTTGGCTTTCCTGTTTAAGGCAGATAACATGTCAACAACGTGTTTGTTGGCCTAAGTTCGCATTCAACAAAATTTTGCCTCTACTTCACGTCACTTGATACTCAAACAGCCGCCCACCGACCAGTAAAAATACTTAATGATTGAAGCAAGTCATAAATTATTCTTGTAAATGTGGTTCCTCGGTCATGTCATGATTTTAGTGACTAATGATATCATTAGTTGAACTGCAAGTTAGTGGAATCTGGAGCAAAGTTCGTAAGCTTTTTATGCTGATTATCAGATGCAAAACCTCATATCAAGAGCACAACTACAGCACCCCAACAACTCGGCCGCACGCACTGGGGCGTTTAACCATGAACATAATTCGAATCAAAATTCAGATCTCTCCCACATTGAGGAAATCATACGCTAAGTCAAACGCATTACTTCCCATCTACCTTCAAACAATAATTAGCTCAAAACCGCGACTGGCTGCTGCTTACAAAGTAGAGTGTTTACAGGCACTTTATGCGATGTTGAGAGAAATGCGGATACCGTTAAAGTTGTTTTATTTTTTTGGCTGTTTGTTTTAACTAACCGTGCTGCTTTTAGCACGAATGGTGGCCACTATCTGTATCCCATATATCACACTCATCAAACGTTGCCGCACAATGGTGTAGCCACATATTCACATGGACGGTTCTGTACAGCTGTTTGAGGATACAGATAGTACCGGTAACCTTTTTGTTTGTGTTCTGGTGATAAATTACCATTTCGCAACCTTCTTTCTGTTTTTCTATTATTCTGAATCGTCCTATGCTGATCACTTACAATTCCGCCGGTTACTAAAACAATCACCATTCATCTGCCATGCAAGCAAACAGGCATTGTTTACACGGCCCACTATCTTCGATAGCTTCATGGTAAACAGCTTAATCGCTTTCATAAAATCCTTACATCCAGTGACAGATCCAAAGGGAAGGGAAAGGTGGAGGCACAGGCCTTGTCCCTTTTTCTTCTATGGAAGACCCTTTAGGAATCCCAAGCGACCTATAACCGGCTGAACGGAAGCAAGTTTTAGCACAAAACGCAAAATTGGACAACGGCCAGGAAGTGAAAAAATAAAGAGCCAATGAGCAGACAACAATAAATCCTCAGTGATCAAGCGGGTGGTCGTTAGAGAGGAACTAAGGCTGGTCAACAAAAGTCCCGCGCTGTTACCGGTTCCGAGGTTCCGAGGTCCCGCGCTGTTACCGGGGACATTACATGTCTACTAAAGCGGGACACCACGATCGCTAAAGAGCCTTCCACGTTGTCGTTGATTTCCTTTAGTTTCTCGGAGAGCCCTACGCTGTTGTTGGGGACCATACATGCTGACCTACCGAGAACACTCTTGATCGATCAGAGTTCCGCCGTACTTGGCTACTTTCTATTTCCTCGGAGGACCTTACGCTGTTGTGGGGCATCCTCTATGTTCATCTACCAAGGCACACCCATCGTTAAGGTGCCCACCACATTGATCTTGGGTTCATTTCGTTTCATTGAAGGATCCTACGCTGTTAACAGGAACCCTTTTGTTGACCTGCCGGAGCACCCTTGATCACTCAGGTGTCTTCAGCATTGGTCTTGGGTCTCCCATATCCACAGGGAGCCTACACTGCTAGTGAGGGCTCTACATGCTAATCGACTGGGACACTGTTAATGACCCAGGGCCTTCCACATCGGTGTTGAGCTCTTGCCAGGAGGTCAAAGGAACATCACACTATTGCCGAATGTCTTTTGCCGCTGATGGTGTCACGCCTCCTCAAATGTACGTGCTTGCATCAAGGGATTAATGAATACCTTTCCGAGATCTACAGGATGGTGATCTTTCTTGGCGTCTCAGCTGCAGATAGTATTAGTCACTTACGCTCCGAATAAGGTTGCCTCGGTTTTCGAGTACTTGCCTAAGATCATTTGCTGTGCCGGTGACGTTGTATGTTTCATTTTCCTTGTTAAATATGAGACACCAGCTTTACTTGTGCATCATGTTCTTAACATATATAAGACGCTAACATATTTCATAGTCCTTCATTATAGTCCAAAGAAAACAACTCTGCATTCGTCATCAGCCATCAGCAGATCCCAACATCGACTAGCCGGACTGGATGATGAACGCACTCTATGTGTGCACCTACATACCACGTCTACGCCAAAATGTCATGCCTATGCCTATATATGACGCAAATTTTCCTCTAGGGCTGCGCAAAAAAAGATGGTTTCCTGTAAAAAAAACATGAGAGTCAATTTGAATAGCGAAAATACGCTGATTTTTTTAGGGGAGGGCACCCAGCCTTCACGTATTTCCGGATCCACCACTGCATCTGGCGTAAAAAGCTTAAAATAACACAAAGTCATCAGAATCGGAGCCACAAACGGTGGTGGCAAGGCCAATCAGCAAGGAAATGAGCATAGTACATTTAGAACTGTAAAACAGAACCTGAAATGGTATGAACTGCCATTTCCAAAACATAACGAAAAGACATCAGAAAAATAGTTGCAGGTGCCATGTCTATGCATGCCTACGATCAGACAAACTCCATAACATGACAATTTACATGACAGCGTTATGTTAAATGTATAACCTCTTTATTCTTGTAATCGGCTTTCGTGGCTAGCATTACGTTCATGAGTTTCCTGGGTTTCATGGGTTTCGAAGCTTTCATGGACTCTAAGCAATACATACATTGTGGAGCGAATGAGCAGCCGTTTGGAAACAGGGGAGACAAACAGTGGTGGGTAGATCAGTGGATTTATATGCCGCTAGATGTATTTCACTGACTACCGTCTGTCTCTTAGACGAGGGATATCGCGCATACAACGGCACCTGCCGTAATCCATAAAATTAGCGTTTGCTGTGAGTTACAGGGACTTCTAATAAGAACAGCAGGGAATGATAACGCGAGACTGCGGCAAAAGCCTGACAAGCTGCGATGCATGTGCCGGGCGACACCAGCCGGCCGACGCCGGCGGCACGAGGCTGTGCCGCAAGACACGCGAGCCGTGCGGTACAGTGGACTTTGCAGTGAAAACTCGCGCCTGTGGCTTAGCATCCGAACATTTTCCGAAGCATTTATTTGAAGCCGATTACTTCACGTGCACATTTCCGATCGCCAATTTTGGACCTTTAAACATTTGGTTTAAAAAGTCGCATATATTAAGCTTGATTGCTGCCGATGTTTTTATGTAGAGTTACGTTAGAATGGAGTGAATTAAATCCGGTTCAGCAAAGCTGAGAAAGGCTTGGTTAGGTTTAGTTAGGTTAGGTAGGGTGATTGGTGATGCCGACCTATGCATGCGACTTCTTGTCGCACGAGCATAGTTTTGATGGCACAAGAAGACGGATGTAAAGTTGCCAAAAGCACGCAATGGAATATCTGTTAACATTAGGTCATACTGCATACAAGACCGCCCTCCTCGAACATATGCTTAAAACGCGAAGGTATAGCACAGTCCCATTGGAACGGTGCTTACCTTAAAAAGCGGTTCCAGTTAACAGCGATGTAGAAATATGCGTTTGCCTTCCGACAGCATTTTCATCGAGCGTGCCTCAGGCAGTTTGATGCTTGTTTAATAGACAACGCAGCCGAAGCCCACGTACATTCGGGTAACAGCGTAGACTCACCTTGAATGGGGCGACCCTGGCGTGTCCATGATATGTTGGGCTTTGGGTTACCGCGCACCTTGCCCTCGAACAGAGCGTTGCCGCCCTGAGCGAAGCGGGCATTTTGGAAGATCTGTTCGAAAACAGGCGGAGACGCTCCACCGCCGACCCTGAAACAGACGTGTTCATCAACTCAGACGCCAAAGGCAGAGGCGTGCGTCAACTAAGACATTAGAGGCGGAGACGCGCGTCAGCTCAGACGTCAGAGACAGAGGCGCGCGTCAGCTCAGACGTCAGAGACAGAGGCGCGCGTCAGCTCAGACGTCAGAGACGGAGGCGCGCGTCAGCTCAGACGTCAGAGACGGAGGCGCGCGTCAGCTCAGACGTCAGAGACAGAGGCGCGCGTCAGCTCAGACGTCAGAGACAGAGGCGCGCGTCAGCTCAGACGTCAGAGACGGAGACGCGCGTCAGCTCAGATGTCAGAGGCGGGGACGCGCGTCAGCTCAGACGTCAGAGGTGGAGACGCGCGTCAGCTCAGACGTCAGAGGCGGAGACGCGCGTCAGCTCAGACGTCAGAGGCGGAGACGCGCGTCAGCTCAGACGTCAGAGGCAGGGGCGCGCGTCAGCTCAGACGTCAGAGGTAGAGGCGCGCGTCAGCTCGGACGTCAGAGGCGGAGACGCGCGTCAGCTCAGACGTCAGAGGCAGAGGCGCGCGTCAGCTCGGACGTCAGAGGCGCAGACGCGCGTCAGCTCAGACGTCAGAGGCAGAGGCCGCGCGTCAGCTCGGACGTCAGAGGCACAGACGCGCGTCGGCTCAGACGTCAGAGGCAGAGGCGCACGTCAGCTAAGACGTCAGGGGCAGAGGCCGCGCGTCAGATGCATAGCTGACGCCATTCCGGCTATTCCGAACGTCTCTGGTCGTCATGGCAGCACCCAAATCAGAACAAAAGACTGTATGCCACGTGGAGGAATAGACTGCATAGCAGATGTGACATACACGCTAACCTGATTCTGCTGATTTGCGGTATCCGCACAGCTCTGGAGCTTTTGCCTTAGTTTTATAAACGATTTTCTGGCCAAGCCTTGTCCACTCATGACCACGAGCATAGCTTGAAGCGTTGAGGTTTGACGCCATAACCAATGTTTGCTACATAACGTCGTTCAAAAGGTACCCTTCTGGTATATGAAACGTCGATAATTGTCAAAATAAGAACCCTGAACTAGTAATGACCAGAAACCCGGAGCCCAAGGCCCTTCTTGCGTATGTGAAGAAACTCCAAATGTTGCTTTGTTGCACACAACAATTTAAAATTAAGGAGAAAGACTGCATTGTCTGACGTAAAATGAAGATCACGATATCAGAGACGAGCATGGTCGTGATGTTAACACGCGCCCGGGTGGCCGGTTGAATACCCTTCGCTAGGGTGGGCGCCAATTTGACTCCCCTGGGATCTCAGGAACTAAGAGAGCTAGAGACACCAAATTCACAGAATGTGTTGAACTGCACGTGAACTCACTTAGGTTACAGTTCGAGGTTCCTAGGTCATGACCTTCGGGTCATATAAGGTCAAACAAGGTCAAATTCCAGGTTGGTCTCCAAAGAGATCTTTGAGCCTAGATAGCTGTTTTAAGGAAAAGGTCACATGCTCATTTAAGGTCACTGACCTTGCTGGACGTTTTGAAGACCATGGTTACCAAAAGCATGCAAGACCCCTTTGAGTTTTGCATTTGAATTAGCAACAAAGACTACGCTAGGCAGTATGTTCCTGAAAACAAAGCGTTGACCTGAGTCCTTTTAGGTCAGTGACCTATTCTGACCCTTAATAAGTCCATGGAAAGTGTATAATGCAGTTCCTGTTAGCAATAAATTGGAAATGAGCGCCAGGAAGTACTCCATACAGCGAGCGCTTCAGTAATAAGACAGGTTGATGTTAACCTTGATCTGACCTACATGCCTGACCTTTGGTCAATGTAATTTGTTCATTCAATTTCCGTGTTGGCTAAGGAATTATCTCAGAGATGTATGGCTTCGTCTAACGCTCCGTTGTTGGATCAGATTGAACGATTCCCTTGAAATCGCCTTCGCTGAAATCATAGACTGACTGACCTGCCATAGGTCAGCGACCTTACAAGGTAAACATAATTTTCTAATACCGGACAATCCGCTATTTAATTGTCTACACCAATGCAAAATTTGGCGTGACCGCACCATGCCGTTCAGAAACTATTCCGGAAAAGCCGTCGGGAGGGGGGGGGGGGGTCAATTTGACACCGCACCCGAGCGCTTGTTAAAAAAGGCAACAGAGATACGAGTACAAGTACTAGTATGGACATGATATTCATAATCCGTAAGTAATTACAAACAGACGCCCTTGGGAAGGCATGCACCTTTGAGACTCATCAGCGAGTGGAAACGCACGCTTTTCTGAGAGTTTAGCAGGCAAAGAGGTTCACTGATGGCGCATGCGATGAGGAGGTTCATCCGCTATTTCACAGATCACGTTCCATAAAACTGGTTGGCTGTGGCCTGACAAGGCCTGGCCGTCTCTCTCAGAGAATTGATAAACTTCGAGCAATGAGGGATTGAGTCTTGACCTTCAGTGATTGTGACCACCGAGGTATTGGGAAATTGTTGTCATACACCTTCGTAATTTTTGTTGGTTTCGTCTCGCTCACCTCAGGCTCCAGTACTTCGCATCCGACACCATTTTTTTAAGGGCCGCCTTGGCCGCCTGTCGTAAATTACTGACGTCTCTGTTTTAGACCGAGTAGCGTGCATTGGCTGGACGATGCGTAAAGGCGGGACTCCTACACTGTAAAAGTAAGCTTGAAGCCGGTACCCACTCTGGTTGCCGATATCTGGCATTCATCCCCCCAAAAAAACTATGCCAGGTGATTCATAGTTTCCACTGGAGGGCGCATGACATACTGCAGACAGTGATTTAATTTGTGCTGATACAGTTGTTCGCTCTCCCGGTAAAATTGTACTGATTGGTCGCTGAAACCACAGGCTGCCGCTGTATCTAACGGCTAATACCGATTCCTTTCGTTGTTGTGCAGTTTTTCAAAACTTGCGAGTTTTGCGTTTCTGAAGTAAATGCATGAACAAAGACAGGGGTCATTTTGAAATGCCGCAGCAAATTGATCCTTGGCCACATGGCTTTGCGTGCACATGGCTTCAAAAATAACAGCACAGCTTTAAACAGGCATTACAAATGTGCGAAGCACGCCTGCCACCTCACGAGCTACCGACACACGCACGCAGAGGAACACAGAGACCCCACCAAGCTGGCGGCGGGCGGAATTGGTGGGGTCGGCCAGTCACGACAGGGACTCGCTTATTGGGTGACGCGTGCGGGCACACTGCGAGGAGGACGCTTGTCTAGAGGTGCGGCATGTGCGGACGCTGCTGAGCACGTGTGACGGCGGTCTCAGCTGCGGCCGCGTGTGTATCCTAGTGGTGACGCCTCGCGCAGGTCGTAGTGCGCTGTCGGCAAACAGAACGTACGGATCTGTGCTGCTCAGGAATGATTCGGGTGTGTTTTGGTGATGAAGAGAAGCAGTCGTCTCTGGACTCGGGTGTGTTGTGGTGATGAATAGAAGCAGTCTCCTCCGGATTCAGGTGTGTTGTGATGATGAAGAGAAGCAGTCTCCTACGGATTCGGGTGTGTTGTGGTGATGAAGAGAAGCAGTCTCCTACGGATTCGGGTGTGTTGTGGTGATGAAGAGAAGCAGTCTCCTACGGATTCGGATGTGTTGTGGTGATGAAGAGAAGCAGTCTCCTCCAGATTCGGATGTGTTGTGGTGATGAAGAGAAGCAGTCTCCTCCGAACTCGGGCGTGGTATGGCGATGAAGAGAAGCAATCTCCTCCGGACTCGGGCGTGGTATGGCGATGAAGAGAAGCAGCCTCCTCCGGATTCGGGCGTGTTGTGGTGATGAAGAGAAGCAATCTCCTCCGGATTCGGATGTGTTGTGGTGATGAAGAGAAGCAGTTTCCTCCGGATTCGCCACGGAACATACTTACGAAGCCTGCGTCCGTTGACGTCTTCAACGGTAATAAGGACCAAAATAACCAAAAACACGCCAGTTTGCCACAGACTCGTGCAGCATGCTGCTAAAAATTCCATGACAGTTCGACCAGTGGTTGCAAGGATGTAAGTCTGTCATAAGAGTGGCTGGGCCGAGCAAAGCCATTACAGCTTCAGTTTTCGGTCAGTTGGCGTTGAAGGCATCAGTCATACTAAAATATCTTATTTTACCTCCATATGCAATACGAGAAATGCAATTCTGGAACTACATTTCTTTCCAAACAAAATTATGCAGAACAGCGATCATGTAACGCCTCTGCACCTTTTCTATTCAGCTGACGACGTTGTGACATCGTAGCTTGCGGTACTACGGCATTTTTTAGTGCATGTGTACTCATCCCTTAAAGAGTCAGCCAATGTTAAAAAACAGAGCTTCAGAAGCAGAAAAATGAGGCTCAAAGACCAAGTTTTGAGGGGCAGATGCCTGATACTTAGGAGAACACAGATAGAACTAAGGCGTAAATACCCGAGACGTGACGACCTAGTCCTGAGCGATAAAACACAGGCGTGAGGTGTAAACGCCGAGCTACTGGTAAATGGGCACATGCCATATAGGCCAGGATGCAATGCTGATAAGATGTCAAGATAAGAAAACAAAAACTCGGTAGGGCTAATCCTCTAAAGGCAAGCTTGGCTCCGGCCCCACCGCAACACTGGCGTTTGAGGGAGTTATGTCTTGCGTGGTTTGCACTGCAGGAAATGCTGGCATGTGGCGAAGCATGTTTGAGGCAGTTCAACTTCTTTTAACTTCTTAAATCATCAATCCTGGTAACAACTAATGAAAGAAGAAAGTAACAGTCTTATGAAAAAAATCCTTATTATTAAGTGCGCGTTCGAATTCCAGCGTGCACACAGTAAGCGTAGCTCACAGTGACATGAATGGAACAGTTGTGATCACTTAGTAATAATGAAATGGGCCTGCGCCATACGGCTGTGATGTACTGGCAACACGACTGCACTAATGATTGTTGTTGACTCTGACATGGTATCCCGTAATCGGCGTGCGGTTGACCGGTTGTGCGTCTTCTGGGACGGAATGAGATGGGTGGGTTAATAGATAAAAATACAAATAAGTGCACCTCTCGTGTTCCGGGGAGAATGATGTGTGCGCATTCCAACGGCACTGAGTATGAATCCCAGAACGGAATTATTATTTAGTCCGGCTGAATGAGAAGATCAGCTGAAAATCGACCAAATTAAGCTGACTTGCAGCGGCTATCGCACAACACTACGCGTAAAACCATTTTCAGTTCTGTGCGGCAAAACCCCGAAGGCAGGAATGCTAAATGAACTGGGTCAGGTCAAGTTGGCTGGTGGATTCTCCGTGCGCGTAGCAAATTCTGAGCGGCAAATACTCTAAACCCAAAATCATCCATGAAAACAATTCGGAATGAGCGTATCAAAAACCGTCCACGTTCCAGGATATCTCCGGCTCCATACAGAGAAACCAAACCATCCTTGTGCGGTTGCCGCGTGGTAAAATGGAGGGGAAGGGGCTGGTGGACGCCAGGGGTGGCCACGAGACCGGCACATGGGTGAGAACCACAGCCTGCTCCCAGTAAAGCGAGGCCCACCGAGAATAACGGGTGGGGCGAATGAGTGAATGCGCGGTGATTAAGGACCAGGGGAGGGTGATTCCGAAGCGAGGTAATTCCGTACCCAGCCCGCCCTGCTCATCACTGTAAGTGCTCTGACCACTGGACATGACGTCGGACTGCAGGCAGGGTGCTGGTGTCTTAAAGTGACGAGGGAAGGCGGGCGCCTTAGATGTTCTCTCCCGCTTTCTGTTGCTGTTCTTGATTAGGCCCCGATACTACAGATCGTGCGATGAGTAGTCGTGCTCCAGCGGGATGCGAATAAATAAGTTACAAAATTATAAGCACGATCTCATAAGAAAGTAGCGGCACATAGCCACCAGAGCAGAGCATTTGCTAAGCTTACCTACATCCACCATCTGTCATACGTCACTCTGGTTTTGAATACTCATTGGATCAGCCATTCAAATACGTTTCAACCAAATAAGTTGTGCAAAACAAAGTCGAAGAAGTTCGAGGCATGCCCTTCTCGTCCACCATCGCTATATTATTCTCTACTCGCCCAGAATGCCTGCTTCAACTAACGCTTGATCTAGGCCTGCTGAAGATTTCCCTGACTCGCTGCAACTTTATGACGCATCAAAAAGTAAGTATTGTTATCGATGCCGGTTACGAAATAGGCATTTCCTGTCTCTTTATTTTTCACACACATCATGCCTTGCCTTGAATTTATTCACACTTTTTATCCGCATTGCGCTCTTCGCCTTCGGCTTCTACTGCACGGCTTACGCTGTTCACACAGCATGCTGGCATTGTCAAGAGCATTCCGAGTGAAATCAACGGTTACAAGAAACAACAGAAACATGGTACACGTCGCTACTCAAGAGTCGTTTTTAATGCACTAGCTAAGGCAAACACAGTGGCAGCTCTTCTGTGTCACAGCACCAGCGCCGGACGGACGAGACAGGCAAGTGCAGTTAGGGCAGACATTAGAGAATGCTGACCTACGACTACATCTCGGCAGGCAAAGTCTTGGGGCTGGTTAGCGACGCACACAGACGACAGCGTGCTGACGGGGCGGGCGTGAAGAGAGCAGTTCGAGGGACGGACAGGGGTCAGATGAAGGTCGGGTACGTTTACTCACGGCATGGTTCGCTGTTGCCCAGACGACTGCTGCTGGACTGAAACAGAAGGAGAGAGATGGCGTCAGGCCACTGCAGGGAAGCACGAGGTGGGTGCTGACAAGGGCGACTTCACACCTAATGCAAGGCGTGATTCGAAAACACATAGCACGTGAAAACAACGAGAAAAATAGATGTGAATGAACCGAGGCATTGGCAGGAAATTGTTTCGAGCGGTAGAATAGGTCAATTAGGGCTACGCAGCGAATTTGACGTAGCCATCATTTCAGTTTGGCTACTTTTTTGCCCCAAAAAGTAGCGTAAGAGCAGCGTAAAAAACGCTGACGTTTAAGTACATCGAATAGGTCTCCTTGGTTAACCTCACTCAGTCTGGAGGTAACCATGATCGTAAAGATCCATGATCGTATAATCCTGCCCTGAAGAACATGGACACTTTGGTACGTTAAAAATGCGATTTGAACTGGACGCCAGCTTTCAGTGGACGAGCGCTTCCAGTCGGCCAAGAGAGGAATCTTCTGCCAACGGTCTCATAAGAAATGCGATGCACACAAATCATAGTCTGAGAGAAAATAATCATCTATGCAGCGTCAACAGGTAGGCGTTAAATGGAATGTGTTGTTACCACATGCACTGTTATGCACCTGAGTCGCGTCGAAGATACTGAATGGACAATATCTTCCATAGCAGCCACAGGCAGGGCCGTGTTTCCTCTGACATTGAGGGTCCAGGCACGAGCGAGGCACCGTGAGTGTAATCTTGTAAATTGGTTTGTGTCTCCCGAATATAACCGCCGTGCAGAACACTTCTCTGGACCTACCAGCCGTTTGTGTGGTCATGTCCACCACAACAGGTAAGAATAAGCATACCTTACGTTTAGTCTTTGCTTATTTTTGACTAAAACACAGTTTTTTCCTACCCTCATAAAGGACTAGACGTTAATATGTTGTGAAGCACTAGGGTAAAGGCTAGCAGGAGGTTTGACATGTTAGCAGATACGCCTCTCTTGAGCGGGGTCGTGTAACTACCGCCCAAGCCGCGCCCGGCCAACGGCCATCTCTCGCAGCCTGCCTGCCCCGTGAGCACCTCCCCAGCTGCCGGCGCCGGTGCTGCGGCAGCCCGGCGCGCCGGTCGCCCGTCAGCCGGCCTGAGTCAGCGCTGGCAGGGGCTCGGCCGGCTGCTCAGGCCGCGCGCCCGGCCGCCACCGGCCGGGCAGGGTCGGACCGGCGCCCGGCCGCCGCTGGAGCCGGCACTATTCTTAGCCGCCGCGGCCGGGTTACCTTCCAGAGGATGACACAGCCGGCGCTGACTCACCTGCCCGCGCCCCCGGGCCACCTGATACGGCTGCCAGCGGCCGCGGCCCGCCGCGAGCACGTGCGCACGCGCCACGCACGCCACGGCGCCGACGCACGCGGCGCCGTCGGAGATGAATCGGTGCCCGTGTGGTCCCCGCGGGGGCCTGCCCGCTGATGTGGTGCCCCGAGGGAGTCTGAGACAGGCTGTGACGGCGGCGGAGAGCGGGTGCTGTCGGTGGGTGACAGCTAGGGGCCCGCTGAGAAGCGCTCTTGTTTGACTAAAAATTGCAGACACGTTCACTGCGTGTTCTCCGGGGTTCGCAGGCCGACACGGCGAGTACCTTGATAGCTTACATGACTCGCTGCGTCGGCCAAAGAGTCGCTATGGACTCACCGCATGACTTAAGGGGGTGATATGGTCTGAACTGTACTGACCCAGGAGTCATTACGGACCCAGTGCATGGGATCAGGAGTCCACGTGACCCGCCGTTCAGGCAGAGTCCCTCGTGGCCTACGGTTCGTGCCTGCCTCTTGTACGCTGGAAAATTATGGTGAATGAAGCAACAAATGAGTTCACATCGACATTGCGCTCAGGAAAGTGTGAGTGTGCTTTGACGATCTGATGGTGGCGACGTCAGGTTTCATCGAAATCGCCGTCTGTTAACATTTTGTCGATGGAACATGTTTCGGCAGTTTTAACACGAGTTTTCTGAGAATTTTTCAACGCGTGGCAAAGTGGTTCTCACTCGTTATGCTGGATACTCAGCAAATCTCTGGTTTTCAATAGTTAGCTACGACTTTTACCAGCGTGATCCAATAACTTCTGCAGTAGCTGAGCAAAGGTACAGAAAAGGGAGGACCACTATGAAAACGGTAAGTAGTTTGAACATGCACTGTAACCCAGCCCCAATTTCCTCATCGGTGCATGCTCTCTTTTGGTAAAACAGCGAGGCGATCAAAGCTCACTGCCTAAATGCAATTTCCTGCATGGATAAAAGGTCGTAACAAACTCTTGCCAGCTAGCTGATGGTTTGTGTACAGCGCACCCCTTAAGCCTTAGTGACGAGTCAGTCAGTATTTCATCTTCAGTTGTGAGCTGCTTCAAAATCATCCTTTCTCTTCGCCAAGATTCCGCCAGGGAAATCTATGGAATCATTTCCTTTCCTAAAACTAAGCTTCCATCCACAGCAACCATTCAGAAAATGCTTTCATCGCCAAGTGTACGGGACCAAAGCCGAATTAAGAGACGACAGTAGCCCTGGACAAGAAACTGGTCGCGTTTCTCCAGCAGCCAGAGCTGTCGTCCGATATCTGACCGCCGGAACCCTCCAGGAACTACTAGCATAGCCGCGGACATCGGGACAGATATGCGCCAGCATAAATACTTAGACTCGGGCTGACCGGCCTGATTCAGCAGCCTCCGAAGCATGAGTGAAGGATGTCTAAACAAGCCGGTCTAATGCGTCGTGCTGAGCGCCTCGCATTGTAGGCTTAGTACGCCGTGGCTTGTTCAAAGGCGCGATCGACGCCGTCACCGTCACGCCACATCCTCCACCCACCCTCGGAGACCACCGGCAACTTCCGCTGCCAGGCACGTTGCGCAAGAACAACGAGAGACTCTGCGGTTTGTGTATGTTGGCGGCAAGACTAGCAGCGGCAGCCCAGCGGTGCACGTCGGCCACTTATAAGGCACCCCCGCCGAGCTCCCGCGACCGGCTTCGGAGCAGCTGGAGGACGTGCGGCGCCACGTGGCGGGCCCCGCCTACTCACAGTGTTGGTCCACTTGGTGGGTGGTAGGCTCCAGAGATCTCCAGCCGAGACCGAATCGCGAACGGCCCGCTCAGCGTCCTGCACCGACCCGGCACCGCCACTCGCACCGCACCAAGTGCCGCCTCCCGGCCGGCCACTCGCCTCCCGCTCTCTCCTGACTCATGGATATTTAGAAGGGTGTTGCTTTTATCAGTCATAGCCGCTAAAGATAGCCGACCGGCCTGGAGCCGGCCGGCGCGGCGGCGGCGGTGGCGGCGCGGCGCGGCGGTGGGCGGCGCAGCGGTGCCGGAGGAGCGCCCACTCGCCCCCGCCCTCCTCTGACGTCGACGCCGCGCGCCGCTGCAGCCGAGCAGGCCGCTCGTCAGCTGTCACGTCCCATCAGAGTACACACGGATGCCCGGCACGCGCCATCTAGACCCCCGCCATTGCCGGGCTTCACTCTTCATTAGGTTTATGGTTTCGCCAGGAACCCTCAGGGCTGGTCATGTTCGGTTTATTGGTAATTTGTAGGCATACGCATAATGATCCTGGCGGAAAAAATTGACACGAACGCCACGTTGCTCATAGTTAGTTGCACTTTAACACGACAGTTCAGGGCATGTATGGCAGGGCAGAAATGCATCAGGGCAGAGGGCCCGCACTTCGCTCAGGGAGTGTGCATCAAAAGACCTCAAGCCGGCTCAAGCCTCGCACGGTCCCCAGCTACCGCTTCGGTTACCACTACATAAGATTCAGAGCAATTATCATGACCTTCTTCCTCGCTGGTAGCTGGAGAGAAGGTAAAACAGGTATCTACTAATTTGTCTGTCACATACCTTTGTCTAAGCAATAACAGCCGCTAATACTAATTAGCCCACGCCCAAGGTCCACGGTTGACATGTTGGGGTAAGAGGGTTGCTGTTTCGACAAAGCTTTGTGGCCAGTATATCAAAAGATCGTTATTTTTTCCTTTCTCTTCAATTACCTACCTGAATAGGGCAGGAAACACGATGGATCAAGATCAGATAAGACGTCTTGCAATGTTGTGTTCCTCGCCGTTAAAACTCGAATGGTGCTACAGCACGGCAGCCGCACTGAACAGCTTAAGTGAAAGATGAGATTGGTTGACGGCGATGTTCCGAGGCTACTTATTGCTTGTGGCAAAAGGGCGACTGTATAACAGTTTGCTATTCGTCACGTTTCTGTTTTTGTAGGAGCCATGCTCGAAACACTGCGGCAACTTTTACAAAAAAACTACGTTCAAGCTCACAGAATATAAAACGCACGCATCACGCTCCAACTAAGTAGCATAAATTGCACTTGTACATTTTTCCTGCCCTTGTGGCCCGTACGAGATGTTTGCGAATGTCTGAAACTGAGCCGACCGACTTCTCCTCGGTTCCAGCTCGAAATCAGAGCATAATTGTCCTCATGAAGGAGGTAACGATTCAGAGCAATTCTCCTCGGTTCCAGCTCGAAATCAGAGCATAATTGTCCTCATGAAGGAGGTAACGGCGTCTGACATTCAGCCTCTACCGCGCTGTCCCGGAGGCGTGTGTAGGTGCTGTGGCGGGGCTGAAACACTTTCTCGGTCGGGGTTAATTGTCCGTTTAACAGCACAGGTTAAAACATCAAGTTTTGACCACACGACCGATGTTTGCCTATTAAGAGTCCGTCCATCGGTTACGTTACGCATTGAAGATGGACGAAGCTTAACGGAAGCGTGGCCAGGGAGGGGAGGGTAAGGTTTGGGACAGCATAGTGTTACGCTTAGATGGGGTTATACTGATAAAATCTTTGAACACAAATAAGATATTAAAGAAAAATATCATTGGCGTTCTATCATCAAAAGGTACAAGCCTGTTATTTGTTTCGTAGCCTAAATAATTTTTGGGTCAAAAGGAACGTTACTTTACGTAGTGTTACGCTTGTTACAACGTAACCAGTTGGAGGGGGTCGCCCAGAATAACCAATGCGCAACCAGGAGAGGAAGCTTGAAAACTGCCCAAAATGGGTCAGGTAATTCATGGAATAACCTAACGTCCTTTAACCAGCACCCTTCCAGTATTTCATTATTGTCAGCATAACACCATTTAACTCATAATGCCGAAAACAGTAGGAGTTCAAGGCCTGCCTGGCTTATAGCAAGTGGTCAGACAACCATGGCCTTGACATTCACAGTGAGCTCGCGAATATCTGTCGCCACTTTGCACCTTAGAGAAGCCAATAGCATAACAGTTTATCTTCATAGTCAACAGAGCACCTCCCGAGTTGCTGCACATTCCGCAGCGGCGGTGACCTTCAGCCACGAGATGCCGGACGCCGATACGACGTCAGTGTTCCGATCAGTACATCCAATGCGTACGCCACCACCATGACGTCGTCAGACAGGAAGCCCGAACGGGACGGTGCTTTTCCAAAGTGCGAGCATGCTGGGATTTAACGTTTTCTGGTAAACGATTACCGTCTGTAGATGTGGCATTGCCAGCGTGGACAAAGCTTTGTATTGTTCTTAGAAGGTCTCACGCCTTTCCGGAATCTTTACCTAAGACCCCATAAACCTGGGACTGAGATCATTTGTAGACTGTACGACTTCACAAAAAGAGTTTAAGAGGTATTTTGTTCTTGAAAGATGGTTTTCCATGCATTTATCATGTCCAGCTGAGCTGATAAACTGATTGTGTGGCTGTAAGATGCATTTGAATATTTCCAACGCAGGCGCATCTGTACCTAAAAATGCAATTTTTGGCACGTACAAAATAAGTTTTAAAAAATTGCTGTCTTGAAATACAAAAAGCAACGAAAGTTCCATATTACAAAGAGCCACGGTTGCGTCCAGTGTTTCGCGCCATGCTTGTTTTGTTTCATCACATTCCCATGCTTTGGTTACCCTTTGGCCGTCCATCGAAAAAGGCATTCGACCTCACAACTGATATCGATACGGTGCATATCACGAGGCACCCTTCCATGCCGATAGCTTGTAATGTTTCAGCGACAGCTTAAGTGCTCGCCGTGGTGTCCTGAATTTGGTTTTTATCACTTCCTATTCATTATTCTATGCCAGTGACCACTCACTCCATCCGGGAGAAGTGCCGCAGGGGCTCACGCCTCCGCCCAGCGGTTCTCTTCAGATGAGTCGCGGCGATCGGGAGGAGGCGCTGCCAGGGCCGCTCGGCGGTGAGAAGGGAGGAGGGGGGGGGGGGGGACGAGGCCGTACCTGTCTGCTCTCCGTATCCCAGTCGCTGCTGCTGCTGCTGCTGCTGCTGCTGCTGCAGGCTAAACTGCTGTTGTCCCTGCTGCTGGGCGCTCTCCTGCACCGTCCGACGCTGGCTGACCACCTGCGAGGTGGTGCGCGTGCTGGCCGAGCTCTGCTGCACGCTGCTGCTGACCTGCTGGCGCACCTGCTGGCTGCTGCTGGCCTGCTGGCTCAGTTGGCCGCCGCCCGGCAGCTGCTGCACCGAGTGCGACTGCTGCTGGAACTGGCGCTGCTGGCTGTGCTGGCTCATCTGTCCGCCGGGGATGGCGGTCTCCACCACGCTGGCCGCCTCGCGGCTCTCCTCCTGCGTCTCGCCGCCCGGAATGGCGTACCGCTGCGCCGACTCGCTGTGCGTGCTCTCCTGACGCACCACCTGGCCGCGCACCGGCTCGTGCTGCACCAGCTGTCGGTCCATGGCTGCGGCCTCTCCGCCTCGTCTGCTGCCGCCTGGCTGTCTCGTTTGGCGCGGCTCGCTGTCGTCTGCTGCGGTCGGCGGTCTGCTGCGACTGCGGACGGTGTGCCGCGTCGAGTGGCGAGCGCCCAGTGGCGGTAGGTCTCCTGGCGCGACACGGCGGGACGCCGCTAACGACCGCAGGGCCGCTGACGGACCGACCGCGGCATGCGCCTCCGACCCGGACCACCGTGACCCGTCTGCCGGCGCCAGCCGCGGCGGTCAGCCCCGCACGCCTGACCCGCCCGACCGGCCGCCAACTTAAAGCCGGGCGAAGCGCGCGTTTTGGTGCGGACACACACGACACGACCGACAACACAAATAGACCGGCTGGAGCTCGGCGCTGGTGTCTTCCGCTTGGCACCGATTAGTCGCAAATCTCGCATATCCCCAACGCACCCAGCTGCCCAGCTTTTCTGCGTCAACAAACCCGCAGACTATCTCAGCTGGGTAAATAAGCAGCCATCCCGATCGACCTGAAGGGCGGTAGAAACAATATTTCCGCAGACAACGTGTCTTTGGACTCCATCCTTATTAATGGGCACATTTGTGAAAGTAGGACCACCGCCAACTTGGAAGGCGTCTTTGTGTATCTTTTTCAGCTTTGATGTGTGTATCGCAGTGACGAAATTGGTTGTGTTTGTTCGATTATTTTCAATTAGCGATATAAAACATTTTGCGTGACATAAATGGCAATTACATTACACAGCATCAGACGTTGGTGAAAATTGAGGTTGCAATCAAGAACAGAGGGATCATTCAAGTCTGGAGTGTTGAAGGTCATGCAGTTTTCGCACAACCTCTGGACGCTCGCTAGATGTATTACGCGTTCAAGGTGATGTAAAGCAGCGATATTTGCAGACTTTTTAGTTGTGCTTATTTTTGCAGGCATGAGTATGAGGCTAACAGCTTTTGTTTGTAGCTTCTTCAGCAGTTTCTGATCGCTTCTGTGGTACTGAGGAACCATCGCAATACGCAGAGATGTCATTTCGCAAAATAAGTCAGAAGCTGAGAAGCGAGCAGCGACAAAACCTACCACCAAAATACGCCAACAAACAAGTTTCTCCCGAATCTGGTGCACTTTCTTCTCACATTTGTCGGGCTGAAGCACAAGTAAGGGGGACAGCCAACAGAAAAGGAAAACATCCCTGGCCTCACATGTTTCTGAACAGAAACGTTAGTTATTCCATCCCATTACTTCTGCACTTTTGGGCGTCACCTACACCAGGGAAGATTGCGTTGACAAAACGCCATCTATTTCCTGCTTGATCAGCGCTATTGAACAACTTCAGCACCCTGTGTAGCGCTCAACTACAAAGGCGCTATACGTGCGACTGATGCCCGCCATTTTTCACACCACTCTCACCATACGACAAGCTCCAACCCAGCAGTGTTATTGTTGGCCAACAAGTATTTACGTACATTTCGTCCAACAGCAAGACCACAGTAAATCCCTTTC